TTTGTGAACTCTCCCTCATTTTCTTTACCGTTATCTGACCAGAAACAGAAAGGTGCTCCATATTTTTGAACTGTTGCAATTGCCACTTTTGAAGTTTCTGTTGAACTTTTGTTACGAAGCAATTTCAATGCTAACAAATAACGACTTTTGTCATCAATTATTCCATAAACCGGTAAAGTTTCTGGTTCTTTCAAAAAATGAATATCCACATGCCAGATTGTATTTGGAAGAATTGCTTCATAATCCACATAATATGCTTTTGGATTACTTTTATCTTTTTCTTTGTAAATTCCCAGAAATTTTGCTGCCTTAATAACTGCATTGTAACTGATTTGAAATTGTTTTGGATTCATATTGAGAGTCCAATACAATTTTTGAACCCCACATTTGTAATTTTCATAAGAATTCTGAACCTTCAAAATTAAATTTTGCAAATTACCTCAGACTTTTCAGAGGATTGAGTGGCAACTCAATCCTCTGAAATAGTCTGTGGTAATTTTTAGTCTCTACACTATTTCAATATAAGCTCCATTTTTAAACAGTTTTTAAAAATCGAGCATTGAAAAGTGTGATGAGACTCTGGAGTTAATTCCTCTTGTGGAGGACCACTTTTAATTTTTGGTGTACCACCGATTTCTTTGAATGCTTTTTTGAGAGTATTTCTTGAAATTTGTTTGAAAATTGTAACATTTTGATAAGAATATGGAACTTTTTCAAAACTGTTGCGTATGTTAACTCACCATAAGGATGTCAATTCGGAAAATTGTTTTCATTTTAGGAGAATATAATTTTCCTTTTCGAAAATTTAAAAAGTGAGACGCGCAGGATTCGAACTTTTTAAAAGTTGATTTAAATATATTCTAGTGTGGATTCTAAGGATAATATTGTTGTAAACAGAAATTCATCAAAAGTGACACCTCAGAAAAGCTAAAATATTGAATTTTTGGAACTTTTGATAGAGCACGTTTTTAAATATTAATTAAAGTAAATGTATATTTTGTAAAGATTCTTTTTAATAAAAAAATAAAATTTTGAAGAAGAACACAAAATCTTCTGAAAAATAATATCACATAAACTCATATTATTTTCTAATATATAAATATTTTATATAAAAATCAAATTCAATGATCTTAAAAGCGAAGGATAAACCTCAAAATTTACGAATATAATGAGTGGGAATATAATGCTTATCTATCATAAAACCATATGAAATATCAATTTTTGCTTTACGCCTAATTTTTGACGACAATTAGCAAAAATGTTAAATGTTAACACTCAGTCCATTTGAATATGAAAAATAAAATTGACTTTGATTAAAGGTTTTTATTTATCATGCAATTCTTCTTGCGACCAAAGATTTGAATAAAAGTTCAAAAAATAAGATAGCTTAAAAAATAATATACGGTAGTGTTTACTAATAGATGAATAGTATATAAATTCTATTAAAATGGATTTGATCCAAAAAAATATATAAAATTTGATCATAAATAAAATCGTTTTAAATTACTTCTTCATTTAAATTATAACAATTATTTTTGGTTTTATATTTTTTTGGATCAAATCCATTTTAATAGAATTTATATACTATTCATCTATTAGTAAACACTACCGTATATTATTTTTTAAGCTATCTTATTTTTTGAACTTTTATTCAAATCTTTGGTCGCAAGAAGAATTGCATGATAAATAAAAACATTTAATCAAAGTCAATTTTATTTTTCATATTCAAATGGACTGAGTGTTAACATTTAACATTTTTTGCTAATTGTCGTCAAAAATTAGGCGTAAAGCAAAAATTGATATTTCATATGGTTTTATGATAGATAAGCATTATATTCCCACTCATTATATTCGTAAATTTTGAGGTTTATCCTTCGCTTTTAAGATCATTGAATTTGATTTTTATATAAAATAGTTATATATTAGAAAATAATATGAGTTTATGTGATATTATTTTTCAGAAGATTTCATTCTATATGCCTATGAAAAGTACTCTCAAAACCAACTTTTTCCTAATTATAATTAAATCTAGAATATTGTATTATGCTTAGTATTATTTCATTTTTCTCATTCAATTTAGAATTTACAAATGTCAAAAAATTGAGAGCTGTCACTTTTGATGAATTTCTGTTTATTACATTTAAAATAAGAATATACTAGTTTAGGTGGTATAATTTTTTCGATAAATTTGAGAGCATGTACGTTTAGGACATCAAAAGTGTCAATTCGCTCAGCGAAAGCTGAGCTAGCTTCGTTCTCGAAAGAATAGGGAAGGAGTGAAAGAGAGTGATACAGATGTTGACACATTCATGTCATTTCAACAAATTTTGATCAAATTGAAATGCAATGAAATTCAATTCACTTCATATCCTTCAGTCAGTACATTGACATCCTTCTACATCACAATGATAACTCGTGCATCAATAGTTCTACAACTAACTCAGAAAAAACAAGATTTTTCCTTCCAGCTTACAGCTTTTAAAAAGTTTCGATGATAAAAATCACTCTACTCTTGTTTATCGATATGTTGTGATAGTAGGTAAACGTATTCTTATCGATATTAATAAAAATATTTTTACGAAAATCTGAACCAATTACAGAGTTATTCATAAAGTTTATGATAACTGTAATTACTTCATCTTTGTTTTATATTTGAATAAACAAAGGTAGTCTCACGAGAAAACTGACGGTAAAAATTCGATGAAACCAGGTGCATTGTATAGTACATATATGTGGTAAATAAATGTCGATTAGCTTTGTAAAAAATATCCCACAGTTTTTGAGATCTTGAAAACGGCCATTCAAAAAGTCGAAAATTTTTCCGAGATGTTAATGGGCAAGACAGTTTTTCGACAAATAAATCGTAAACATGGGAATTAAAATAAGGCGTTATATTACATATATGGTAAAGAATATGGATGTGAAGAGTGTTAGTAGAATGGAAAGACTTTGAAATTGTAAAAAATTCATCTGGACTAAAAAATTATTTGATTATAAAAAACATATTATATATCAATTGCTATATAGAACTATCATAACAGATTTTGGAAAAGCTGCAAATCCCCAAGCTGGAGAATTCATTAAATACTAATTATTCAGCTTTTTATAGGAAAGGAAGGTAGTGTAGTGGATAGGAACACTATGCTCTTTTTGAATCTAAAAGGCAACTGTTCAAATCATAACATCTTTGTTTTTTTTTCTTATTCTGCCATTATTGTTTTTCCTTGTTATGATTCAAATTAAAAATATTTTAGTAAAGGTATTTTGGACATCATTTTTTCACATTGTCTCAATGCAAATGTTTGAAAATTTTGTAGGCAATATGACAACTCTTTCAACATTTGTTCTCTTTTATTAACTCAAACAGATTTAGGATCTAATTTCATGCCTTCGAAGACATTTAAACCATCTTCAACATAATTTATTGACAAATTGATAACAATTACTCATGAATGTCGTAGATTTAATATCCTGTCACTCAGCAACAAATTCGGGTTCAATAACAAAGCTCAGTAAAAACTTTACAGAAATTCTCCAATTTATTTTAGTGTCTTTTTGCGTCATTACGGCTGCATTTTCTTCTGCATCTGAACGCTGTGTTTGGAAGAAGACGAAATACAGAAACTTTCAACACAAGTAATCAGATTTTCTTGTCTTTCATGTTAAAATGCTTCATCTCGCTAGGTATACGTCATTTATTGGATGGATTGTTAGCTTTGTGTCCAAATAGCAAAAAAAAGTATTAATTTAAATTTCGCATTTTGCATAAGTATACGCTTTAATTTATATCAAAACAGATTTAGATAGCTTAAAACAATATAGTTTACTCATAAATACATCTTGATAATTCACTTCTTCAATTTTCATAATCTTATATCCTGACCTATATCCTCTTATAAACCATATTTCTACTGAGATCTTCTTAAAGCATCTTTTTATCCCTATCTACGCCTCGAAACCCTATTTTTCCGGCGGAATATGAATCTTCGGGTCTCGCTGATTCGATTTCTGCAGTCAGATCGTAAAAATACCCACTACATAGCCTGATAATCTCAATTTAAGTTCCTTAATTTTTTTGAAAAAAAAATTAAAACTCCCTTATCAAACATCATGCTCATTTTTACGAATTTCATTTTTCCTTTAAGTTTAAAATATACGCTTTTTAGCATGTTTATAATACATTTTCAATTTACTTTTTAGAATTGTTTATTTATATTTTGAACAATAATATTTATGAAAATTTATATAATTTACATTTACATTTTTTATTTTTGAATTGTTTATTTATATTTCCGTTTGAACAATAATATTTATTGAAAATTGTGAGAGAAACGGATATAATAAAAAACACCATACAACAAAATTCACTTTCCGGCATATTGGGCCGAAAAGGAGTGATCCGCGTAAGTATGAAAAAAAGTGAATTTTGTTGTATGGTGTTTTTTTATTATATCCGTTTCTCTCACAATTTTCAATAAATATTATTGTTCAAACGGAAATATAAATAAACAATTCAAAAATAAAAATGTAAATGTAAATTGAAAATGTATTATAAACATGCTAAAAAGCGTATATTTTAAACTTAAAGGAAAAATGAAATTCGTAAAAATGAGCATGATGTTTGATAAGGGAGTTTTAATTTTTTTTTTCAAAAAAATTAAGGAACTTAAATTGAGATTATCAGGCTATGTAGTGGTATTTTTACGATCTGACTGCAGAAATCGAATCAGCGAGACCCGAAGATTCATATTCCGCCGGAAAAATAGGGTTTCGAGGCGTAGATAGGGATAAAAAGATGCTTTAAGAAGATCTCAGTAGAAATATGGTTTATAAGAGGATATAGGTCAGGATATAAGATTATGAAAATTGAAGAAGTGAATTATCAAGATGTATTTATGAGTAAACTATATTGTTTTAAGCTATCTAAATCTGTTTTGATATAAAACGAAAAAGAAATGCTTTAAGTGTTCGGCCACTTAATCATTTTCCCACAAATCATTATGAACAGTGAGAAGATAGAAATTAATTTATCATGTGTAGATATTGCCACATTTAAGAAGCTTGAAAAGCTTATTAAAGAAAAACTTCCTGGTGTTATTTATAATAATATCGCAGATTATCAAACAAGTCCCAATCAATCAAAACTATTACAAGAGAATACTATTAAATCAATGATTGCAGCTTCCAAAAACCGTGCTCTAAGCTATCAAAGATCTCTGCAAATGAAAAAAATCAATGAACAAAGAAAAATACAAGATGGAACTGCAGACGAATTAGAACAAGAAGCAGAAAAGGCAGATCTTGAAACTCTCAATGACAATGAAGATGATTCTGATGATCAAGATGAAGATGAAACAAATGGTGATGAATCCTTGAGTTTAAGCGAAATATTATTAGATGATTATACCCCATTATTTAAGTACCCTCCGTTTGCAGATAAATTAACGTGTGTTATCATTAATAACATGTTATATAATTTAAATTTTCCAAACTCAAAGAGCCGACGATACTATGCGGAGACACTTCAATTTGCCTTTATGTTGTATTGCCAACAACCCTCAGAATATTTGTTGGCAAGACAGAAACTTATGTTGCCATCAAAAGCAACTCTATTTCGAGTCTTTGGTAAAGATATTGCAGCATGGAAGGAACTTTTGCTTTCAAAATCATCTTCACTCCCAGTATTCCTCAGATTCAGGGAATTATATCCATATACAGATGAGGAATTACGTGAACAATGCCATTTTTGCATTGGAATAGATGCAATCACAGGCAAATTATGGAAGAAGTCCGGCCATGACGATCAAATCGAGGACTTATTTGCATTATATTTGATGCCATTAGATTGCAAAGGTCCATCAATATGTTTGCATATAATACAACATACAAATGGTCTTGCATCTGGAATTATGAGTGAAATCTTGGATTACATTGCTACAGTTCAGAAAACACTGAATGTTCCAGTTTTTACAACTGATGGTGACAAATCTTACGATTTTGTTTATCAGATATTCTTTCACCATTGGTACAGCCTAGTTACTGGCTTTGATGGATTAGTAGAAGTCCTTAAAAGTGCAAAATTCCAAGATCTTAAGATTATCTTCATCGCGGACGTCGTTCATATAGGCAAAAACCTCAGAACGTTATTAATTTTCCCCAATAAGTTAATCTTTTTGCAACCTTATGATCCAACGCTGCACGTCGATATTACAAAAATTAGATTATTTTCCAAACTTGGAGATGCAATTAACAACTGTGATAAGTCTACCACACTCAATGACAAATATCCTGTAACAATCTTTAACGTTCAAACTGTCAAGGATATGCTAGATAATAATTGCAATTAATATACATATCATGCGTACTGAGGCACTGCGCGCCTCCTTACCCATTATATGTGAATTTGACACTTTACGAAACCGTTAACGTATATTTTACAACACAAACGACAACACTAACTTAACCTTAAATATTTACAAAGCCACCAACCACTTCACCTCACTAACGTTTTCACAAACGACTTCACTACTGTAAAAAATAAACGTTCTCACTTACAAAAGTATTGCAACTCTTCCCATTGCTGTGCTTCACACAATACTTCATATTCTTCAGTATCGCTGCTGTCGCTCCAATCGTCAGAGTCAAAGTCACTGTCAAAATAAATGTTAGTAAGTTTTGACAAAGCTAATGAAACACGTTTACCGTTTGTATCGTATGCTTGTATAAACTTTCCATTCTTCATTCCTTCATAAACGCTCAAACTAACTTTACCCTTTCTCCCTCGTATCTGATAGAATGTATTTTCACGAGGAACGAAGAACAAATTCTTGAACTCATGACCGTTGTAGTTTGTTATCTCAATAGTTTTCGTCATTTATATAAAAATAAACTTAAAAATAATTTTAAAAATAAAATAAAAATTAATGATATCACCACCCTCACACGTATGAAAACATAGCACAAAAATAAATTTAGGTGAAGTGGTGAGATCTCACCTCTTTTTTCACCTCTTTTTTCACCCTGTTGAATTCATTGCTTTATAACTCTCTTCCTTGGTTTCTTTTTAGTTGCTTTCTTCACGTCTGTCTCCAACTTGACTGTCTTTCTTCTTCGTCCATAATGATACCAATTACTTCCACCAGTCAATGGGTCAAATGGTCGTTCATAAGGGTTTCCATACATTCCATAAGGTCCGTATGGATAAACCGCTGGTGGAGAAGAAACATTTTCTTTAGTTCCATCGACTCTATTTAAATGCATTGTTTCACCTTTCATCTGGTCATTAAAGTCTTTTGCGTGTTTTGCAAACTCATCGTCCTTTCCTAAAGCATTTTCTGACTCAGTCGCAACCAAATTGGATGCTTTATTTATGAGCCCTATTTTATTTAATCTTAACTTCTTTGCAACCCAGCCTCCAATCTTTCCTTTATTTGCATCTAATGTCTTTGAAACCCTTCCTCCACTCATTTTATTTACTGCGTCATAAGCTCCAAGTGCTTTTGCTCCAAATGCTAATGCTTTTGTTCCCATTGCGCCTAAAGCTGCCCAAGCTACCATTTACACCATATTAAAATCATCTCTCTTCAATATTATCTCATAAAAGTTCTCGTTACTGGAGAAAGTCAATGAAACATAAGCGTTCTCACGGGCTTCGCCCTCACCGCTTTGCGGTCTATCTAACTTCTTTCTTATATCATCTATACGCTTCAAAATGTCTGAACAATTGCTAACATCTTCTACAACAGTTATTTCATCATGAATGACCTTCAAGAACAAGCTCATTTAATATGCTATTAAAATCATTTCAATAATGAGTCCATCCTTTCCATCTTTAGGTAGCACAACATCTTTCATTGAAGAAGGTTCGACAAGTCTTATGTTAAACTTACTGACAAAGTTTGTTATACTATAATGCTTCGGCGGCGAATACATATAGTTTGAAAGACATAATATAGATTCTTCAGCAAATTCACTTATACTGGATTTTATAACAATGTTCTCACGAGACCAAATGCCACCAATTGACAATCTTGTAAGCAATCCTGCTGAACCTTCAACTGTAAACGTCGATGGTAACATTCCACGAAGGTCATCTATTGACATCTTTGAGTCACTGAATTTAAAGATTTTCTTAAAGCAATCGTCATTATCTAACCATGCAATAGCTTTGAAGTTTTCATTCGAATAGACATCTGCTTCATTAAATGTAAATCCTGACTTCTTTGCAGAGACGACTTTAAAATCTATTGAGTTTGTTTCAAAATTATATGCTATGGTAACTTCTGAAGGTAATGGATGTCCTTCCGCAGTAAGTTGTTCTCTCACTACCGTTTGAAGCTTTGTGTTAAAAACTTTCATGTCATCTCCTGTGTCTAGGTTCACATACACAGCAACAGGGAAACTATCTTGCTTCTTTGTTTCATCATTATATCTCAAAACATTAAAGTTCTTCAATAATATTGTTCTTCCTGCTGGAATACTTCGAACCTGTCTGATTTCAATAGCTTTCTCACCTCCTACATACTCTACCCAGTGTCTTGGATATTCATAAGTATACTGACTTTCTTGAATTTTGGTTGGTTTCATCATAACGTGTTCATAGTATATCTTTATACTCTTGTCAGTTAGACTCGGTGCTATGTTCTGAATATTTCTGACTTGCATTTTTAATGGAGATAAAATGAAGCATTTAATACATGATGTAGATGAAGACATGAATGAAACTACAGACAAACTTAACTCTTCTCTTATTCTTCCTTTCAGCAAAGATTATGAATTCTGTTCAAATGGTGTGTATTTCTATTGTGGAAAGATGGGTTCAGGTAAGACATTTAACCTCATTCGTCATATACTCATAACAGAACGTTTAGGAAATGACTCATATTATGACCAAATCATTATATCAGCAACTTCAGACTCTATGGACTCAACAGCGAAAACATTTATGTCAAAAGTTCAAGCCTCTGTCGTTAAAGTTCCAGACAGTGAACTCATTGAATTTCTTCAACGTTACATTCGACGTAAGAGGAAATATTATGCCATCGTAGAGTTCATACAGCCAGGAATGCAAAAGACTTCTGAGGAGATGGAAAGAATTATTGACAAACGCCACTTACGTCAGTACTCAGGAGTATACAATATGAAACGACTTACAAACTACATTCTGTCAAAACTTTCAAAATACCCCTTCAAAAAATATCCATCAAACACTTTATTAGTTTGTGACGACTTCGCCGGAAAAGGTTTAGTGTCAAAACCAGACTCACCATTAGCTAACATCATAACTAAAGTCAGACATTACCATTTAACTGTAGCAATACTTATGCAAACATGGAGGCTTTTAGCTTTAAACATAAAACGTCTCATAACTGACTTCGTTATCTTTCAAGGTTTCTCACGCTATGATATTGAACTCATTTGGAAACAGTCAGGTATAACATTACCTTTTGAAGAAATTTGGGAAGCATATAAGTCTCTCATCTCTCCTCGTTCATACCTTGAGATTCATATCATGACTAATACCATTAAAGTCAAAAATATTCCATGGGAACGACCAACATTGTTTTAAAGTTTAACCTTCAATTGACTGATGGTAAACAAATTCCATGCATCTCTGTCGCCATTTCTGTTAATATTTTTGCTGTCATTCATATCATCCACTTCCCCATCCGTTAGCTTTTGAGGATATGCGTTAGAATAGTTGTTCTTAAATGAAGGCTTTTCACCTTTGAGAGCATAAACTCTATAACTTTCTGCATACTTTATGTTTGAACCTCCTGAGCCATCATTGACATAAATTTTTATAGGCTTCCACCCTTTGTTCATGTTCCTGCTTCTTCCCTTAGCTCTTTTGTTCAGTAGTTCTACATCTTTATACACAGCACCTGTCTCAGTGAATTCAACAATATTTTCATTCGTTAGCTTTACATTCAAACCCTTGTCGAGTATATTGTTCATTTCATACATATAAAAGGTTTTTATTCTATATGAAATGAGAAGCAAATCCATCTTAGCTGGTGCCGTTAATGTTCCAATTGAACCAACATCAAATGTTGACTCACGAACGACAAACAATATTGTCATAAAGAACTATAGTTCAGAGTGTTTGAAAGAAAAAGAACCAGAACTTAAGTCGGTGAATTTAAACTCAGCTTCAAACGCTAACGCTACATCAGATGTTAAGTTAGAGTATCCACCACTGGACCAAATTCTTTCAAGAGAAGCCAACGACAACCCTTACACAAATGTTCAAACAAATCCTTCAGATAACGTAGACCATTACCTTCTTCAGTTATACCAAACAATTTTACTCAAAGACGATAAGAAGCTTTTGACAAATCTTATAAGCAAGAACCAAATAATTCTAACAAAGGAGGACCTTGAAAATGTTATATCACGAATAACAGGAAAGCAATGTGTCATTGACTATCTCGACCCTGAAATCGAATGCTGTGGTCAAACTCCACTATTCATGAAAATAGGTAACATCCGCATCATTGAAACACCAGGAACTATAGGAGTTGAGTTTAAGTATAAATATTCGAATGAATATACAAAACTTTCAACAGAATATAAGCTTTGTTTGAAATATGTTTTAGTAAATTAAAGCAGTCAGGACCTTCGGTCTTGGCGCTTTGCGCCGTCAGTCAAAAATTTCAAGTTAGCAATTTGTAATATCTATCCAAAACTTCTTCAACAGTATCGAACTCATCTTCATAATGCAAACCTAATCTTATTGACTTGGTGCAGTTTTCACTAACACAATATTTTTCTGTTCTCTTGACTGACATAACTAACTCATTTGTTTCATCAAACAGCAACAACCAAAGTTCATGACCTAATACATAACATTCATACTTTATATTTTTAGCTCTGAGTTCTCTTGTAAGCTGTTGCATTTAATATTTTCTAAAAAGTCAACTTCAACAGTCATTCGCACTGGTGCCTTCAGTTCTACAGGCTCTCCTTGAAAGTCAACAAGTCTGAATTGCATGTCTTTCAAATTATGAGGACTAATGCGAACCCATTTACCTAAATGAGTTGCTATGACAGGAACGTTTGGAATGAACATTGAATTGACTGCATAACAGAAGGATTTATATTCTACTGAACCTTTACTATTAACTCCTGAAATGCCTGTGACATTAGCTATTTTAGACTCAATGTATAAACAATTACCATAACATACGTATGGAACAGATTTCATCTCAATCGTTTTGTCAACACTTTTCAAAGGAAATGTCATATGGTATGCTCCCAGAAGCAATTGAACTCTATGACTCATTCGTGTTATCTTAAACTCCTTCGCATAACTGAACTTCAATGTTCCCTCAGAAGAGAGTTCGACATCTATGTTGTCAATAGTTTCTTCATTTATGAGAGTATCTATGACTCCAGCAATTTTATCTATTCTGTACTCGGCTCTGTTAGGAAATGTTATAACACTTCTTTTGTCATCTATTTCAATCTCTATGAAATCTGTTTCATCTATTATGACAAAAGTTGCGATAGTATTGAAGTCAACAACTCTGAAAGCAAGTGCTTCATTCTGAAGACCTAAGTTTGTTTGTAGTTTTACTGTCCCGTATTCATTCGGGTCTGTACTTTGTAAATAGAACAACATTTTATTCTCATTAAAATATGACTATTGCTGCATATGCGTATGAAACAAATGAAGCAAGAAGAGCACATGAACTAGTAAATGAAAACTCAACTTTAACAGTGGAAGGTAACAATTTAGTCATTGACGATGGAAAAACTAAAAAAGTCATTGATTTCGATACTTTTAACACTTATGACCCATTCATTACAACAAGTAAAGTTCCTATCATAAATGATGGAACGGTGCAATATATAAATTCTACAGTAGATGCCTCATTAGTGAAAGTATTAAATGTTCTCATTGAATTGTTAAAGAGCTTTCGATTTGACGACAACATTAAATGCCTAAAGAATTTAGTCATGAATGAGAAACAAATTCTTGGCGTTGCTGGTAGCAGTAATGATGTACACCTTATGACATTAGAATATTATAACGAACATAAAGATGAACTGAAAGGAGAGAAGGGTGACACTGGACCTCAAGGACCACAAGGAATACAAGGACCTCAAGGCGAAAACGGTTTGGATGGTGAAGATGGAAAGGATGGAAAAACTGCTAAATCATGGATATGGAACCTTATAAATACTGGTTTAACAGCTGCTTCATATGGAGTTCTTCAATACCAAATCGGAAAGATATGGGCAGTACTTGGTGAAGAAGTTTTAGATGACGTTAAAAATGCTTTGAACTTCATTTCAAATGGTTCGGATACTATTAAAACTTTATCTGGTTGGATGCAAGAAACAAGGAGTCAAATAGATACTGTAAGACGTATAGCAAACAATGCACGTACGGGATTGGATACTTTACGAGAAGCACAAAATACACTAAAGGAAGCAAATGATATTCTTGGCTCAGTATCAGACATGCATGAAGATTGGCTTAAAGGTATTGACAAATCTTTAAAAAATCACAGTCAGTCTATTGCTGACTACAAGAAAAGTATAGATTTTTTACATAGTGCTATGGACGTACATGATGGAAGCATAAGGAACTTACTTAATGCTAACAATAACTTACCAGGAACTATTAAAGCATTTATAAAGTCCTTTGTAAAACCTGGTGCTCTAACATTTAGGTCTTTGAGAGCAAGAGCATTGAAGTCAAGAGATGCAGAAACTCCAACAGAACCTACAGAAGGAACTGAAACAACAGAAACTCCAGAAGAACCACTAAAACCAACAGCTAATGAAATATTGTTCAAATATTTTCCAAGGTACTCTGTTCTCATTGCATACATTCAAGAAATACTTAAGAAAGCAGACTTGACTTTAGGAGATGATGAAAGTTCTGTATATCTTTCGTTCCAGTTTCAAATAGCAGAACTTTTGAGACAGATATGCTTAATGTATGACAACATCTCTGATTTCACAAGATATGATGACGACCATGACCCCGAACACGGTGAAGAAGAAGAAGTTTTACAAACATCCATTAAGACAGGAAAGATTTTAACTCAAAGTCTCATTATTGACACCAAAGATGGCGAAGTGGACGTTCTTCAAGAGCTGAAGAAAAATACTTCTTCGGGAGGTGGTGGTAGGCATGAACTTGAAATAAATGAGATAGAAGAGAAATTAGCCGAAAAAGCAGATAAAAACCATGTTCATTATATAAGTTCAGACGAACAGATTATAACGGACTACCACGGATATTTAACACAGGATGAACAAATAAGCACTGAAGATGTTAATGAAAGAAGATATAAATTCATTCGTGCTAAAGGTTATGACATACACTGTACTGTACAGTATGACACAGGTAAAGCACCAGAAGCATTTGGTTATAACAATGAAATTTATGCTTCATACTTCTTTGTTAACGGTGTATTAGTTGAACCAAGATTTACTTTGAGAGTTAAGTCAAAAATAACGTTTGAAGATGCTATTAAAAGTAAAGCTGACAAAGTTGAACTTGAAGCAACGAACAAAGTTTTGAAATCTCATAAACACAATATCTCCGATATAAATGAACTTCAAACTTCTTTAGACAGTAAAGCAGACAAAAACCATACACATGAATCCTTCACTACTGTTAGAGCAGACGACATAATATTGAACTATACCCTTGGTTCAAGTGCACCTTTAGAGAATCCAAGTACAAGCGTAAAAGATACTCTTAATAGTTTAAATAACAAATGTATGAACATTGAAGGTCATGTCAGAAACTTTGAAGCATATGAACTACCCGCAATGTTAGACAAGAAAGCTGACAAGAACCATACACATAAATCCTTCTCAACTGTTGCTATAGAAAGTATTGAAGGAACTGGTGGGGATGCATTACATTATAAACCTCCTAACTTTCCACAAGGTTTAACATCGAATGAAAACATAACAACGAAGAAAGACATTAACTGTAAAAATGTTTATGTCACGGATGATGAAAATAATGTTAAATTCACTGCTCAAGATTTATATGATAAGAAAGCTGACAAAACAGAGCTTCAAACATTAAAGACTGAAATACTTCAAACATTATATCCTACAGGCTCTATTTATACGTCAATGAACTCAACAAATCCAGCAACAGTTCTGGGTTTTGGTACATGGAAGCAGATTGTAGACAAATTCTTATATTGTACTAATAATTCAAAACAAGCCGGTGGTTCAAAGAAAATTAAAGAAGCAAACCTTCCACCGCACACTCATACAGGAACGACAAACTTTTCTGGCGACCATAGCCACTCATTAAGAGACCACCCATTATACAACTCAGACTATGAAGCTGGCAATGATGTTTTATCTCCATCTTATAACAATTCAGCAAAAAAGACTTTTTGACAAACTGAACCAGGAGGAAATCATGTCCATACTTTCACAACAAATCCAACAGGCTTGGGTAAAGATTACATGCCACCATTTGTGACTGTATTCGCATGGTACCGCGTTCATTGAATGTGCTTGAGCCCAGACCTTTGGGTCAAGGCTTACCGTCTTGAATAAAATCTTTAACTTTACATAAATGAGCTTGAAAGAAGTATTCGAACAACATCCATGGAGGTCATTTAAGAAGTTCAATGAAGCTGCAAAGAGTTGGGGATTTACTAACAGAGCTGAAGTGAAAAGGTTCTTTGACAAAAATGTTGTACATCAAACAAAAATAAACCCTTACGACTACTTTTTACCAATTTACTCCAACACTCCTGACGCATACCAATTTGACACTCTCATTCAAAGCAGAAAAGGAGGACATAAACCATTCCTCATCTTCATTAATGTTAACACTCGCAAAGCATATGCATATCCAATGAAAAATAAAGGAACTCGTGAAGTGTTAAGAGTTTTACAAAAGTTTGTAGCAGAACATAGCCCAAGTACTTTAACATCAGACCAAGACAGTGCATACCTCAGCAATGAAATCACAGATTTTCTCATTAAGCATAACATAACTCACTACACTACTGAAGACCATAACCATAACATACTCGGCATCATAAACCGCTTCATAAGAACGCTCAGAGATTTAAACCAAGAGCGAGACTTTACCGAAGAAACAATGAAACATTTTCTCGAAGTATATAATTCCTCAACACACTCTACAACAGGACATACACCAAATTCAATGACACAACAACAAGAAGAAAGTATATATACAAAAGAAACGAAGTCAAACACAAAATATCAGAAATTCAACACAATTTACCCTCATTCCTGGTACAAAAGTTCTTGTAGTTCTTGACGACAAACCGTTGACAAAGAAACGTTTAAGGTTAAGTCGAAATTATTATATCGTAGACTCTACGCAAGGTAATGGATATCTTATAAAAGCTGCTGACGACTCCATTGCTTTTTATCCTCGTCATAAATTAGTTGAAAGTAGTAATGGCAAACTTGCTGAAACCATTGACGAAGCAAAGCGAGGAGTGGTTATTGAAATACTTGGCTATAACACAAACGATGACACTTATAAAGTAAGATATGAAGGAGGCATTGAAGATGTTATACCATCTAAGAACTTGAGAGAGTCGAAGCCAACACATCGGGGACCATTAGAGCGGGAGTACTGGAAAGACAAAAATATGCCAGAAAGAATAAGAAAATTCTTATGAACTAAATATATTTTATCGTTAATGTTTACGTTAATGTTTCGTTAATGTTTTCATGAATGTTTTCAGTGTCACTACGTCACCATGTCACCAGGTTAATTAACTTCTTTAAAAAATGATGACAACATGACATTTAGACAACAGTCCCGATTAGAGCGGGAGTACTGGAAAGACAAAAATAATGAATTTCATTAGTTAGAAAAATAACGCTAATTTTTTTCTAAGAAAAATTTTTATTTTGTATGTAAAGACAGTAATGTCAAACATTGAGTTTGAAACAGTTAGAAAGATAGACAATGACACCAAAGTGGTTAGAATTGGTGATTTAAACGTAAGATACTGTAAGAAATACAACAAATATTCTTTGTCAGACATTATATCTCCATCTGGAAAGAAAACAAACGACTGGGTTAGAAATGCTTCAACTCAGAAAATTTTGACAAGAAATCCTGAGCTTATGATATCGGTAAGATTCTATGGAACTACAGCATATCTCATTGACAAAAGTCTTATACCAATAATTCTTCTATGGATTGACCCAGTTGTTGGATATAACTTCATAACTTATGGTTCATTCGATACGGAACGTTGCAGTGAAGGCTTACTTTACATCGTTCAGAAACCGAAGGACTTCAATACAAAGAGATATAAGATAGGAAGAACATATAATATAACTCAAAGATATGACAGTACAGTCAATAGAGTCAAGGTTGTGTTTGTTAATGATATGAGAGCTGCTGAAACAGAACTGCTTGAAGTTTTTGAGAAAATGTATGGTGCTCCCACGAAAGGTAAAGAAACGTTTGAAGTAGATGAGATAGATAAAGCTATAAAATTATTTGACGAAGTTGCTGAAAAATACATGTAAAGCGTTTATTTTTGGTCTTTTGTGAAAGTCAGAAAATAACGCTAATTTTTTCTAACAAAATTTTTTATCTTGTATGTAAAGACAGTAATGTCAACATCAGAGAACACAACAATTGCTATCGTTCATGAAGCCATAAATGAAGAATACGAGTACATACAGTATAACAAACAGTTACGTCTCATTCGTTCGGTCAAAGACGATATGTACCAGATGCAAAGTATAATGAACGCTCTTCGTTCTACAAAGCAAGCATATCATTGGTTTGAAGCCAACAGAAAAGAACTTTTAGAAGAATTTCCTCATATGATTGCTTCCCTCGGAAAACCGAGAGAAGAGATTCCGTACGAAAATCGCAAGAATTTGGCTCCTGGTTTGAAAGGTTATTATGTTCATAGACTTTAGTAAACGCTGTAGCAATGTGGGCTTCACCTCGTTATGCTTGTTATATTTTCATGATGTTAGATGAACTATATAAAGCAGAACGTGGAGAGTTGGAAAAGAAAACTTCATGCAAAAGATGAAGTCATTGAATCCAAAGACAAAAGCATACAGAAAAGAATACCACTCTAGTCCAAAAGGAAAGGAAAGAGTTATAAGTATATGATATATACTGAAGAGTTGGAGAAAGAAGAAGATAAAGATATGGTTATGTTACATTTAGTCAGAAGAAACAACAAGAGCTTTTATGACTTAGCTAAGATATATAAATCTGACAGAAACTGGTTCTATCGTGAAAACTTACCGATTTCAATGACACCGAATGAGCAAATAAAGGAAATTGTCAAAAATACTCTTCCTCAAACACACTATGACATCAAAGGTTGCACAATACTTACATTCAAAGAAGACTTAACATTACTGAAGGAAAAAATAACAGAATATTTCAATAACTTCAAAGAGGAAGAATGAAAAAAAATCTCGTCGGGTGCCACGTTAGGACCATAGTGGAGAAAACCACGATAAAAAACAAAACCCTTCGTCAATTATGATCGACACTGAAAACATTAACGATAACATTAATCCTGGACTGTTGTCAAAATGTCATGTTGTCATCATTTTTCAGTTGTGATGGAATATATCTAACCCTCCCGTTAACTAATAAACTTGACGATCAGACGATTCTCTCTTCGTCAATTATGTTCGACACTGATAACATTAACGATAACATTAACGATAACATAAACGATAACATTAACGATAACATAAACGATAACATTAACGATAACATTAACGATAACATAAATGCTCCATGTCAATTATGTTCGACACTGATAACATTAACGATAACATTAATCCTGCTGTGTTGTCAAAATGTCATGTTGTCAGTAATTTTAAGAGAAGTTAATTAACCTGGTGACACATGGTGACGTGGTGACATAGTGACGTGGTAACACCATCAGTTATTCAAAAATAAATTTTCTTATAAAGCGTCAGGGTCTATTTCTTCAACCATTTCACTTCCTTCGTCAATGTCAATAGAAGCTTCTTCAACCTTTGGTAAGAACTTTTGTATAACATCTTTGTTCGTTATTGTCTTCAGAGATGAAGGATAATATTTCACAGATGTTTCACCCTTCTTATTTTCTTTCTGTTCGGAAAGATTTAAAGCAATACTGAAGAAGTCAATATTAGAGTTCTTTATAACAGTATAATGAGTATCTTTGACATTCACGAAGAAACTCTTTTGTTTCAAAACTACTGCTAACTCTTGTGAAGTATAACGTTTGCGGTCAATGACGATAGCTAATGGTCTGACATACTGACCAAACTTAGATTCTTTCACAAACTTCTTGTTAAAGATAACATTAACATTTGAAGCATTATTGAACTCATTCATGATGGCAGTAGCGAGAGCATTGTATGAAAAGAACTTGCAATCTTGCATGTGTTTCATTAAAATAAAAATATTAAATTATTTTGAAAAATAACTTAAAAAAATCTAATCTAATTTTTTCAAAAAATATTTTTTTATTTCCTACTAAAGATGTATCGGAAGTTGTCTAAGTTAGAACACTCGGAAATAAAACAACTTCTTACAGAAGCTAATATAGATGTTGCAAAGCATTACGCAACAAACAAAAAAGCACTCGCTGACATCCTCAATGACTATAATGGTGCAATAAGTTATGATAGAATTCATGAGTTCATAAAGCCGCAACGCGGCGAGGACGAAGTCCATGCAAGAGCATTTCCTTTAAATGACGTTGCTATTGACTTATATCATAGACATTCAGTACCTCATGAAGTAAGAAGAGAAATGTTTGACATAACAAATGCAAACGTTGGTGAAACAAGAAGAAGAGACGACACACTGAAACAACAGAAAAGAGAGATGTTTAAGAGCGCTATAGAACAAGTTCGCAAAGCTAACGATGTCCTTCGTTCCATTGACGACAAACCAAAAGAAGGTGAGAGATGGTTAAAGAAAGATGAAGAGAATAGGAAGAGGAATGTTAAGACAGGCAATAGACTCATTGACTTTAACATCGAAGCTTTAGATGAACCAAACAGAGACTACTTACACAAACATTTCGGTAAGGTTTTCATGAGACTCTTAGAGAAGATTAAAATAAACTCCCAACAAAGATGGATGGTATGTTATAAACTTGGTGGAAAGTATGAATGTTCTACGTTAAACCTCAATAATATTGGAACATTACTACATCAGCTCTTGAAGGAGAACTTTATATCAGAGATAGAAGCAAATGCTGCAGGTATTGTTGAAATGCACTATGACTTCTTCTTGACAAACATAAAGAATCTTACTGAAATAAAGATGTATGATTTAACAGAATATGAAGGCTTAACGATGTCAGATGTAAAGAAAGGCAAACCAAAAAAGAGACCATATAGAGATGAAAGCACACTGACAAATGACCAGAAAGCCATTTTGGAAGCTCTTAAGCAAACAGGAAACCCAGCACTTATAGAAAGCTTTTGGAAAGATAATGGTGAAAAGAAGTTTTATAAGAAGAGAAGCGGTCAGTTCTGGAAGTATCTTTGCACATTACCTATAAATCTTGAGCGCTACCAAATCTTCAATGAACTGAACAAAAGAACTGCAACACTTATGACAGAAGACAATTGTTTCGTTTATGCTTGCATTCAGGCTGGAGTAAATGAAGAAACTATTGACCACATGAGAGAAGTCATTCGTGTTAGAGACTTTCCTCAAAGTAAAGTACAAGAAATTTCTGACGCAACAGGTATAGCATTTAATGTTACCATTGGTTATTTCAATGACTCAAGACATAATGAAATAAAGAGATACATACCAAAAGAATGTGAAACTGTTAGAACTATTGACTTACTTCTTGTTGAAGACCACTACATGCTAAATGAAAGATTACCAATGACAACATATTTCATTCGCAACTATATAGAAATCTTGAAGGAGTGTGGTGGAATGAACATTGAGAAACAGATGAAGATTTATACAAAGAGAGAAGATAAATATGTAGTTCGTTATGATAGAACAACACCGTTATGGGATGTTATGAAAACATTGTGGGAGTGCAAATATTTCGAACCTATTTCTTATGGAGAACTTTTCACATATACGACTGACTTATATAAACAGAACCTTGCACCATTTAAAGATTTGACATATGCTCCAAAGTATTGTGTACAACTGAAGAAGAAAGCCGAGTCAAAAGAAGTAAATAAAGCTAAATGTAAGTTCATTCCTGAGCACGTTTTCTTTGCTGACTTTGAGTGCAGTACTGATGGCTTTCATAAAGCTTTAACATTGTTATGACAGTGAAGATGGAGATTAGTGAAAGCATTTGGGGTCAGAACTGTGCAACAGAATTTTTGGAACGACTTCCTGACAAGAGTTTAATATATTTCCATAACCTCAGTTATGATATAAACTTCATCTTAAGACACATGACAGAAGTGAAAGGAACTCCCATCATTAAAGGTTCACGAACAATGCAAATAACTGGCTTATATAAAGGAAGGGCAATTATTATAAAAGACTCTTACAGTGTTATAAATAAGAAGCTTAAACTATTTCCTGCTATGTTTAACTTACAAACAGGACCGAAAGAAGTATTTCCATACAACTACTACAGCAGTGTTTTGTTAGCAAATGACAACAGAACTGGTGTCATTTCTGAAGCGTGTAAGTTTATCCAGGATGCGGATACATTCATGAAAAACATAGATTTAATCGAAAACTGCAGAATAGATGAGAACCACTTCGATTTAGAAAAGTATAGCACATTTTATTGCAAACAAGATGTAAGAATTTTAAGAGAAGGTTTTGTTAAGTTCAGAAATGATATATTGAAAGAGTTTGATTTAAACGTTTATGACTACGTTAGTATTTGTTCAATTGCTAACAAATTATTTGAGAACAGAGTGTACTTCCCGAATGGAAATTTATATGACCTCTCAAATAAACCAAGAGAATTTATTTCATGCTGTATTCAAGGTGGAAGATGTATGCTGTCAGATAACATTAAACAAAAGAGCGAAAAGAAACTCATTGCTGACTTCGACGCTGTTTCATTATATCCATCAGCTATAGCAAGACTTTATACTTTAGAAGGTATTCCAAAGGTTATGAAGAAAGAAATGTTAAGCACAGAGTATCTCATGAGACATTTATTCGATGACGACCAAAAGGAACCCATTGGTGAAAAGTTTATGTCTGGCTTCTTTGTTCTCATTAAGATAACAGAGATTGGAATACATAGACACTTTCCTTTAATAGTTTGTGACCCTGAACTAAATCCAGAACTTAACGTTCCCAGAAGTTCAAACACTTGCTGTTTAATGTATGTTGACCATATAACATTACAAGACCTCATAAAATATCAAGGTGTCAAATGTGAAGTGTTGCAAGGATACTATTACGATGGAAACAGAGATATTAGAATAAGAGATGAAGTAAAGAAGTTGTTTGAGTTAAGGTTAAAGTATAAGAAAGAAGGAAATCCTTTGCAAGAAAATATAAAGCTCATTCTGAACAGTATTTATGGCAAAACTATTCTATCTCCTATTGAGTCAAAAATAACCATAGTAAATGACAAAGATGCTATAAGATATGCCATCAGAAACTACAACCATATAGTGAAGTTCGAAGGTTTGGATGGTTCAGATAAAACTATTTTCAAGCTAACGAAAAGTATTTGCAGACACTTTAACTTCTGTCCACTTGGTGTTAACATTCTGTCAATGTCGAAGAGAATAATGTGTGAAGTATTCTGTACTGCTGAAGATATGGGAATGGACATCTTTTATAGCGATACGGACAGTATGCATCTCTACAATGAAGATATCCCTCGTTTAGCTGAAGAGTTTGAGAAACGTTATGGAAGAGTTCTCATTGGTAAAAACCTTGGTCAATTTCATAGCGACTTTGCAGAAATCACAAAAGATAAACAAAGTTTAGCATACAAGTCAATATTTTGTGGAAAGAAGACTTACATAGACTTACTCACGAATGATTTAAATGAAGTTGCATTTCACTGCAGAATGAAAGGCGTGAAGCAAGATGTTATTGCTTTAACCGCTAATGAAATGTTTCCTGACTCTGTTCAGTGTTTCTATGATGAAGATAAAGGTTTAATGGTTCCGCAAGGAACATATGACAAAGACTCTGAGTTCAGTTTAATGAAACTTTACAAAGCACTTTATGACGGTCAAGAGATTGGATTTGACTTATGTAAGTCATGTCAACCTTGCTTTGAAGAGAAGTTTAACTTCTCAATAACGACTAAAACAAGCTTTATTCGTAAGTTGAAGTTCTGAGGTCATTTATTTTTGTCAGCAATGAGGTCATTCGTGATAAAAATAAGCCGCTAGCGGCAAGGGCGAAGCCCATGTGGTCATTTACAATACTGCGATGGTAGAGTTTAAGAGTTGTGCTTCAATGTAGAGACAGTCCTTATGGTCTGGAGGTAAGAACACTGGGCAGTTATGGTCATGAGTGGAGAACATGTCTATCCAAAACTCACGATTGAAGCCAGTTAATTTATAGTATTTAGGGTTAGGAAGTGGTGAAGTTCTTGTATGACCAATGAACTCATTTTCAACTCCCTTACTTAAGTTTGAATATAATATAGCTTGCTTTCTATCCCAAATGCCAGGTGTTACAATCTTTGAAAATTCATTTTTCCTCGGAAGCATTGCATCATAATTGAAAACATTCTTGAAATCATCACTTGGTTCAGAGATTTGAAATCTTATACGTAATGGATTTTCTTTCTTTTTAGCTACTTCATTGAATGGTGAATATATAACAAACTGACAGTCATGAGTTCCATCTTCATTTTCATTAAATTCATAATGAAAGTCTATAAGTTGTGGCTGACTACCTTCTTCTTTCAGTTGTGCAAGAAACTCACGTAAAGGCTGTAAAGTTTGTACTTCAATGTTAAACTTTTTCTCGAACATTTCATTAAATGAAATCATACATTGTTGCAATGTTGTACTGTTTTTAAAGTATTTGTATATGTGAATGTTTTGGGCGCTTAAAGACTGTTCGTCATTTTCTATCTCGACTTGAAGTATAAAGTCAACCTTTCTGAAATCACGTGTTATATACATAGATGTTATGCCAATGTACTTCTCTTCATTTATGTTCACAATCCAGTCTGTTGGAAACTTAAACGTTACTCTGTTCCCCTTTATTTTGACGTCAGGGTTTTCACTACTGAACGCAACAGATAAAGGTATTTGTCTATACATTTAGTTCCGATAAAAATAAACCATTTACTCTTTCTTTGCTTCAGCTTCTTTAGCTTTTGCTTCAGCTTCTTCTCTAGCTTTTTTCGCCAGTAGTCTTGGGTTCTTTTGTCTTCCAGCAGCTAATGCAGCAAGTTGTTTTTCACTAAGTTTTCTCTTTGGTCTCTCTGGCTTTTGTTCTTGTTTTTGTTCCTTCAGTTCGGATAAAATTTGCTCACGAATTTCTTTCTTCAATGCTTCAACATCTATGACCCCTTGGGTCTTGTCCGTAGGGCTTGTCTGAGTCATTTGACTGCAGATAAAAAACAAAATTAAAACTTTAACCGATGTAAAATGAGCTTGTCAAAATCAGAGCGAGAGTCTATTATATTAAATGACGCAAGAGGAATACAACATCCTTTCTATTACGTAAGTCAGAGTAAAGATGGTAAAATATACGTAAGAAAAAGAAAGGTTCCATTAGCGAATGCAGAAAGCGACAACATTAAGGTGTATGGCAAGGGTGAAGTCCACGAAGCCCATATAAAACCTTCTGTTCAAACTGAGCCACCAAAAGAACCAGAAGAAAAGAAGCCAGATGTACTTTCAATAACGAACCAAGAGCTTATTGCAAAGTTCGTGAATTTCATTGAAAAACAAACCGAGTCAAAGAATCCTGACCCGCCAGTGAAAGAAGTTGGGGCAAAAGAGAATGTACAGTTCATTGAAAATGTCAAGAAACAACTTCAACCACGAATGCCAAGAAGAAGAGTGAGAATAATGAAGTAAATAGATATTTTTATCTGAAGTAAATACATGCAGAACGAACAGCTAAACGAATTTACTCCAGCAGAGCATATTCATCAGATTCGCTCATATTTCGATATCATAGACAATGCAGTTCAAATTGGTGACACTAATAGAAAATATTCTGACGCAAAAATTCCATCACAACCTGGAACTGCTAAAGATAACACATGGGTAACATTCAATCTCTCACCTCCTGGTGAAAATATGTTGGACCTTTACAATATATTCATTACGTATAAAATGGAAGGTCAATTTATTGTAGATAAAGAAATTGGTTCAGGTTCCAATAAAACAAACCCACCAGGATCTTGGATTGGTTTCGATGACGCTTTCTATGCAGTTGCTGGATATCAAATCCTTGCAAATGGTCGTATCGTATATTCTCAAGACAACGCAAGAGAAGAAGCATATATAACTTCAAACTCACAAACTACCGAACAAATAAAGAAAGTAGATGTTTTCTCAAAGACTCGACATGAAGATGTATGGAGTCATTCGGGAACATGCAGAACAGGACAAATTGTTAGTGGTCCAATTACAGCAGGAAAATCATTTGATTTTAAGCTTCGTTTAAGAATTCCTGTTAGAAGATTCCTTCCATTAGAAGCTATTCGATTTATTCCAGCTTTTGCAGGAAACATTCAGCTTAAAGTAAAGTTCAGTAGCGACGCCTTACAATGCACATCTATATCTGTAAATGATATCATTGCTTTCAATCCAACTCTTAAAGTTGCATTTGCTTCAGATTCAAATCCACCGACAAATAAATTTGTTCCATGGAATGAACCATTCACTATGATAACGAAGGCAGTAGAAGCTAGTGGAACAGTTACTATTACAACTGTAACCCAGCAACTATTTCGAACAAAGATGGATTTTAATGAATGTTTCATTCATCCAAAGTCATTCTCTTTAGACCCTAACATTTATACAGAACTTGTAGAACATTATACAAACGAGGCTTTATGTTTTCCTGTTAAAGTTATGGATTGGATTCCTATGGACGGTTCATTCTCAAAGAATACAGATAGTTCAAGTGCAACATTTACAGCAGCTTATACGCCTATTAATGTTAAAAGTATTTGGGCACTATTTAGAAAGAAAGACAACTATTATGTTAATTTTGAGAACCCTAAGTTTAAATATCTTCAGCTTTCCATGGGAGCTTATGGAAATATGCCTGCAGAACCTGAAAAATCATATGGACCTGTATTTTATGAAATGGTTGCGAACGCCTGCAATACAAACAATGATATGATAGGATTTAATGAAGATGTTATGAGGTCATTGGTGGATGATGGTAGTGTGGAACATAAATGGGATAGCTATGACAACACACATTTCTTATGTGGTTTTCCAACAGAAGTGGACTTTTGCTTCCAGCAAGGTCAAACATCTACTGCTCCAATAACATACAAATTGTCTGTTAAAGGACCTATTGAACTAGCAACTGAAAATGTACCAAAGCCACTTATTGGATTTATGAGGGATTGTTGCTTTGCCATTCAGGTGCGTGCTAATGGCATCCCCATAATAAGATTAGATGACTATAACTTAGCTACGGACGACAGTGAGGAATAAAGGATGAACGTTTATTTTAAAGCTTATAAATGAGTTCTTCATCAAGCTCTCGTGAACCTTCACCATCTATGAAACAAATTTTACCAAACGATTATGGAGCACCTATTGAATATTTCTTACGAGCTGCACAATGGCAAAGAGCAGTCTCACCAAGGTTAGGTGTTCCACCAGCTCCTGTCAAAAATAGCATTTGGTCAAGTCCTTATATAAGATATGGTCTCCCACTAGGTTTGCTAGCTACAGCAGGAGCAGTTATGATGTTGAAAAGAAATAAAGCAAATGTTGTAAATAATACTGAAGTAGCTGAAGTTAAACAAACTCCAACACCTTCACAAGCAAAACCTTCAATGACTCCTGAACCTATGGAAGTACAAACTCCTGTTCAAAAGTCAACTCCTAAACCGACTCCAACATTTAAACCAGAACCTACTCCTCAAATAAATCGTAAAACTCCTGCGTTTCCTTACTGAAAAAATAACGTTATTTTTATTTAATATTAAAATTTTTATTTGATTGAAATGACAAATAAAGTCACTGAAGCAATGAAACAAAAGTTTTTGGTAGAATACATTAAATCAGGAACTATTCCAGAAGGTTTTTACATTCATACTATGAAGGATGGTAGAGTTCAGTTTAGAAAGATAAAGCAACCATTAGATAAGAAGGAATATAAGGAAGATTAAACTTCATGAGGACAACATTGCTGAACTTAGGAAGAAGTTAGAAGAGTTGGAGAAAGGAAGAGAGTTATAAAGCAATGAATTCAACAGGGTGAAAAAACAGGTGAAAAAAGAGGTGAGATCTCACCACTTCACCTAAATTTATTTTTGTGCTATGTTTTCATACGTGTGAGTGGTGGATATCATTAATTTTTAAGTTTATTTTTAAAATTATTTTTATATAAATGACGAAAACTATTGAGATAACAAACTACAACGGTCATGAGTTCAAGAATTTGTTCTTCGTTCCTCGTGAAAATACATTCTATCAGATACGAGGGAGAAAGGGTAAAGTTAGTTTGAGCGTTTATGACTACAAGCATAATGGAAAGTTTATACAAGCATATGATACAAACGGTAAGCGTGTTTCATTAGCTTTGTCAAAGCTTACTAACATTTATTTTGACAGTGACTTTGACTCTGACGATTGGAGCGACAGCAGCGATACTGAAGAATATGAAGTATTGTGTGAAGCACAGCAATGGGAAGAGTTGCAATACTTTTGTAAGTGAGAACGTTTATTTTTTACAGTAGTGAAGTCGTTTGTGAAAACGTTAGTGAGGTGAAGTGGTTGGTGGCTTTGTAAATATTTAAGGTTAAGTTAGTGTTGTCGTTTGTGTTGTAAAATATACGTTAACGGTTTCGTAAAGTGTCAAATTCACATATAATGGGTAAGGAGGCGCGCAGTGCCTCAGAGTTAGTATACAAGTCATGGGTACGGCGGCACTGCGTTCCACCTTACCCAATACTTGTGAATTTGACACTTTACAAAGCCACCAACCACTTCACCTCACTAATGTAAAAAATAAACGTTCTCACTTACAAAAGTATTGCAACTCCTCCCATTGCTGTGCTTCACATAACAGCTCATAATCTTCTGACTCACTTTCTTCTTCATATAGGTCAAAGTCACTGTCAAAATAAATGTTAGTAAGTTTTGACAAAGCTAATGAAACACCCTTACCGTTTGTATCATATGCTTGTATAAACTTTCCATTATGCTTGTAGTCATAAAACGCTCAAACTAACTTTACCCTTTCTCCCTCGTATCTGATAGAATGTATTTTCACGAGGAACGAAGAACAAATTCTTGAACTCATGACCGTTGTAGTTTGTTATCTCAATAGTTTTCGTCATTTATATAAAAATAATTTTAAAAATAAACTTAAAAATTAATGATATCACCACCCTCACACGTATGAAAACATAGCACAAAAATAAATTTAGGTGAAGTGGTGAGATCTCACCTCTTTTTTCACCTGTTTTTCACCCTGTTTGAATTCATTGCTTTATAACTCTCTTCCTTTCTCCAACTCTTCTAACTTCTTCCTAAGTTCAGCAATGTTGTCCTCATGAAGTTTAATCTTCCTTAATATACCTTCTCTATCTAATGGTTGCTTTATCTTTCTAAACTGAACTCTACCATCCTTCATAGTATGAATGTAAAAACCTTCTGGAATAGTTCCTGATTAATGTATTCCTACCAAAAACTTTTGTTTCATTGCTTCAGTGACTTTATTTGTCATTTCAATCAAATAAAAATTTTAATATTAAATAAAAATAACGTTATTTTTTCAGTAAGGAAACGCAGGAGTTTTACGATTTATTTGAGGAGTAGGTTCTGGTTTAAATGTTGGAGTTTAGGAGTTGACTTTTGAACAGGAGTTTGTACTTCCATAGGTTCAGGAGTCATTGAAGGTTTTGCTTGTGAAGGTGTTGGAGTTTGTTTAACTTCAGCTACTTCAGTATTATTTACAACATTTGCTTTATTTCTTTTCAACATCATAACTGCTCCTGCTGTAGCTAGCAAACCTAGTGGGAGACCATATCTTATATAAGGACTTGACCAAATGCTATTTTTGACAGGAGCTGGTGGAACACCTAACCTTGGTGAGACTGCTCTTTGCCATTGTGCGCTCGTAAGAAATATTCAATAGGTGCTCCATAATCGTTTGGTAAAATTTGTTTCATAGATGGTGAAGGTTCACGAGAGCTTGATGAAGAACTCATTTATAAGCTTTAAAATAAACGTTCATCCTTTATTCCTCACTGTCGTCCGTAGCTAAGTTATAGTCATCTAATCTTATTATGGGATGCCATTAGCACGCACCTGAATGGCAAAGCAACAATCCCTCATAAATCCAATAAGTGGCTTTGGTACATTTTCAGTTGCTAGTTCAATAGGTCCTTTAACAGACAATTTGTATGTTATTGGAGCAGTAGATGTTTGACCTTGCTGGAAGCAAAAGTCCACTTCTGTTGGAAAACCACATAAAAAATGTGTGTTGTCATAGCTATCCATTTATGTTCCACACTACCATCATCCACCAATGACCTCATAACATCTTCATTAAATCCTATCATATCGTTGTTTGTATTGCAGGCGTTCGCAACCATTTCATAAAATACAGGTCCATATGATTTTTCAGGTTCTGCAGGCATATTTCCATAAGCTCCCATGGAAAGCTGAAGATATTTAAACTTAGGGTTCTCAAAATTAACATAATAGTTGTCTTTCTTTCTAAATAGTGCCCAAATACTTTTAACATTAATAGCGTATAAGCTGCTGTAAATGTTGCACTTGAACTATCTGTATTCTTTGAGAATGAACCGTCCATAGAATCCAATCCATAACTTTAACAGGAAAACATAAAGCCTCGTTTGTATAATGTTCTACAAGTTCTGTATAAATGTTAGGGTCTAAAGAGAATGACTTGGATGAATGAAACATTCATAAAATCCATCTTTGTTCAAATAGTTGCTGGGTTACAGTGTAATAGTAACTGTTCCACTAGCTTCTACTGCCTTCGTTATCATAGTGAATGGTTCATTCCATGGAACAAATTTATTTGTCGGTGGATTTGAATCTGAAGCAAATGCAACTTTAAGAGTTGGATTGAAAGCAATGATATCATTTACAGATATAGATGTGCATTGTAAGGCGTCGCTACTGAACTTTACTTTAAGCTGAATGTTTCCTGCAAAAGCTGGAATAAATCGAATAGCTTCTAATGGAAGGAATCTTCTAACAGGAATTCTTAAACGAAGCTTAAAATCAAATGATTTCCTGCTGTAATTGGACCACTAACAATTGTCCTGTTCTGCATGTTCCGAATGACTCCATACATCTTCATGTCGAGTCTTTGAGAAAACATCTACTTTCTTTATTTGTTCGGTAGTTTGTGAGTTTGAAGTTATAATGCTTCTTCTCTTGCGTTGTCTTGAGAATATACGATACGACCATTTGCAAGATTTGATATCCAGAACTGCATAGAAAGCGTCATCGAAACCAATCCAAGATCCTGGTGGGTTGTTTTATTGGAACCTGAACCAATTTCTTTATCTACAATAAATTGACCTTCCATTTTATACGTAATGAATATATTGTAAAGGTCCAACATATTTTCACCAGGAGGTGAGAGATTGAATGTTACCCATGTGTTATCTTTAGCAGTTCCAGTTGTGATGGAATTTTTGCGTCAGAATATTTTCTTTAGTGTCACCAATTTGAACTGCATTGTCTATGATATCGAAATATGAGCGAATCTGATGAATATGCTCTGCTGGAGTAAATTCGTTTAGCTGTTCGTTCTGCATGTATTTACTTCAGATAAAAATATCTATTTACTTCATTATTCTCACTCTTCTTCTTGGCATTCGTGGTTGAAGTTGTTTCTTGACATTTTCAATGAACTGTACATTCTCTTTTGCCCCAACTTCTTTCACTGGCGGGTCAGGATTCTTTGACTCGGTTTGTTTTTCAATGAAATTCACGAACTTTGCAATAAGCTCTTGGTTCGTTATTGAAAGTACATCTGGCTTCTTTTCTTCTGGTTCTTTTGGTGGCTCAGTTTGAACAGAAGGTTTTATATGGGCTTCGTGGACTTCACCCTTGCCATACACCTTAATTGTCGCTTTCTGCATTCGCTAATGGAACCTTTCTTTTTCTTACGTATATTTTACCATCTTTACTCTGACTTACGTAATAGAAAGGATGTTGTATTCCTCTTGCTCATTTAATATAATAGACTCTCGCTCTGATTTTGACAAGCTCATTTTACATCGTTAAAGTTTTTAATTTTGTTTTTTATGCAGTCAAATGACTCAGACAAGCCCTACGGACAAGACCCAAGGGGTCATAGATGTTGAAGCATTGAAGAAAGAAATTCGTGAGCAAATTTTATCCGAACTGAAGGAACAAAAACAAGAACAAAAGCCAGAGAGACCAAAGAGAAAACTTAGTGAAAAACAACTTGCTGCATTAGCTGCTGGAAGACAAAAGAACCCAAGACTACTGGCGAAAAAAGCTAGAGAAGAAGCTGAAGCAAAAGCTAAAAGAAGCTGAAGCAAAGAAAGAGTAAAATGGTTTATTTTATCGGAACTAAATGTATAGACAAATACCTTATCTGTTGCGTTCAGTAGTGAAAACCCTGACGTCAAAATAAAGGGGAACAGAGTAACGTTTAAGTTTCCAACAGACTGGATGTGAACATAAATGAAGAGAAGTACATTGGTATAACATCTATGTATATAACACGTGATTTCAGAAAGGTTGACTTTATACTTCAAGTCGAGATAGAAAATGACGAACAGTCTTTAAGCGCCCAAAACATTCACATATACAAATACTTTAAAAACAGTACAACATTGCAACAATGTATGATTTCATTTAATGAAATGTTCGAGAAAAAGTTTAACATTGAAGTACAAACTTTACAGCCTTTACGTGAGTTTCTTGCACAACTGAAAGAAGAAGGTAGTCAGCCACAACTTATAGACTTTCATTATGAATTTAATGAAAATGAAGATGGAACTCATGACTGTCAGTTTGTTATATATTCACCATTCAATGAAGTAGCTAAAAAGAAAAGAAATCCATTACGTATAAGATTTCAAATCTCTGAACCAAGTGATGATTTCAAGAAGTTTTCAGTTATGATGCAATGCTTCCGAGGAAAAATGAATTTTCAAAGATTGTAACACCTGGCATTTGGATAGAAAGCAAGCTATATTATATTCAAACTTAAGTAAGGAGTTGAAATGAGTTCATTGGTCATACAAGAACTTCACCACTTCCTAACCCTAAATACTATAAATTAACTGGCTTCAATCGTGAGTTTTGGATAGACATGTTCTCCACTCATGACCATATAACTGCCAGTGTTCTTACCTCCAGACCATAAGGACTGTCTCTACATTGAAGCACAACTCTTAAACTCTACCATCGCAGTATTGTAAATGACACATGGCTTCGCCCTTGCCGCTAGCGGCTTATTTTTATCACGAATGACCTCATTGCTGACAAAAATAAATGACCTCAGAACTTCAACTTACGAATAAAGCTTTGTTTAGTCGTTATTGAGAAGTTAAACTTCTCTTCAAAGCAAGGTTGACATGACTTACATAAGTCAAATCCAATCTCTTGACCGTCATAAAGTGCTTTGTAAAGTTTCATTAAACTGAACTCAGAGTCTTTGTCATATGTTCCTTGCGGAACCATTAACCTTTATCTTCATCATAAAACACTGAACAGAGTCAGGAAACATTTCATTAGCGGTAAAAGCAAAACATCTTGCTTCACGCCTTTTTCTGCAGTGAAATGCAACTTCATTTAAATCATTCGTGAGTAAGTCTATGTAAGTCTTCTTTCCACAAAATATTGACTTGTATGCTAAACTTTGTTTATCTTTTGTGATTTCTGCAAAGTCGCTATGAAATTGACCAAGGTTTTTACCAATGAGAACTCTTCCATAACGTTTCTCAAACTCTTCAGCTAAACGAGGGATATCTTCATTGTAGAGATGCATACTGTCCGTATCGCTATAAAAGATGTCCATTCCATATCTTCAGCAGTACAGAATACTTCACACATTATTCTCTTCGACATTGACAGAATGTTAACACCAAGTGGACAGAAGTTAAAGTGTCTGCAAATACTTTTTGTTAGCTTGAAAATAGTTTTATCTGAACCATCCAAACCTTCGAACTTCACTATATGGTTGTAGTTTCTGATGCATATCTTATAGCATCTTTGTCATTTACTATGGTTATTTTTGACTCAATAGGAGATAGAATAGTTTTGCCATAAATACTGTTCAGAATGAGCTTTATATTTTCTTGCAAAGGATTTCCTTTTTCTTATACTTTAACCTTAACTCAAACAACTTCTTTACTTCATCTCTTATTCTAATTCTCTGTTTCCATCGTAATAGTATCCTTGCAACACTTCACATTTGACACCTTGATATTTTATGAGGTCTTGTAATGTTATATGGTCAACATACATTAAACAGCAAGTGTTTGAACTTCTGGGAACGTTAAGTTCTGGATTTAGTTCAGGGGTCACAAACTATTAAAGGAAAGTGTCTTGTATTCCAATCTCTGTTATCTTAATGGAACAAAGAAGCCAGACAAAACTTTTCACCAATGGGTTCCTTTGGTCGTCATCGAATAAATGTCTCATGAGATACTCTGTGCTTAACATTTCTTTCTTCAAACCTTTGGAATACCTTCTAAAGTATAAAGCTTGCTATAGCTGATGGATATAATGAAACAGCGTCGAAGTCAGCAATGAGTTTCTTTTCGCTCTTTTGTTTAATGTTATCTGACAGCATACATCTTCCACCTTGAATACAGCATGAAATAAATTCTCTTGGTTTATTTGAGAGGTCATATAAATTTCCATTCGGGAAGTACACTCTGTTCTCAAATAATTTGTTAGCAATTGAACAAATACTAACGTAGTCATAAACGTTTAAATCAAACTCTTTCAATATATCATTTCTGAACTTAACAAAACCTTCTCTTAAAATTCTTACATCTTGTTTGCAATAAAATGTGCTATACTTTTCTAAATCGAAGTGGTTCTCATCTATTCTGCAGTTTTCGATTAAATCTATGTTTTTCATGAATGTATCCGCATCCTGGATAAACTTACACGCTTCAGAAATGACACCAGTTCTGTTGTCATTTGCTAACAAAACACTGCTGTAGTAGTTGTATGGAAATACTTCTTTCGGTCCTGTTTGTAAGTTAAACATAGCAGGAAATAGTTTAAGCTTCTTATTTATAACACTGTAAGAGTCTTTTATAATAATTGCCCTTCCTTTATATAAGCCAGTTATTTGCATTGTTCGTGAACCTTTAATGATGGGAGTTCCTTTCACTTCTGTCATGTGTCTTAAGATGAAGTTTATATCATAACTGAGGTTATGGAAATATATTAAACTCTTGTCAGGAAGTCGTTCCAAAAATTCTGTTGCACAGTTCTGACCCCAAATGCTTTCGCTAATCTTTCCATCTTCACTGTCATAACAAATGTTAAAGGCTTTATGAAAGCCATCAGTACTGCACTCAAAGTCAGCAAAGAAAACGTGCTCAGGAATGAACTTACATTTAGCTTTATTTACTTCTTTTGACTCGGCTTTCTTCTTCAGTTGTACACAATACTTTGGAGCATATGTCAAATCTTTAAATGGTGCAAGGTTCTGTTTATATAAGTCAGTCGTATATGTGAAAAGTTCTCCATAAGAAATAGGTTCGAAATATTTGCACTCCCACAATGTTTTCATAACATCCCATAACGGTGTTGTTCTATCATAACGAACTACATATTTATCTTCTCTCTTTGTATAAATCTTCATCTGTTTCTCAATGTTCATTCCACCACACTCCTTCAAGATTTCTATATAGTTGCGAATGAAATATGTTGTCATTGGTAATCTTTCATTTAGCATGTAGTGGTCTTCAACAAGAAGTAAGTCAATAGTTCTAACAGTTTCACATTCTTTTGGTATGTATCTCTTTATTTCATTATGTCTTGAGTCATTGAAATAACCAATGGTAACATTAAATGCTATACCTGTTGCGTCAGAAATTTCTTGTACTTTACTTTGAGGAAAGTCTCTAACACGAATGACTTCTCTCATGTGGTCAATAGTTTCTTCATTTACTCCAGCCTGAATGCAAGCATAAACGAAACAATTGTCTTCTGTCATAAGTGTTGCAGTTCTTTTGTTCAGTTCATTGAAGATTTGGTAGCGCTCAAGATTTATAGGTAATGTGCAAAGATACTTCCAGAACTGACCGCTTCTCTTCTTATAAAACTTCTTTTCACCATTATCTTTCCAAAAGCTTTCTATAAGTGCTGGGTTTCCTGTTTGCTTAAGAGCTTCCAAAATGGCTTTCTGGTCATTTGTCAGTGTGCTTTCATCTCTATATGGTCTCTTTTTTGGTTTGCCTTTCTTTACATCTGACATCGTTAAGCCTTCATATTCTGTTCAATCATACATCTTTATTTCAGTAAGATTCTTTATGTTTGTCAAGAAGAAGTCATAGTGCATTTCAACAATACCTGCAGCATTTGCTTCTATCTCTGATATAAAGTTCTCCTTCAAGAGCTGATGTAGTAATGTTCCAATATTATTGAGGTTTAACGTAGAACATTCATACTTTCCACCAAGTTTATAACATACCATCCATCTTTGTTGGAGTTTATTTTAATCTTCTCTAAGAGTCTCATGAAAACCTTACCGAAATGTTTGTGTAAGTAGTCTCTGTTTGGTTCATCTAAAGCTTCGATGTTAAAGTCAATGAGTCTATTGCCTGTCTTAACATTCCTCTTCCTATTCTCTTCATCTTTCTTTAACCATCTCTCACCTTCTTTTGGTTTGTCGTCAATGGAACGAAGGACATCGTTAGCTTTGCGAACTTGTTCTATAGCGCTCTTAAACATCTCTCTTTTCTGTTGTTTCAGTGTGTCGTCTCTTCTTCTTGTTTCACCAACGTTTGCATTTGTTATGTCAAACATTTCTCTTCTTACTTCATGAGGTACTGAATGTCTATGATATAAGTCAATAGCAACGTCATTTAAAGGAAATGCTCTTGCATGGACTTCGTCCTCGCCGCGTTGCGGCTTTATGAACTCATGAATTCTATCATAACTTATTGCACCATTATAGTCATTGAGGATGTCAGCGAGTGCTTTTTTGTTTGTTGCGTAATGCTTTGCAACATCTATATTAGCTTCTGTAAGAAGTTGTTTTATTTCCGAGTGTTCTAACTTAGACAACTTCCGATACATCTTTAGGTAGGAAATAAAAAAATATTTTTTGAAAAAATTAGATTAGATTTTTTAAGTTATTTTTCAAAATAATTAATATTTTTATTTTAATGAACACATGCAAGATTGCAAGTTCTTTTCATACAATGCTCTCGCTACTGCCATCAAGAATGAGTTCAATAATGCTTCAAATGTTAATGTTATCTTTAACAAGAAGTTTGTGAAAGAATCTAAGTTTGGTCAGTATGTCAGACCATTAGCTATCGTCATTGACCGCAAACGTTATACTTCACAAGAGTTAGCAGTAGTTTTGAAACAAAAGAGTTTCTTCGTGAATGTCAAAGATACTCATTATACTGTTAAAAGAACTCTAACATTGACTTCTTCAGTATTGCTTTAAATCTTTCCGAACAGAAAAAAATAAGAAGGGTGAAACATCTGTGAAATATTATCCTTCATCTCTGAAGACAATAACGAACAAAGATGTTATACAGAAATTCTTACCAAAGGTTGAAGAAGCTTCTATTGACATTGACGAAAGGAAGTGAAATGGTTGAAGAAATAGACCCTGAAGCTATTTAAGCAAAAATATATTTTTGGTTAGTCTTCATATCGATATTTTACAAAATTCCCCAATGTATAAACTTTTCATACGCTTTTTCATAAGCTTTATATACCTTCAGAAATTTTGCATAATCTTTAGAAGCATTTAGATATTGTTTAAATGCTTTGTATGTCTTCAGAAATTTTGCATAATCTTTTACATGTTGTTCGTTCTCTTCTTCTGTCATGAGTTCCGAATATTCTAAATTCATGTTCTTTCATATGAGATAAAATTTTATAAAAAAATAAAATTAGCTTAGATTTTTTTATTCTTCCTCTTTGAAGTTATCGAAATATTCTGTTATTTTTTCCTTCAGTAATGTTAAGTCTTCTTTGAATGTAAGTATTGTGCAACCTTTGATGTCATAGTGTGTTTGAGGAAGAGTATTTTTGACAATTTCCTTTATTTGCTCATTCGGTGTCATTGAAATCGGTAAGTTTTCACGATAGAACCAGTTTCTGTCAGATTTATATATTTTAGCTAAGTCATAAAAGCTCTTGTTGTTTCTTCTGACTAAATGCAACATAACCATATCTTTATCTTCTTCTTTCTCCAACTCTTCAGTATATATCATATACTTATAACTCTTTTCCTTTCCTTTTGGTACTGAACGCGGTATTCTTTTCTGTATGCTTTTGTCTTTGGATTCAATGACTTCATCTTTTGCATGAAGTTTCTTTTCCATCTCTCCACGTTCTGCTTTATATAGTTCATCTAACATCATGAAAATATAACAAGCATAACGAGGTGAAGCCCACATTGCTACAGCATTTACTAAAAGTCTATGAACATAATAACCTTTCAAACCAGGAGCCAAATTCTTGCGATTTTCGTACGGAATCTCTTCTCTCGGTTTTCCGAGGGAAGCAATCATATGAGGAAATTCTTCTGAAAGTTCTTTTGTCTGTTGGTTTTCAAACCAATGATATGCTTGCTTTGTAGAACGAAGAGCATTCATTATACTTTGCATTTGGTACATATCGTCTTTGACCGAACGAATGAGTCTCAATTGTTTGTTATACTGTATGTATTCGTATTCTTCATTTATGGCTTCATGAACGATAGCAATTGTTGTGTTCTCTAATGTTGTCATTACTGTCTTTACATACAAAATAAAAAAAATATTTTATAAAAAATTAGCGTTATTTTTCTAACTAATGAAATTCATGATTTTTGTGCTGAATTCAATAAAAATAATGTTTAGGTGAAGAGGTGAGATTTCACCTCTTTTTTCACCTTATTTCTACCCCAGTTATTTTATAAACGTTTCACATGGTAAACGTTATTTTTGGAATTTTGTGAAAACTCAACGGTTTGACACATGCCCTAAAAATTATTTTACTCAGAATTTTGTTGCTGAATTCAATAAAAATATAATTGAGGTGAAGAGGTGAGATTTCACCTCTTTTTTCACCTGGTTTTTCACCTCTTTTTTTTTCACAAGCGTTTTACATGAATTGTACGATGTATATTTGAAATCCTAAACAATTTCGTAGCTTCTATTTCTTCGCTGAGGATATCAAAAGTTTTAACAATGCCGAAGGTTTCTTTATATTTCTTCTTGACGTCAGATAGAAGGAAATCTTCTGCTGTTGGATAGTTTTTATTAAGAAATGTCAACATATCCATTTTATTTTCTGCTGGTTTTTCTGCTTCTTTCTTTAAGTCTGCATAGTCGTTTCGCATTCTTTCTATCTCTTTGACTGAGTAGTTATATTTTCTTATTGCTGCTTTACATTTTGAACATTGCGGCATCGTTTTTGCGTTATACATTGAAATAAAACCAGCTAGAACAACTAAAGCGTCAATGGTTTTCTTTAACTCAAAAGCTGCTGGTTTTATCTGTTCATTCCATACTTTACCTCTTCTATCTTTATCTCTTATCTGCCATACACATTTTGCAACTAATGAAACAAAGTTATCGTATGTCTTAAATTCTTCGGATTTGTAAAGGTCAGAAATATTTTTATAAACCATGTCGCAATCTTTGTCCATAACTTTATGGTTGCAATGAAAACCAAGGAATTCATAATTTACTTTACGTATGAATTTCTTAATTTCTACTGAGTCAGTTGCTTTGACTTCAATTTCGTCGAATTCAGGAATAGTTAGTTTTTGCTGCTGAATTTCAGGTAGTTTAGGCAAATGGTCGATGAGGTCCTCCATTTCATAAAGATACTGTTCATTTGTTTCATCTTTCGCACTACAGTCTAAATTACTTGTTAAAAGTTCTTGCTTTATCTTCTGGATTTCTGTTTCAAAAGTATATGAAGAAGGAATAAAGCTTTTCATCTCTACCAACATTGACGTAGGATTCATGACTAACGAGTTTGGTGCTGTAGTTGTGGACAGAGTCCCGCCGTTCGTGGCTTGAATTGTTGTTGTGCCGATTGTTGAAATCATATCTTTTATACAAAATAAAAAAATAAATAAAAATAAAACTAACTTTATTTTTTCTATCTTAAGGAAATTCATGAAAATTCGTGAGGGTGAAAAAACGGGTGAGATCTCACCTCTTCACCTAAACATTATTTTTGGTGTAAATTTATGAAAACATTAATAATACATGACTGTTCTCATTCATGTCTGATTTACATCTAATGAAAAAGTTCGTGTTGGATTTGTTGTGAAAGTGTGTGAATGATTTCCTGTGGTTCCACAGAAAATACCTGCGCTTGAATCTACTGGGTCACTTGAAATATCATATCTATGCATTCCCTGTCTATCCGAACCTGCTGCAAGATTTGTATAACCTCTTTTTGTTATTGAATGTGAATGATTACCTGTTGTGTTTGTAGTTCCTGTATGAGTGTGCGGTGGAAGGTTTGCTTCTTTAATTTTCTTCGAACCTCCTGTTTGCTTTGAATATCTAGCACAGTATAAGAATTTATCTACAATCTGCTTCCACGTACCAAAGCCCAGAACTGTTGCTGGATTTGTTGAATTCATTGACGTATAAATAGAACCAACAGGATATAATGTTTGAAGTATTTCAGTCTTTAATGTTTGAAGCTCTGTTTTGTCTGCTTTCTTATCTAACATTGCTGGTAGTTCATATGCTTCAAAGTTTCTGGCATGACCTTCGATATTCCTGCAACTGTTATCTAAATTGTTTAGTGTATCTTTTACGCTTGTACTTGGATTCTCTAAAGGTGCACTTGAACCCAAATCATAGTTCAATATTATGTCGTCTGCTCTAACAGTAGTGAAGGATTTATGTGTATGTTCTTTGTCAGCTTTACTGTCTAACATTGCTGGTAGTTCATGTGTTTCAAAGTTTCTGACATGACCTTCGATATTCCTGCAACTGTTATCTAAATTGTTTAGTGTATCTTTTACGCTTGTACTTGGATTCTCTAAAGGTGCACTTGAACCCAAATCATAGTTCAATATTATGTCGTCTGCTCTAACAGTAGTGAAGGATTTATGTGTATGGTTCTTGTCAGCTTTACTATTTAATGTAGCTTGAAGTTCATTTATATCGGAGATATTGTGTTTATGAGATTTCAAAACTTTGTTGGTTGCGTCAAGTTCATCTTTGTCAGCTTTACTTTTAATAGCATCTTCAAAAGTTATTTTTGCCTTAACTCTCAAAGTAAATCTTGGTTCAACTAATACACCGTTAACAAAGAAGTATGAAGCATAAATTTCATCGTTATAACCAAATACTTCTGGTGCTTTACCTGTGTCATACTGTACAGTACAGTGTATGTCATAACCTTTAGCACGAATGAATTTATATCTTCTTTCATTAACATCTTCCGTCTTCACTTCTTCTTCAGTTTGTGTTAAATATCCATGGTAGTCCGTTATAATCTGTTCGTCTGAAGTTATATAATGAACATGGTTTTTATCTGCTTTTTGTGAAAGAAGTTCAACAACTTTTGCTTCACTTATGTCATCAGCGCCACTTTCATTTATTTTTGTCAGCATTGCTTTCAAAACTTCATAAAGACTAACTACTTCTTTTGGTTCTTGAAACAATGAGTCAAAAGTCTTTCTTAACATTACATCTTCAACTGTTATGATTGAGTCAATACCTTTCTCTTTTATTGTCTTAGCTAACTGACCTAAAATAACGAACATATAGTCTAAAATATTATCTTCACTGTTAAACGCTATACTGTTTTCACGAATTGTTGTGTTTGTTGCTATTAAAACTTCATCAAACTCAGGATATATATTCAGTAGCTTTTCAACAATTGTTTGAACCACTTGTCCTCCTTCTTCATCTAAATCTCTTGCTGCCATTAAAGGATGTAAATTAATTGGTTCAATAATTCCGAGACGAGGGTTGTAAGCAAGTCCGTCGAACATATTTTTACGTTTGAGTGCCCAGTTAGTTAGTTTCTTTGTATTATTTATTACTTTACCCCATAAATTTTTGAGACCGTCAAAGAAACTTCCTGTATTTCCATGCAATTTAGCAAACTCAACATAAAACTTCATGCTATCTATGCCACCAAGAAAAGCCCAGAGTGCATCTATCTCACTTTGCATGGTTATAAGAGATGCAGTTGTTACACCTGATGAAAATAAAGTAAACAACCACCCTAACCAACTCTTACCTGCTCCACTTTGTTCTACTTTCACAAAATCACTGATATGACTTTTTAAGTATTCTTTCGTAAGTAATGTGTCTCCAGGTGTAACGTCTCTAACGATATTATCTCCGTCAAAAGTCAATGTTCTAACTTGTGTCCGTGCAGCCTTTATTTTAAGCATGCATAGTCTGGTGTTTGAGGAGCAGAAGGCTCGATGTATGTAATTTTAAAGAAATCGTCATAATTTTTCTTAAAGGTTTCATATGTTGTTTTGAATGTATTGAACCTCATTATTATATCAAGAAGTTTTGTCAATGAGTCAGCAATTGCTTCATCTACTGTTGACGTTTTGAGTTTTATTTCTGCTGAGTCGTTTATGAATGGTACTTGACATTGAGTTGTATATGGGTCAAATCCTGTAGGACCCAAATGAAGCAAGTAGTCTAAAATATCACGAACAGACTTTGAGACAGTTGTGTTTCTTCATGACGATTTCACCATTTACAATGAATGGCATAGTACATGAAGTTATTTGTGGGTCAAAACCAGAAGGATTGAAATGAAGCATATAGTTCAGCGCCTCATACACTGACTTATACACTGTTTCATTATTTTTTGACACAATTTCACCATTTACAATGAATGGCATTGTCGAAGGAGTTGTTTTTGTATCGAACCCTGAAGGATTGAAGTTAAGAATGCTTTCAAGAGCTTCATATACAGACCTATAAACAGTTGTGTCGTTCTTCATGACAACTTCACCATTTACAATGAATGGCATAGTACATGGAGTTAAAATAGGGTCAAACTTTTCATAGTCCTTCCATGTTATATATTTCTCAGTATTTCCATCAGAAATAACAATATATTTGTCAGTAAGTGTGAGAGAGTATTGACCAAAATATAAACGTTTAGCTCTGTCAGCTTCATACGCATATGCAGCTATACTCATATTTTAATGAGAATAAAATGTTGTTCTATTTGCAAAGTACAGACCCAAACGAATACGGGACAGTAAAGCTACAAACAAACTTAGGTCTACAGAATGAGGCGCTTGCATTCAGAATGGTTGACTTCAATACTATCGCTTCATTCGTTATAACAGATGAAACAGATTTCATGGAGATTGAAATAGATGGAAAGAAGCACGAAATAAGATTTCACAATAATGTAGAATATAAGATGGAAACATTAGCTGGAGTGTTAAATGCTCTCATAAATACTACAATAAACAAGGATAACGAAGAAAACTTAATGAATGTTAAACTTATTGCAGGAGTTTTGAAGTTCAGTTATGCGAAGGAGTTTAAGATAACACGAATGAGTCATAGAGTACAACTTCTTTTGGGTGCATACCATATGACATTTCCTTTGAAAAGTGTTGACAAAACGATTGAGATGAAATCTGTTCCATACGTATGTTATGGTAATTGTTTGTACATTGAGTCAAAAATAGCTAATGTCACAGGTATTTCAGGAGTTAATAGTAAAGGTTCAGTAGAATATAAATCCTTCTGTTATGCAGTCAATTCAATGTTCATTCCAAACGTTCCTGTCATAGCAACTCATTTAGGTAAATGGGTTCGCATTAGTCCTCATAATTTGAAAGACATGCAATTCAGACTAGTTGACTTTCAAGGAGAGCCTGTAGAACTGAAGGCACCAGTGCGAATGACTGTTGAAGTTGACTTTTTAGAAAATATTAAATGCAACAGCTTACAAGAGAACTCAGAGCTAAAAATATAAAGTATGAATGTTATGTATTAGGTCATGAACTTTGGTTGTTGCTGTTTGATGAAACAAATGAATTAGTTATGTCAGTCAAGAGAACAGAAAAATATTGTGTTAGTGAAAACTGCACCAAGTCAATAAGATTAGGTTTGCATTATGAAGATGAGTTCGATACTGTTGAAGAAGTTTTGGATAGATATTAGTATACAAGTCATGGGTACGGCGGCACTGCGTTCCACCTTACCCAATACTTGTGAATTTGACACTTTACAAAGCCGCCAACCACTTCACTAACGAACTCACTAATGTAAAAAATAAACGTTCTCACTATCGTTCTCACTAACGACTTCACTAATGTTCTCATAAATTTTCCTCAATATCTTCATCATCAGTGTTAACCCTATTGTAGTCATACTTGAAGCCATAAACTTTCTCTAACTTCTTAACGTACAATTTACATAACTTACCTTCGTCATCGTATGGTTTAATGATATAACTATTTCTATCTTTATACACAGTCAATGAAAAGTCAACTGGTCTCGGATGTATTTGAAAGAACATGTTATGCTCAGGAAGGAAGAATAAATGTTTAAATGTATGTTTGTTATACTGTGGAATTCGAATGAGTTGCTTTTGTTCTGTCATTTACATCCAAATAAAAATTTTCAGTAAAATAAAAAATAAACTTAAAAATTAATGATATCACCACTCCCACACGTATGAAAACATAGCACAAAAATAAATTTAGGGTAGAAGGTTAGATCTAACCCGATTTCTAACCTCTTTTCTACCCTGTTGAATTCATTGCTTTATAACTCTCTTCCTTGGTTTCTTTTTAGTTGCTTTCTTCACGTCTGTCTCCAACTTGACTGTCTTTCTTCTTCGTCCGTAATGATACCAGTTACTTCCACCAGTCAATGGGTCAAATGGTCTTTCGTAAGGGTTTCCATACATTCCATAGGGACCATACGGAAGAACTACTGGTGGAGAAGAAACATTTTCTTTAGTTCCATCGACTCTATTTAAATGCATTGTTTCACCTTTCATCTGGTCATTAAAGTCTTTTGCGTGTTTTGCAAACTCATCGTCCTTTCCTAAAGCATTTTCTGACTCAGTCGCAACCAAATTGGATGCTTTATTTATGAGCCCTATTTTATTTAATCTTAACTTCTTTGCAACCCAGCCTCCAATCTTCCCTTTATTTGCATCTAATGTCTTCGAAACCCTTCCTCCACTCATTTTATTTACTGCGTCATAAGCTCCAAGTGCTTTTGCTCCAAATGCTAATGCTTTTGTTCCCATTGCGCCTAAAGCTGCCCAAGCTACCATTTACCCCATATTAAAATCATCTCTCTTCAATATTATCTCATAAAAGTTCTCGTTACTGGAGAAAGTCAATGAAACATAAGCGTTCTCACTGGCTTCGCCCTCACCGCTTTGCGGTCTATCTAACTTCTTTCTTATATCATCTATACGCTTCAAAATGTCTGAACAATTGCTAACATCTTCTACAACAGTTATTTCATCATGAATGACCTTCAAGAACAAGCTCATTTAATATGCTATTAAAATCATCTCAATAATGAGTCCATCCTTTCCATCTTTAGGTAGCACAACATCTTTCATTGAAGAAGGTTCGACAAGTCTTATGTTAAACTTACTGACAAAGTTTGTTATACTATAATGCTTCGGCGGCGAATACATGTAGTTTGAAAGACATAATATAGATTCTTCAGCAAATTCACTTATACTGGATTTATAACAATGTTCTCACGAGACCAAATACCACCAATTGACAATCTTGTAAGCAATCCTGCTGAACCTTCTACTGTAAACGTCGATGGTAACATTCCACGAAGGTCATCTATTGACATCGTTGAGTCACTGTATTTAAATATTTTTCTTAAAGCAATCGTCATTATCTAACCATGCAATAGCTTTGAAGTTTTCATTCGAATATACATCTGCTTCATTAAATGTAAAACCTGACTTCTTTGCAGAGACGACTTTAAAATCTATTGAGTTTGTTTCAAAATTATATGCTATGGTAACTTCTGAAGGTAATGGATGTCCTTCCGCAGTCAGTTGTTCTCTCACTACCGTTTGAAGCTTTGTATTAAAAACTTTCATGTCATCTCCTGTATCTAAGTTCACATACACAGCAACAGGAAAACTATCTTGCTTCTTTGTTTCATCATTATACCTCAAAACATTAAAGTTCTTCAATAATATTGTTCTTCCTGCTGGAATACTTCGAACCTGTCTGATTTCAATAGCTTTCTCACCTCCTACATACTCTACCCAGTGTCTTGGGTATTCATAAGTATACTGACTTTCTTGAATTTTGGTTGGTTTCATCATAACATGTTCATAGTATATCTTTATACTCTTGTCAGTTAGACTCGGTGCTATGTTCTGAATATTTCTGACTTGCATTTTTAATGGAGATAAAATGAAGCATTTAATACATGACGTAGATGAAGACATGAATGAAACTACAGACAAACTTAACTCTTCTCTCATTCTTCCTTTCAGTAAGGACTATGAGTTCTGTTCAAATGGTGTTTATTTCTATTGTGGAAAGATGGGTTCAGGTAAGACATTTAACCTCATTCGTCATATACTCATAACAGAACGTTTAGGAAATGACTCATATTATGACCAAATCATTATATCAGCAACTTCAGACTCTATGGACTCAACAGCGAAAACATTTATGTCAAAAGTTCAAGCCTCTGTCGTTAAAGTTCCAGACAGTGAACTCATTGAATTTCTTCAACGTTACATTCGACGTAAGAGGAAATATTATGCCATCGTTGAATTTATACAGTCAGGAATGCAAAAGACTTCTGAGGAGATGGAAAGAATTATTGACAAACACCACTTACGTCAATACTCAGGAGTTTACGATATGAAACGACTGACAAACTACATTCTATCAAAACTTTCAAAATACCCCTTCAAAAAATATCCATCAAACACTTTATTAGTTTGTGACGACTTCGCTGGTAAAGGTTTAGTGTCAAAACCAGACTCACCATTAGCTAACATCATTACTAAAGTCAGACATTACCATTTAACTGTAGCAATACTTATGCAAACATGGAGGTTTTTAGCTTTAAACATAAAACGTCTCATAACTGACTTCGTTATCTTTCAAGGTTTCTCACGCTATGACATTGAACTCATTTGGAAACAGTCAGGTATAACATTACCTTTTGAAGAAATTTGGGAAGCATATAAGTCTCTCATCTCTCCTCGTTCATACCTTGAGATTCATATCATGACTAATACCATTAAAGTCAAAAATATTCCATGGGAACGACCAACATTGTTTTAAAGTTTAACCTTCAATTGACTGATGGTAAACAAATTCCATGCATCTCTGTCGCCATTTCTGTTAATATTTTTGCTGTCATTCATATCATCCACTTCCCCATCCGTTAGCTTTTGAGGATATGCGTTAGAATAGTTGTTCTTAAATGAAGGCTTTTCACCTTTGAGAGCATAAACTCTATAACTTTCTGCATACTTTATGTTTGAACCTCCTGAGCCATCATTGACATAAATTTTTATAGGCTTCCACCCTTTGTTCATGTTCCTGCTTCTTCCCTTAGCTCTTTTGTTCAGTAGTTCTACATCTTTATACACAGCACCTGTCTCAGTGAATTCAACAATATTTTCATTCGTTAGCTTTACATTCAAACCCTTGTCGAGTATATTGTTCATTTCATACATATAAAAGGTTTTTATTCTATATGAAATGAGAAGCAAATCCATCTTAGCTGGTGCTGTTAATGTTCCAATTGAACCAACATCAAATGTTGACTCACGAACGACAAACAATATTGTCATAAAGAACTATAGTTCAGAGTGTTTGAAAGAACCAGAACCAGAACTTAAGTCGGTGAATTTAAACTCAGCTTCAAACGCTAACGCTACATCAGATGTTAAGTTAGAGTATCCACCACTGGACCAAATTCTTTCAAGAGAAGCCAACGACAACCCTTACACAAATGTTCAAACAAATCCTTCAGATAACGTAGACCATTACCTTCTTCAGTTATACCAAACAATTTTACTCAAAGACGATAAGAAGCTTTTGACAAATCTTATAAGTAAGAACCAAATAATTCTAACAAAGGAGGACCTTGAAAATGTTATATCACGAATAACAGGGAAACAATGTGTCATTGACTATCTCGACCCTGAAATCGAATGCTGTGGTCAAACTCCACTATTCATGAAAATAGGTAACATCCGCATCATTGAAACACCAGGAACTACAGGAGTTGAGTTTAAGTATAAATATTCGAATGAATATACAAAACTATCTACTGACTATAAGCTTTGTTTGAAATATGTTTTAGTAAATTAAAGCAGTCAGGAGGGCTCTTTGAGCCCATCTTGGCGCTTTGCGCCGTCAGTCAAAAATTTCAAGTTAGCAATTTGTAATATCTATCCAAAACTTCTTCAACAGTATCGAACTCATCTTCATAATGCAAACCTAATCTTATTGATTTGGTGCAGTTTTCACTAACACAATATTTTTCTGTTCTCTTGACTGACATAACTAATTCATTTGTTTCATCAAACAGCAACAACCAAAGTTCATGACCTAATACATAACATTCATACTTTATATTTTTAGCTCTGAGTTCTCTTGTAAGCTGTTGCATTTAATATTTTCTAAAAAGTCAACTTCAACAGTCATTCGCACTGGTGCCTTCAGTTCTACAGGCTCTCCTTGAAAGTCAACTAGTCTGAATTGCATGTCTTTCAAATTATGAGGACTAATGCGAACCCATTTACCTAAATGAGTTGCTATGACAGGAACGTTTGGAATGAACATTGAATTGACTGCATAACAGAAGGATTTATATTCTACTGAACCTTTACTATTAACTCCTGAAATACCTGTGACATTAGCTATTTTTGACTCAATGTACAAACAATTGCCATAACATACGTATGGAACAGATTTCATCTCAATCGTTTTGTCAACACTTTTCAAAGGAAATGTCATATGGTATGCTCCCAGAAGCAATTGAACTCTATGACTCATTCGTGTTATCTTAAACTCCTTCGCATAACTGAACTTCAATGTTCCCTCAGAAGAGAGTTCGACATCTATGTTGTCAATAGTTTCTTCATTTATGAGAGTATCTATGACTCCAGCAATTTTATCTATTCTGTACTCGGCTCTGTTAGGAAATGTTATAACACTTCTTTTGTCATCTATTTCAATCTCTATGAAATCTGTTTCATCTGTTATGACAAAAGTTGCGATAGTATTGAAGTCAACAACTCTGAAAGCAAGCGCCTCATTCTGTAGACCTAAGTTTGTTTGTAGCTTTACTGTCCCGTATTCGTTTGGGTCTGTACTTTGCAAATAGAACAACATTTTATTCTCATTAAAATATGACTATTGCTGCATATGCGTATGAAACAAATGAAGCAAGAAGAGCACATGAACTAGTAAACGAAAACTCAACTTTAACCATTGAAGGCAATGATTTAGTCATTGACGATGGAAAAACTAAAAAAGTCATTGATTTCGATACTTTTAACACGTATGACCCATTCATTACAATAAGTAAAGTTCCCATCATAAATGATGGAACGGTGCAATATATAAATTCTACAGTAGATGCCTCATTAGTGAAAGTATTAAATGTTCTCATTGAATTGTTAAAGAGCTTTCGATTTGACGACAACATTAAATGCCTAAAGAATTTAGTCATGAATGAGAAACAAATTCTCGGCGTTGCTGGTAGCAGTAATGATGTACACCTTATGACATTAGAATATTAAAACGAACATAAAGATGAACTGAAAGGAGAGAAGGGTGACACTGGACCTCAAGGACCACAAGGAATACAAGGAATACAAGGACCTCAAGGCGAAAACGGTTTGGATGGTGAAGATGGAAAGGATGGAAAAACTGCTAAATCATGGATATGGAACCTTATAAATACTGGTTTAACAGCTGCTTCATATGGAGTTCTTCAATACCAAATCGGAAAGATATGGGCGGTACTTGGTGAAGAAGTTTTAAATGACGTTAAAAATGCTTTGAACTTCATTTCAAATGGTTCGGATACTATTAAAACTTTATCTGGTTGGATGCAAGAAACAAGGAGTCAAATAGATACTGTAAAGACGTATAGCAAACAATGCACGTACGGGATTGGATACTTTACGAGAAGCACAAAATACACTAAAGGAAGCAAATGATATTCTTGGCTCAGTATCAGACATGCATGAAGATTGGCTTAAAGGTATTGACAAATCTTTAAAAAATCACAGTCAGTCTATTGCTGACTACAAGAAAAGTATAGATTTTTTACATAGTGCTATGGACGTACATGATGGAAGCATAAGGAACTTACTTAATGCTAACAATAACTTACCAGGAACTATTAAAGCATTTATAAAGTCCTTTGTAAAACCTGGTGCTCTAACATTTAGGTCTTTGAGAGCAAGAGCATTGAAGTCAAGAGATGCAGAAACTCCAACAGAACCTACAGAAGGAACTGAAACAACAGAAACTCCAGAAGAACCACCAAAACCAACAGCTAATGAAATATTGTTCGAATATTTTCCAAGGTACTCTGTTCTCATTGCATACATTCAAGAAATACTTAAGAAAGCAGACTTGACTTTAGGAGATGATGAAAGTTCTGTATATCTTTCGTTCCGGTTTCAAATAGCAGAACTTTTGAGACAGATATGCTTAATGTATGACAACATCTCTGATTTCACAAGATATGATGACGACCATGACCCCGAACACGGTGAAGAAGAAGTTTTACAAACATCCATTAAGACAGGAAAGGTTTTAACTCAAAGTCTCATTATTGACACCAAAGATGGCGAAGTGGACGTTCTTCAAGAGCTGAAGAAAATACTTCTTCGGGAGGTGGTGGTAGGCATGAACTTGAAATAAATGAGATAGAAGAGAAATTAGCCGAAAAAGCAGATAAAAACCATGTTCATTATATAAGTTCAGACGAACAGATTATAACGGACTACCATGGATATTTAACACAGGATGAACAAATAAGCACTGAAGATGTTAATGAAAGAAGATATAAATTCATTCGTGCTAAAGGTTATGACATACACTGTACTGTACAGTATGACACAGGTAAAGTACCAGAAGCATTTGGTTATAACAATGAAATTTATGCTTCATACTTCTTTGTTAACGGTGTATTAGTTGAACCAAGATTTACTTTGAGAGTTAAGGCAAAAATAACTTTTGAAGATGCTATTAAAAGTAAAGCCAGCAAAGATGAACTTGAAGCAATGAACAAAGTTTTGAAATCTCATAAACACAATATCTCCGATATAAATGAACTTCAAGCTACATTAAATAGTAAAGCTGACAAGAACCATACACATGAATCCTTCACTACTGTTAGAGCAGACGACATAATATTGAACTATACCCTTGGTTCAAGTGCACCTTTAGAGAATCCAAGTACAAGCGTAAAAGATACACTAAACTCCTTAAATAGTAAATGTATGAACATTGAAGGTCATGCCAGAAACTTTGAAACACATGAACTACCAGCAATGTTAGATAAAAAAGCAGATAAAGAACATACACATAAATCCTTCACTACTGTTAGAGCAGACGACATAATATTGAACTATGATTTGGGTTCAAGTGCACCTTTAGAGAATCCAAGTACAAGCGTAAAAGATACTCTTAACAATTTAGATAACAGTTGCAGGAATATCGAAGATCATGCCAGAAACTTTGAAGCATATGAACTACCAGCAATGTTAGATAAGAAAGCAGACAAAACAGAGCTTCAAACATTAAAGACTGAAATACTTCAAACATTATATCCTGTTGGTTCTATTTATACGTCAATGAATTCAACAAATCCAGCAACAGTTCTGGGCTTTGGTACGTGGAAGCAGATTGTAGATAAATTCTTATACTGTGCTAGATATTCAAAGCAAACAGGAGGTTCGAAGAAAATTAAAGAAGCAAACCTTCCACCGCACACTCATACAGGAACTACAAACACAACAGGTAATCATTCACATTCAATAACAAAAAGAGGTTATACAAATCTTGCAGCAGGTTCGGATAGACAGGGAATGCATAGATATGATATTTCAAGTGACCCAGTAGATTCAAGCGCAGGTATTTTCTGTGGAACCACAGGAAATCATTCACACACTTTCACAACAAATCCAACAGGCTCGGGTGCAGATTATATGCCACCATTTGTGACTATATTCGCATGGTACCGCGTTCAATGAACGCGCTTGAGCCTTGAATAAAATCTTTAACTTTACATAAATGAGCTTGAAAGAAGTATTCGAACAACATCCATGGAGGTCATTTAAGAAGTTCAATGAAGCTGCAAAGAGTTGGGGATTTACTAACAGAGCTGAAGTGAAAAGGTTCTTTGACAAAGATGTTGTACATCAAACAAAAATAAACCCTTACGACTACTTTTTACCAATTTACTCCAACACTCCTGACGCATACCAATTTGACACTCTCATTCAAAGCAGAAAAGGAGGACATAAACCATTCCTCATCTTCATTAATGTTAACACTCGCAAAGCATATGCATTTAATTCGGATAAAAATAAACCATTTACTCTTTCTTTGCTTTTGCTTCTTCTCTAGCTTTCTTCGCCAGCAAACGTGGGTTCTTTTGTCTTCCAGCAGCTAATGCAGCAAGTTGTTTTTCACTAAGTTTTCTCTTTGGTCTCTCTGGCTTTTGTTCTTGTTTTTGTTCCTTCAGTTCGGATAAAATTTGCTCACGAATTTCTTTCTTCAATGCTTCAACATCTATGACCCCCTGGGTCTTGTCCGTAGGGCTTGTCTGAGTCATTTGACTGCAGATAAAAAACAAAATTAAAAACTTTAACCGATGTAAAATGAGCTTGTCAAAATCAGAGCGAGAGTCTATTATATTAAATGACGCAAGAGGAATACAACATCCTTTCTATTACGTAAGTCAGAGTAAAGATGGTAAAATATACGTAAGAAAAAGAAAGGTTCCATTAGCGAATGCAGAAAGCGACAACATTAAGGTGTATGGCAAGGGTGAAGTCCACGAAGCCCATGTTAAGCCTTCTATTCAAACTGAAAAGTTAATAGAACCAGAAGAAAAAAAGCCAGATGTACTTTCAATAACGAACCAAGAGCTTATTGCAAAGTTCGTGAATTTCATTGAAAAACAAACCGAGTCAAAGAATCCTGACCCGCCAGTGAAAGAAGTTGAGACAAAAGAGAATGTACAGTTCATTGAAAATGTCAAGAAACAACTTCCACCACGAATTCCAAGAAGAAGAGTGAGAATAATGAAGTAAATAGATATTTTTATCTGAAGTAAATACATGCAGAACGAACAGCTAAACGAATTTACTCCAGCAGAGCATATTCATCAGATTCGCTCATATTTTGATATCATAGACAATGCAGTTCAAATTGGTGACACTAATAGAAAATATTCTGACGCAAAGATTCCATCACAACCTGGAACTGCTAAAGATAACACATGGGTAACATTCAATCTCTCACCTCCTGGTGAAAATATGTTGGACCTTTACAATACATTCATTACGTATAAAATGGAAGGTCAATTTATTGTAGATAAAGAAATTGGTTCAGGTTCCAATAAAACAAACCCACCAGGATTTTGGATTGGTTTCGATGACGCTTTCTATGCAGTTGCTGGATATCAAATCCTTGCAAATGGTCGTATCGTATATTCTCAAGACAACGCAAGAGAAGAAGCATATATAACTTCAAACTCACAAACTACCGAACAAATAAAGAAAGTAGATGTTTTCTCAAAGACTCGACATGAAGATGTATGGAGTCATTCGGGAACATGCAGAACAGGACAAATTGTTAGTGGTCCAATTACAGCAGGAAAATCATTTGATTTTAAGCTTCGTTTAAGAATTCCTGTTAGAAGATTCCTTCCATTAGAAGCTATTCGATTTATTCCAGCTTTTGCAGGAAACATTCAGCTTAAAGTAAAGTTCAGTAGCGACGCCTTACAATGCACATCTATATCTGTAAATGATATCATTGCTTTCAATCCAACTCTTAAAGTTGCATTTGCTTCAGATTCAAATCCACCGACAAATAAATTGTTCCATGGAATGAACCATTCACTATGATAACGAAGGCAGTAGAAGCTAGTGGAACAGTTACTATTACAACTGTAACCCAGCAACTATTTCGAACAAAGATGGATTTTAATGAATGTTTCATTCATCCAAAGTCATTCTCTTTAGACCCTAACATTTATACAGAACTTGTAGAACATTATACAAACGAGGCTTTATGTTTTCCTGTTAAAGTTATGGATTGGATTCCTATGGACGGTTCATTCTCAAAGAATACAGATAGTTCAAGTGCAACATTTACAGCAGCTTATACGCCTATTAATGTTAAAAGTATTTGGGCACTATTTAGAAAGAAAGACAACTATTATGTTAATTTGAGAACCCTAAGTTTAAATATCTTCAGCTTTCCATGGGAGCTTATGGAAATATGCCTGCAGAACCTGAAAAATCATATGGACCTGTATTTTATGAAATGGTTGCGAAAACGCTGCAATACAAACAATGATATGATAGGATTTAATGAAGATGTTATGAGGTCATTGGTGGATGATGGTAGTGTGGAACATAAATGGGATAGCTATGACAACACACATTTCTTATGTGGTTTTCCAACAGAAGTGGACTTTTGCTTCCAGCAAGGTCAAACATCTACTGCTCCAATAACATACAAATTGTCTGTTAAAGGACCTATTGAACTAGCAACTGAAAATGTACCAAAGCCACTTATTGGATTTATGAGGGATTGTTGCTTTGCCATTCAGGTGCGTGCTAATGGAATCCCAATAATAAGATTAGATGACTATAACTTAGCTACGGACGACGGTGAGGAATAAAGGATGAACGTTTATTTTTAAAGCTTATAAATGAGTTCTTCATCAAGCTCTCGTGAACCTTCACCATCTATGAAACAAACTTTACCAAACGATTATGGAGCACCTATTGAATATTTCTTATGAGCTGCACAATGGCAAAGAGCAGTCTCACCAAGGTTAGGTGTTCCATCAGCTCCTGTCAAAAATAGCATTTGGTCAAGTCCTTATATAAGATATGGTCTCCCACTAGGTTTGCTAGCTACAGCAGGAGCAGTTATGATGTTGAAAAGAAATAAAGCAAATGTTGTAAATAATACTGAAGTAGCTGAAGTTAAACAAACTCCAACACCTTCGCCAAAACCAACGTCAAAACCAACGCCTTCACAAACAACACCTTCAATGACTCCTGAACCTATGGAAGTACAAACTCCTGTTCAAAAGTCAACTCCTAAACCGACTCCAACATTTAAACCAGAACCTACTCCTCAAATAAATCGTAAAACTCCTGCGTTTCCTTACTGAAAAAATAACGTTATTTTTATTTAATATTAAAATTTTTATTTGATTGAAATGACAAATAAAGTCACTGAAGCAATGAAACAAAAGTTTTTGGTAGAATACATTAAATCAGGAACTATTCCAGAAGGTTTTTACATTCATACTATGAAGGATGGTAGAGTTCAGTTTAGAAAGATAAAGCAACCATTAGATAGAGAAGGTATATTAAGGAAGATTAAACTTCATGAGGACAACATTGCTAAACTTAGGAAGAAGTTAGAAGAGTTGGAGAAAGGAAGAGAGTTATAAAGCAATGAATTCAACAGGGTAGAAAAGAGGTTAGAAATCGGGTTAGATCTAACCATCTACCCTAAATTTATTTTTGGGCTATGTTTTCATACGTGTGAGGGTGGTGATATCATTAATTTTTAAGTTTATTTTTTATTTTACTGAAAATTTTTATTTGGATGTAAATGACAGAACAAAAGCAACTCATTCGAATTCCACAGTATAACAAACATACATTTAAACATTTATTCTTCCTTCCTGAGCATAACATGTTCTTTCAAATACATCCGAGACCAGTTGACTTTTCATTGACTGTGTATAAAGATAGAAATAGTTATATCATTAAACCATACGATGACGAAGGTAAGTTATGTAAATTGTACGTTAAGAAGTTAGAGAAAGTTTATGGCTTCAAGTATGACTACAATAGGGTTAACACTGATGATGAAGATATTGAGGAAAATTTATGAGAACATTAGTGAAGTCGTTAGTGAGAACGATAGTGAGAACGTTTATTTTTTACATTAGTGAGTTCGTTAGTGAAGTGGTTGGCGGCTTTGTAAAGTGTCAAATTCACAAGTATTGGGTAAGGTGGAACGCAGTGCCGCCGTACCCATGACTTGTATACTAACTATATTACAAATTGCTAACTTGAAATTTTTTTTGACTGACGGTGCAAAGCGCCAAGATGGGCTCAAAGAGCCCTCCTGACTGCTTTAATTTACTAAAACATATTTCAAACAAAGTTTATATTCAACAGGGTGAAAAAACAGGTGAAAAAAGAGGTGAAATCTCACCACTTCACCTAAATTTATTTTTGTGCTATGTTTTCATACGTGTGAGGGTGGTGATATCATTAATTTTTAAGTTTATTTTTTATTTTATTTTTTATTTTATTTTTATATAAATGACGAAAACTATTGAGATAACAAACTACAACGGTCATGAGTTCAAGAATTTGTTCTTCGTTCCTCGTGAAAATACATTCTATCAGATACGAGGGAGAAAGGGTAAAGTTAGTTTGAGCGTTTATGACTACAAGCATAATGGGAGATATATAAAAGCAATAGATACAAACGGTAAGCGTGTTTCATTAGCTTTGTCAAAACTTACTAACATTTATTTTGACAGTGACTTTGACCTATATGAAGAAGAAAGTGAGTCAGAAGATTATGAGCTGTTATGTGAAGCACAGCAATGGGAGGAGTTGCAATACTTTTGTAAGTGAGAACGTTTATTTTTTACATTAGTGAGGTGAAGTGGTTGGTGGCTTTGTAAAGTGTCAAATTCACAAGTATTGGGTAAGGTGGAACGCAGTGCCGCCGTACCCATGACTTGTATACTAACTCTCAGTACGCATGATATGTATATTAATTATTGCTACACTGAAGCAACTTGACTCCTTCCACTTGCACTTTGGTTTGAGGGAGTCCGAAATACCATATTACCAGTTGAAGCAAGATTGTCAATGTTCAAACTTGCTTTTTTCATCTTGCATTTCTTTCTCAGATTGCAAGATGTGGTCGGAGTCACTGATAGACTTCCTAATATAGAGACACCAGATCATCGTCTCAAATTCAAAGGTTATCTTTTTGCCAGAAGAATGCATCTTCTGAAAATGGCGACATCTCTTCTATTATAAGACGAAATGGTGGAAGTGAACTCAAAATAAGAGTAATTAGGTTATTTTGCCGACCAAATATATTTACAAGGCAAAATATCATATTACATGTCAACCTATTATCAGTATGTTTTGATAAAAAAATTTTATCAAATATCATATTAAAATTAACATCTATATCTATATCAATATCTACACTATAAATTTTTTTATTCAATATCATAGATTTCAAAAATTTATTTCAATTTTAAATTAATTTATGGTTTTCATCAAAATTGTTTTTTATTAAAAAGCATGTTTCACAATTTTTACGGTTTCTTTCAAAAGTTATAAAAAGAGTGTCAATAAGAAATTTCAACATTTCAAGAAGGAATCAAAGAAATTGACGAAGTTCCAGAATTTTATTCAACAATTCTTAATCAATTAACAAAAACTATACCGAAACTTATCTTACCATCCAAATCAAATCACATTACATACGGAATAAACATTTAATCTTTTACCATTAAAATTATATTTATACGTTATTTAATTTTTTTACGTCTAAGTTGAATAGGATAATAGCCGAAGATATAAAGTAACTATAGTTTACAAGCTAAGGAACAAATCAGCATTGAAACTAAAAAATAACGTATTTGAATAATTTCGTAAAAAATTAGAATTACTCGATATTAAGCATATTGCTTTTCTATCATATATGCTTATATTCTACAATAGTGTTACCAAACATCGGGCAACATCATACGTATAATACAACTTTTTCGTACTTCTTTATCGAATTTAAATAGAACTAAGTTTTTATTTTAAATAAAAGAGAAATAATTCTAATTTATAATCTCATTATTAATTTATTCTCATTTTAATATTTCATCGATTTTTATTATCGATATTCAATACAAATGAATTCATATTATAATAGTATCTAGTATAACTAGGTATTCTATCACAGTATTTCTTCAATTTATTATAATATTTCAGCATTTTTTAGTTTCAATGCTGATTTGTTCCTTAGCTTGTAAACTATAGTTACTTTATATCTTCGGCTATTATCCTATTCAACTTAGACGTAAAAAAATTAAATAACGTATAAATATAATTTTAATGGTAAAAGATTAAATGTTTATTCCGTATGTAATGTGATTTGATTTGGATGGTAAGATAAGTTTCGGTATAGTTTTTGTTAATTGATTAAGAATTGTTGAATAAAATTCTGGAACTTCGTCAATTTCTTTGATTCCCTCTTCCTCGCAATACAACTCCATATCATTAACTTGTATTTAAAGGCTTCCATATACAAAACTATATATAATGTTTGAAAGTTAAATCCAATCTTTTTCTATTTCTAAAAAAAATTGAGACCTAAACACGAGATAGCTTTCAGAAAATTTTCAGGGACATTTTTAATCATTTTTTTTTATTTATTGTAATATCTTTGTTATTAAATTTGAATTGTTTAATATTTGAATGTAAAGAATTGAATAGTAATAATTTTAGTTTTGATACATAGCTAATTGCTAAGCAAAATAATTAATTTATTGTAATTTTGACATGTAAACTAAAGGGGAATTTAGCCGGCCAAATATATGTCACTTTTTGACTTCACCTCACTTCCACCATTTCGTCTTATGACACTTCTCACTCTTTATGGATTTTTAGAGGAATTCCCGAATATAAATTTTCAACATCTCACAACCCTTCCGGTTGAACATTTATTTGCCTTATTCCGAAAATTTGCGCATTCAAAAAAAGAAGTTAAAGATTTGATGAGTGCGGGAGCGCATTTGGTAATGAACCAAACCTACCGTGAACAAAATTTTGATCGTCTTGTGTCAGAATGCAGACTTGATAATTCAGGAGCAAATATGGCAAATGTCGAGGAGATGCCAGAAGATATTAAGTCCCAATATATATTCACAGATGAAGATATTGCCAGTATTACGACCGATCTTATGTATTTAGTTGGTTGGCACGAAGATCAGGTATTTTCAGTTTGGGGAAGATTAATAAAATACGATCACACACAACCATTAAGTGTTTTTGAACCTTACAGCAAAGATTTTCCGCGTAATGGAGTGGAAATTTTAAGACAAAAACTGGATCAAATTATTGAAATAAAAGCTCCAGTTCCTTTTTCAGAAAATAGGGCTATTGCCCATCTCAAGCATACGAAACACAGTTACAAAAAGTGCCGATGGCCAAAACACCTCTTTATGAGAATTTCAATGACATACTACAATTCGCAAACTCAAATTCCTCTTCTTCTACAGAAAACTCTACAACTACAGATTCTACATCTCAAGGAATTCAATCTCAAAATTCAAATTTTCCAAATGAAAATTTGGAAAATTCCCAAAATGCAGAATCAACTGATGATTTTCAATCATTAATAACGCCAATACAAGAAGATCATTTTCCTTCTGCCAACGAACTAAAACAAGGGTTTGATATTGCCCATGATGTTTTAATTAGTCCGCCACCTGAGAATCAACATCCAGAAATTGATGAAGAAGAGACACAAAAAGCAATTTATCTATTACAAAACTTAGACTTTCCTAAGAAATAAAATTATTTAATTTATTCTTGTTTGTTTTTTAATTAAACATGTATATTTATTAACATTTCCTTTTTTAATACCTTTCCAACTTCTATTAGTAACAAACACATAACTAATTTGAAGATTTAGCGTTATGAAGAAGTATCCAAGTAATAACGTCAATAATGCATTTGCGATAGGATATAATTGCACCAAAGGTTAAAACTTGTATAAAGAATGAAAAATGAAATTTAATATAATTTTTTTCGAAAAAAATCCATGCTTGGCTAGATTTTCATAGTTATTGAATATGCATTACTGACATCTTGTAAAAGATGCCGATCAAGGCTTTCAAGATTGCTAAATTTCTCGATTAAAATTTACATTTTTTTTATTTGTGTTTAATTACATTTTACAGTTTGCAGACTTACATAAAATCCGCAACATAGTGGTTATTTAATATTTGCCCCACAGTATTGTAGTTTGAAATTTACGATAAGATTATAATTGATAAAGTAAGGTTTTGTCATTAATGCATCTTATAAACTTTCATTGATAAATATGGATAGATAAGTTCTGTGTTCAAAAGTAAGCATTTTTTAAAACGCGCAATTATATCAAGAACGACTATCATAAATTCATGAGTATCGATGATTTTCGTTTAGGATGGACTTAATCGGCTTGATTGATATACATATTTTAAAATGGCATAGCTTTGTGCATGTTATGTCAAGCATTGTGCCAAACCAATTTAAAATGAAACAAATTATTTTAAAGAAACTATATATGAACTATTCGAACACTTTATATTAATGTAGGGAGCTATAAATTTAAATATTCTAAAAATTTATTTATTTGTTAAGAGTTCGGAACAAATTTATTATTGAATATATAGGAAATCAAATAATTATGCATAATCGCATAAAAAAATGCTGAAACAATGAAAAGAAAAAAATAGTTGCCCAATAGAAAAAGTCGAACCCATACCCCTACCCATTGAGTTATCCTCACTTTCAAGTTTCGATCGAAAAAAAGGTATTTAATCGCATAACTCGCACCGTTTAGTCGTATTTCGAAGTTCTATATAGTATTAAAGATTAAGTTACATTATGTACAAAATAACTTTTTATTGTTATTTGATTTTGATAGCATTATTAGCTGAATATGAAAAATCTCGTAGAAATAATCATTTCATTCAGACATAAGTATTGGATTGTTTCCCAACAAGCATAATAACACACGTTTCATATTATAATTTATTTCATTTCTGTACAAAATTTAGATAACGATATCAAATAAAAAAAACTGTGGCATTTTTTTACTTCAAACTATCATGAAGTGTAACCAAATTGGGTGAGTATTCTTGCTATCAGTATGACATGAAAAAGTGAACGACAAAAATTGAAGATATTGTAGTTAACTCGGATTTTTTTAATTGCAAACACATCTATAATTTGTTTAAATATCATTTATTATATCAAAATCGAAAAATTCGTTTTTGGAAATCTTTGAATTTATGAGAAGTTCTACAAAGACACTTACAAATATAGCGTTTGCAATAAAAAGGCTCTTTAATCTTCTTCATCCTTGCTCAGAAACTTCTACTGGTTACCTTACGGGTAACCTGCAAAGCTGCTTCCAAGGCATCGGGAAAATAACGTATTTTCGTGAGACTACCTTTGAATAAACAATTTACCCAGATTTGCTTTACTTTTACCACTCCCCATGTAATTTCTGGGGAAAACGATAATTCATTTTTTTTATGGATGAATAGATCGTTTTCCTAGAAAGGACCTCATATCTCTGGCTAAAAAGAGTGTCAGATCCTAAATAGATTATTGATCTAGTGTACAAATCCAATAAAAAGCCTATTTTTTTGGCTTTTTTGGTGCTCATTTTTTCGAAGATCTACATGAATATGGGGAAACCATCGGATTTTTTTGGTTAACCCACATCTTCATGTAGTCTGGACTATCTTTCCTCGAAGGACCTCTTTACGGGTGTAAAAACTCATAAAGTTCTCAAAAGATTCATTCTCGATCTCCATGCTGAAAGAATTTACAATAAAAAAGAGATCTACGCATCAAACTACAGCCATAAATGAACTGAACCCCTAAAGCTCAGCTCTTAGTTTATCAAAAACGTCGAAATCCTTCTCATTGCAATCAAATTTTCTCAATAACTCATAAGAAAAATCGAATTTTGATTAAGCCGATGTTATAGGTATCACAAATACTACAAACTTGAGCAATATCGAAATTGCCAGCAAAAGTTTGAAATTGCATTGCTCATATTTGTTTTGTAAACTAAAAATCTGCTTATATTATTCATTAATTTTTTATATATTATTCATATACTTTAATAAAAACAATACTATTTCACCTTAAAAATGAATTTCATAAGTCAATATTATTTTTTGAAAATGTATCAATTTCGATTAAAACAACATGAGAATAAAATTTACGCAAAATTATTTTAAAAAATGGTTTTAAAAATTTACAATTGATTAAGAATAAGATTGGAAGAAGTTTTGAAGTTTAATTTTAAGAAAAAAAATTCGGATATTATTCATGGATCTAAGTAATCTGATATTTGAGTATCGGCACTATGCATAAAACATATATTTATAGTTTTTTGGAGTTTTATGATTTAAATATATTCAAATTTGGCAATCCAATAGATTTTTAAAAAATAGGTAAATAAAAATAGATTACATATGCAGCAGATTTAGAACATGAAACAAATCTTATAGTGACCCAAAAAAAAATTCATGATCCAAAAAAGAAAAAAATTAGCTAAATGGGAATCAAACCTTGGCATAACGAATCATTATGTCAGATGTTTCCACTACACTACACCGGCAGTTCAAAAAATACCCTTGGTGGTTCTATTTAATAGCTACTCCCAACGATAGGCGGTGTCCCCAGCTTTCGAGAGGTGGTAAAAGTAAAGCAAATCTGGGTAATTTAATTTGCATATTTTTTTTTAGTTGAAAGACAGGAAAATTAGTTGAGTTTGTATTATTTTTATCGTTCAATTCATTGTATATGTGAGTGATCCAGATATTTAAGATATTTAGAAAAAATTTATTAATTTGATTAACAAATTTTAATCAAAATAGCAAAAATCTATTTGATAGCTGTAAGCAAATAATAATTTATATTTCAAGCAAAATCAATTATTTTCATCTAAACGTATAAAATTGTCAATTTTATGAGAATAAATTTAAAATCTCATGAAATATAAAGGAGAGTAATATTTTTCAATTTTCTTTTTTTCTTTCTCTCAAATATTTTCTATTGGAATTTTCTTGTTATCAAAAATAATTTTAATATTTGTTTATTTCATTACATACAATAAAATTTTAAAAACTCTATTTCTTCACAAGAAAATTTTTTCCTTCATATGAAGAAACATTTTGTTTTCATTTGATGCTGAGTTAAATCTCGATTTTTGAATTTTCTTCTTTCCAAATTTCTTTTTTCCAAATTAGAAGTTTAATTCAAATTTTCAATAGTTTATATATTTTCTCAAACCGTCTTAGATTTTCTCACTTTTTAGGGATTTTCTCTCAAAATATACAAAAATTAGTAATACCAATAACATGTGTCTAATATACTTTAAAACCATCGTGATAAAATTCAAAAACGAAGAGTTCTTCTCTCCAAATTTTTTTCAAAATCAAAAAAATGAGATAAAAAAAATACGTTTGGAAAATTCATTTTTAGCAGTTTAGGAATTTTCTCACTTTTCTTCCAAATTGACATCCTTACTCACCACTTTCAAGTTTTTCATACATATATCTTACCCATTCATTTGGAATACGAGGTCTCGAGTTTTCGTTCATTTTTTTTACTTTACAAAACTGTTTATTTTTCAGAATTTTTAAATTTGAAAAAATCCATTCTATATCTGATAAATAATATATTATTTTTCAATCAAAATATTTTGATTATCATCTCAAAAGTGTTCTCAAAACCTAGTTTTTCTTATTTTAGATAATCTTAATATTTATATTATTGTAAACTAATTGAACACCATATGTTTTTATATACTTTTACAAAAAATTGATAGATTTGTGATACTTTCCCCGACGATATAATTGAATAGCTTACATTTTGACAGAACTTAATATGGAACAATTCTAAGTAGATTTTGTAAAAAATCAAGAAAGAAAAATTTTAACGTGCTTTATTTTTTCTTTTTTATAATAATACATATTATTATATAATTAACATATTCATAATGTTTCACCCTTTCAAAAATATAATCCTCCTCCTCTCAAATAAACCTACATACGGGTGCACCCTTAAGAGAATACAAATATGAATTGAAAAAATGTAGATATTGGGTGCAAACTGTTTTCCTATATATTTTCTGAAATCCATTCGCAAAAAATTCACTTTCCGATATATGGTTAAGTAAAATTTATCTTCTTATGATAGTATATAAATCAGTGAAATAATGTTCACGGTTCATATTGTAGATAAATTTTAATCGACTTTTGAGATAATTATATTTAATTTGAGAAAGTTATTAAATTTGTAAAGCTCTAAAAAATTTGATTTCAAAAATATTCATAAAATTTTTTAAATGGCTTGTTGTGCATTATTCTCTAAGTATTTCCTCGCCGCTCTAAACTTAATATGGTTTATTGGTCTTATAGTTATTGGTGTTTTAATGGGAGTCTTCTGGAAGAAGATTGATCTCAACAGCTATCTCAAACTCATTGGTTATAAATACGTTCCGTTTCTTCTCATAGTAGTTACAATTATAGTAATGGTTTTCGCCGTTATATTTGGATTTTGCTTCTTCTGTACAAATTCCAAATGCTTACGTTTAACATACTCGAATTTACTTGTTCTTATCTTCCTTCTTCAAATTGCCTCAGTCGCTATTTTCTTCGTTTTCAAGCAAAGAACCGAAGTTGACATCAGTTCAAGATGGAGTGCACCAAATTTCGCAGATATAGTGAAAGGTATCGAAAAGAAACTCGTCTGCTGTGGATTTGCAGATACAACTCAAGAAGATGCAAGTAGATGTGCAAGTAACAACGTTACAAATTATGACTCTTCCTGCGAAACCAAAATTGTCGCTCAGATAACAAAGTATAAAGCATATGTTATTGTTGGTATAGTACTCTTAATTTTACTTCAAATCGCTCTAATAGTCCTGGCATTTATTTATGCCTGTGCAACAGATGAAGATTTAGGAGACGAAGGCGATGATTTTGATGATTCAGAAGATGAATACTTTACTGACTAATTTGTTGTCTATTTCTACGAGATTTTTCTCAATTTATTTAAAATTTTCACTATTTTTTTAAATAAATTGGAGTTACAAATTAAAAACATACAGTTCATTTCTCTTATTATTATCATAGCATTTAATTTCCTCTATTTAAAACTGCATAATCTTTTTTGAGCACTTTATACAGGCGTGAAATTGTAAGAAAAAGTGCCATATTTATGTAAAGAAAAATTTCGACTTGGAAATTAATGATAAAACAAATATTTTTAATAACACACACAAATATAAAAGAACAAACAAAGCATTAAGAATTAAGAATTATTCGTCAATATACTTTGAGCTTACAATAACTAAGTCAGTTTCTCTATCATCTGTCAAAGTAACACTTTTGAGTTCAGATAATAGTGGAGCTGTATTTTTTGTAGTGAAGAATTTTCCAGTTCCTCTCACTCTATGACGATTTGCCATCAAAACACGGTATTCACTTCCGAAAACCTCTAGAACTGGCAATGCCGTCTTCATTGGAATAACTGTAACATCACCAATGAGCATTACAGCAGAAATTTTGAATTTCTAAGTACTAGAGTTGAAAGAATTGATGATTGCGTTCATGAAATGTACAATTTGGATGGCTCTTATATCTAATGGATCATTTTCATCAGGAATTGATAAGTAAATGAAGCTCGGAGGTTCATTCATTAATTTAATGATGTTTGGAAAGACTCCTGATACTTCCTGTGCAGCCTTTAAGAAAAGTAAGCATCCGTCTGCGAGTTCTCCGTCATATTCATCCCTTAAAGATGCATATGAAATCGCAAAAACAGACATTCCAGCATTATTGAAATCCCTTGCCTGCAATTTGTTTTCTACTGTCAATGCATTACTAAGAAGAAGAGGAATTGCATTATGTTTCAAGTTTTCTGCAATTTGTTTCTGATATCTTGTATTTTCTTCTAATTGGTGATGATAAGTCAGGTCTTCGAATGCAAGAATGAAGGCATTCTTGTTATCTTCAGCTATAACCTTGGACATCCTAATTTCAACATTTTTTGACTTATGAGTTCCTCTTTCGAACTTCGTAGTGACTTTTACGCATGTCATATTGGAGTCTTGGTCCATAAACTCAAGTATTTTGTTGAAAGGATGCTTAGGATCCGTTTTGAAATCCATTATTCTGGAAAAGATGGCGTCGATGCTCAATCCGATGCAAGCTTCCCTTGGAGCACCAATCAATGAATAAAATGATTGGTTTGCAAACAAAAGAGATCGATCTTCTTCGAATATCGCGTGTGGATATTCGACTAAACTCAAATAATTGCTAGAATTAGAGTTGTTACTCTCTGCAATGAATCCTCCTCTATGCCAATCAGCTTCTCCTTGAAGATAAAGCATGATTTTGGCAAGATCTGGGATTTTAATCGGAGGAATGTACTTCATTGGCAATTTTACTGCTTGGATCGTATTATTTAGGCTCTTAATAGTAGGTGATAAGAATACAAAAGCAACTAAAGCAACAATTCCAACAAATAAAAAGAATATTCACAACAAAATCAGTCTTTCTGTCTTAAATTGCTTGATAATAAAGTCATATCCAATCTTATGAAGCTGATAAGACTCAGGATACAAGTAATCGTTATATAATACCGTCCATTTGAAGAAATTGTCATCGGAAATGGAATTATTATATGCCTGGGTTGCGAATATTAAGAATGAATCCATTATATTCGCATACGACCAACAGCTGACGTTTGTTGTATCATTGCACTTGTTTGCATGGACAAAATCATAAACTGGCTGGTAAGTAAGGAACTTTTGAGAGACTTCTTTTTGGTCGATTGCCAAAAGTAGCTGAGAATTCTGTTTTTTCGCAGAATTTAATAAACTTTCGCAAAAATCTCTTGGAAAGTCCGAAAAATTAGAAACAATACCTTGTAAAGCAACAGAGCAGCCGATGATTCTCCTGGAAAGTATCTGTAATGTCTTGAATTCGACCATCATTTCATTTACAAAAGAAGTAAACAAAGAAACCTCAATTGTAGCACCTATAAGTAATGTAAATGTCACACTAGTAAGAATTATCCATACTTTGATCTGAAAATTGTTTGGTAAAACAGATTGAGTCGTTGACTGATCATGGACGAGTAATTTAAGGTTTTCTGCAGCCTTGTTCTCATTTTCGCTCACAGTTGCTTGGTTATTTACGTCATTTTGATCCAGATCAAGCAAATTATTAGTTATTGGTAATCCTGTCTTTCCTTTCTTATTCTTGGAGTCCGGATCCATGAATTCTGTGATCACTGAGCGAGGAATTGTAAGGTAAAGGTTGAATATGTACTTTAATTCCGATTTGACGTTCTGTAGAGCATTAAAAACGAAAGGAATCATAATTATAAGCATAACACCCCATATTACACCATAGTAAATTGGTATATACTTCTTAACTTTTGAGATGATATTTTGAATTGAAGACAATTCAGCATCAGAAGCCAAGAAAACTGAATAGGCAATGCCGAATGTATTTTTCGACATCAGAAAAACCAATGTATCGTTATCCGGAACAAATGGAACCGATCTTGCGTAGTAAGAATAAAGTCTGAGTGCTTTCACTAGGCCAGACTGGGATGATACATTGTATTTATTAACTTGGCTGTACAAATCTTCACTTAATTCAGTATTATTTTTCAAAATTCCTGACGGCATTGAAGAAAGGAGGCCAGTGATTGAAGTATCAAGGGTTTTAGCATGATTAAAGAAGGATTTTCTGCCAGGAGTTCCTGAAACAATGATTTTTTGTAATAAATTTGGAGAATGAACAATTAAACTGCAAGTTGTATCAGAATAGTACAGATAATTACTCATTCCATAGCTGATATTAATAAATATAAAGGCTAGAACGATAGCGCATATGATAAACAGAAATGCGAGGAAAACAGTAATAAAAATGAACACTCTAGCCCTATGGAGTGAAATAATTGGTCTTCTATCAACAGCATCTTCAACGCTTTGGTGCAAAATAGACTCATTTATTTCGTTTGCGTCAGGAGAATTATTTGATTGGACATTATCCATAAGTTTGGGGTGAATCTTAAGGATTGACTCTGCAATTCGATGTTGTGTTCCAACGCCAACCAAATATTTTATGTATTCCTTGATAATTGGCGTGGAATAAGGATATCTTATGACTAACTGCTTCCAATTATCCGAAAGCTCCTTCAAATTCTGATGTAAAGTAAACGCTGACCTCGCCATTTGAGAAATGTCACCTTTGTAGCATCCAGACCAAAATTTTGACAAAACTTGCTCGCATTTTATACTTGCGAGCGTTTGTTTGGATATTTCTCGTGATATTGCTTGACATCCTTCATTTGACGACTCTTGGATTGAAGTCAAAAGTTGATATAAAATTGCCGCCTGCAAAAAACTGGGATTTTGCTTAGACAAGAAAGAATCTATCAATGTCTTCAAGTATCCTATGTTATCAGGTATAAGAAATGCCATATAAAGCATCTGAAACTGCAAATCTGGAAAAGTATGAATTACGTATTTCAACAAAGAACAGTCCGCAAAGCAATCCAAGCTCCAGTAGCAAGCAGTTCTTACGGCCATGAGTGCGATCTTCGATGTTTTGAAGTCCATCTCCGAATAAATGTCCGAAAACATTTCTTCTTCTGCTTTTGTTCCTTGTTTCGGCATAACTTCCGGTTTATCAACACTTTTCAGTTTCTTTAGAAGTGTCTTAGATATATGCATGCATCGAATCTTCAATCCTATGTAGCAAAATAGAGGAATAAGTAGCCAAATCGAAATTATTCCGGCAAATGGGATAAGTCCGGGCTTAAATGACAAAATTATGAGAACAATCATGTATATATCGAAGGTAAGGAACATGCAGCTGACAAATTGATAAGCGCTGAAGCGAATATAATAAATTTTATCTATATGAAGAAAAACTAATGTAATTAATATGACGAATCGGACGATTAATAATATACTGATCAATAATTTCTTTGCTGTACTTTCTAATTCGATGATTAAAAATCCTATTACGATAATTACATCAAAAAACACACTTTCCCATGTATTTGGTGCCCATATTGCTATGAGATTCGATATATTTGGTGATGGTGATGATCCTGTTGCAAATGCGCACAATCTTACCATAAAAATCATTAATCCAAGGACAACAAGAGCAATTGCTGATACAAAGAAGGTTCCAACCGATGGTTCATCAAATATAGCGCGTAAAAAGTTGGCTGTAACTGTAATAAAACAACTTCTAAATAATGGATAAATTAAAAAGCTGTAAATGAAGAAGTAATTAAGTTGTTTGACTGTATTTTTCTGTGCTTTAAGCATAAATACTATTACTATGAACAAAATAAAGTGCGCAATTGTACAAATTGCTGCAACTGCAAAAACAATGAATTCTGCTAATTCACTTGTATTGTTTGGTACATATCGTATCACGATTGTTAAGACTTGAAGAAATATTTTCAGATTTTCGTCGTCTGTTTGCCAAATATATGAATTGTAAGGTTCTAAAGCGGCCGCCCAAACTTGAATGAACGTGAAAAACAATGATATATAGAAAAGCCAGGGAGTGCTAGTGACAGATCTGTTCAGCAAGTGGAAAAAAGTAAACAATGCATGAGTTTTCGGCCCTAAAGTGTAACTTGACGAAAGTTCATATGCAACCCCGTTTCCTTCTTTGCGAGACGATTGGATGTGAACGCATCGAATCTCTCCCCAGGGTTAATCATAATTTTTCGTACAAGTTCTTTGAAATTTTACCTTTCTTTCAAAACCAATATTTTGGAAAATGGTTATAGATTGTGTCATTGAACCTTTTCGATCAAGGAGTTTTGAATGTCAAACAACAGTTTTGTTTTTTCACGTTTTTTTGAAACGGTTATTTTTCATTCTATTGGAGAAAAATATTATTCTACAATACACAAATATGAGAATAACTAGCATATAAAAATTCTCACAAAAATTGAAAAGATAGCTTTATCAAAAATTTACACGTTTATTCCTGCGACAATAGAAAACTATTTGATGATGTGTTTCATATGAAGTATGGGAAAAGAAATATATTGCTTTAATTTCCCAGGAAAAATGGAAATTTTTTCATTTTCGAAGATCAATTTGATTCCATTGTTCTAAATGTAATTGAGGGTTTCAAATTAAGTGGGGTATTTATGAATATTTATTAACGAAAACCAGTAACATTTCTTTTAAATTTTCATTGTATAAGATATATTGATTTTTATTGAAAGTTTTTAAGGATTATTCTATCTTAACTGAAGAAAAATAGTAATGTTACATCGTTGCTACACTATATTGAGATAAATATGCAGGAATGAAAATGAAAAAACCAACAAGTCAATCATTTAATGTATTCTTTTATCTTTGAAAGGAATTAGATGGGATAAATTCATCTCAATTTGATATAATGCAGTATTGATCAATGTCTGTTCTGTTCTTAAGAACCATTTTCGAATGATTTAATGGTTGAAATTGTGTATCATTTGCCTGTAGTGACTTGTCTGTTATCCATTTATGAGTGAAATAAAGCGAAATAATTTTTCTTGTTGCTGCAAAATAAAGTGTTGTTTGTCCATCAAATTCTGAATGGAAATATTATCAGTATAGCAAAATGCATAACTAATTGGTTGCCACAAAATATAGCCTAAATGTATCAGGTATTACATAATCTCATAAGAAAAATAGAAATAGATTCAAACGAAAAATAAAATTTACAAATAAAAAACATAATATTATCTATTAAACAATAGATTGTATACATAAATAACATGGTTAATAAGGTGTATCTGGAATAGTTAAGTTCATAGACGAAAAAGCTTTCGTCAGCTGCGAAATTTTTCTCTTCAAATTCTTAATTTCTCTATCAGTTGTTGATATTTCGTCATTAACTTTGTTCTTTTCTTTTTGTATTGATTCCAACTCTTCAGGAACAATTAATTCAGTCAATTGTTCAAGTTCAAACTTTTCTTTGACTTCCTGCATCAATTTTCTCAAATTTTTGCTCATTTCAGCGATTTCTTCTCTTATCTGTGCTGATTCTTTAGATCTCTCTTCTTCTCCTGTCTTCATCTGTGACAAGACCTCATTTTCTATCGTCAAACCTTTCAATTTATTTTGTAAAATTTGTTCGTTATTTTTAATAATTTCCAAATTTTTGATGAGTTTGAGACCATCAGGTTTTCCTCTTCTTTGTGCTTCAGAGAGTTGTTTGTTCTTCTCGTCGATGAAATACCTCAAATCTTCTACTTTTCCTCTGGTTAATCTGTCAATATCTATGAGGTTTTCGATTTGAGAATCCATTTCTTTGACAAGTTTTTTGACTCTTTCTACTTCACTTTCTACATTTAATCTCATTCTTTTCTGTGGGCTTACTATGTTTGCTCTTTCTCTCATAGGAGGTATAGAGAATTCCAAGTGTTCTATTTTCTGATCCAGTGCTTTTATCTCTTCTTTCTGCGACAAAAGCATTTTATTCCTGTTTTCAATTATTTCTTTGCTTGCGATGATTCTCGGACCATTTTCTCTGAGAGAAATGATTTGGTAATTGTTGGATTCAATGATGTTCTGCTTCTCAGAGATTGACTTGTTATCATAGTCAGTGTTTATACCAATTTCTTTCGTTGGAACTCTGATAGAAAACAAAAAACTGTCGATGTTTTTGTTTTCTCTCAATTTCTTCTTGTATTCGAAATCTAAAAGTTTGTAATGAGCATCAAGGTCTTCTAGATCTTCATCCAAGGCTTGGTTGGCTGCTATATCATCGTTAATCTGCATTTTCAGTTTGGTATTTAATAATTTTCTCGACATAACTTTTCTCATGAGTATTTTCTGGAATAAATCATCTTCATTCATTTTCTTATTGTTGTTATTTTCTTGTATCAAATTTTCTTGATTTAAGTTTTCTGGTTGAGAATCTGTATAATCAGAGTATTCTTTCTTGGCTTGCAATGCCATTTCTGGTATGAAATCTTGTGGTTTCAAATATTCTGAGGTCTTTTCAATTCGAATTCCTTCTTGTAATGAAGGTGCTTTTAATTTCTTGAAAATTTTAACTTTGGGAAGATAATTTGGATCTTGTTTTAACTTCTCTTTGTCTTCTTTTGAGAGATGGACTCTGTTTTTGAGGATTTTTATGCCGGATTCTCTCATTAATTTAATATTCGGTCTTTCCTTTCGAATTGCTATTCTAGGATGGTTCATTTTCTTCGTGAGTTTCTGATACCTCGTATAATCATCATCATTTTCATCATCTGTGATGTAATAATACGCATAATAATCAGAATACTCAAATTCATCATTGTCATCATAATATTCATATTCTGAATGATTATTTCTGTTGTTTTCTTCATCATTATTTAGATCTTTTGAAAGAATTGATGATTTATGTCTTCTGTGTGAGTGTTTGTCTTTCTTTGATGCTTCTTCATTGTTAATTGAGTCAATTTTATTTTCATATTGAGAATTATTGATTTTTTCATTGTTTTGTGTGTTTTCATTTATTGAATTATTGTTTTTCTCAATATTTTCTATGTTTTTGGCTTGATTTTCTTTCATCAAAATTGAATTTGCTTCAATTTCATGATTAACATCAATATTATCTATTGGTGTTGTTATGTGTTCATCATTAACAAGTTTATAAGCGTTGTTTGTCTTCTGTTGACTTGAATCATCTTTATCACTCTTTTTGAAGTCAGAATTACTGATTGTTTGGTCCTGATATATATTCTTCATAGACTTATGTGTCTTGTTACTATCATGAGAGTCTTCATCGATCTGTTCTTTGAACTCATTTTCAAATCTTTTTCCGCCAGGAGCAGTCATTGCTTGTCTATACATCACGTGAGTCTTCTTATGTCTGTGTGGTGTCAATACGAAGTCATTGAACCCTGTAGTGGTCGACATAGAGAAACTTTCCCCGATGTAAATATCATCACTCAAACTTTGACTGTTGTAATCATAATAATCGTTATCGTCGTAATAATCGTCATCGTAATTTTTGGCGAAATACGCTGAAGGGAAGTCATCTTGTGTATCTGAGTCAGTGATGACGTTGTATCTTTTTTTCCTGCGCTTCTTGTGTTCGCCGTATTCATCTGTGAATGATTCAAATTCGTCGACATCGAAATTGTTTGGCATTTTCAATCTGAGTGGTTTTGGAGGAGGCGAAACAGGAGAAACACTGCCTGATTCACCGTAGATGAGAACGTATTGACCGTCATCGCAGATAACTGTTTGCTGCTGTTTGTGGCGTTTTCCTTTTCGACTCTTTTTGTTGTCATCTTTCATATCAAATGACTTTGAAACAGGAATGTGAATGTTTGTCATTGATTTTGATCTTCTCCTTCTTCTTTGTGTTGTTTTGACTTCTTCTTCTCTGTTTTCTTCCTCTGTGACAATGTTTATTTTCTCTTTGTTTTCTACATCTAATGATTTGTTTCTCTTGTTTGAACTACGGCGTTCTTCTTCAATTTCTTTGTTTTCTTTAGAATTGTTGATTATTTTCTCTTCTTTATTCAATGATTTTTCATCATGTTTGTTGTTATTAATTGATTTATTGTCTTTAGATGATTTTGATATTTGTTCTTCTGCTAAAATTGAAGATTTGATATTTTCTTCTTTGAGATTGTCAACTGATTTAGATTGATATGAAGATTTATTGTTTCTATTTTCTTCTTCAACAATTGATTTCTCTTCTTTAGAATTGTTGATTGAATTATCTTTAGATTTAGAGATTCTTTCTTCTTCTTTTAGTACATTTACAGACTTGGAATTCTCTTTATCTTTGATTTCTTGAATTGATTCTATTTGCTTTGAAGATTTATTGTTTTCTTCATTAAATGAATTTATCTCTTTAGAGTTGTTAATTGATTTGTTTTCTTCGTCAATTGATTTATGTTCTTTTGTTGATTTCTCTTCTTCTTTGAGTTTTTGATTTGAAAATTTGTTTGATTTTTGTTCTTCAATCAAAGATTTTTCATTATGTTTGTTGTTTACTTCTTCAATTGATTTAGAGTTGTTGATTAATTTCTCTTTTTCATCATTATTACTGATTGATTTTGTATTTTCTTTGGAAGATTTAGAGATTTCTTCTTTAGATTTAGAAATTTGTTCATCTGATAAAATTGATTTTTCATCTTCTTTGAGTTCTTTTGATTTGGAATTCTCTTCTTTGATGTTTTGAACTGATTCTGTTTGATTTGAATATTTGTTTTCTTCATCAATGGATTCATTTTTGTTATTGATTGACTTGTTTTCTTCTTTAGATTTAGAAATTTGTTCTTCTAATTTTTCTTTATCTTTGACATTTTTAACTGAAGAATTATTTTCTTTGATTGACTTTTCTTTATCAACAATTGATTTCTCGTTTTCTTTGATATCTTTTGTAACTTTTTCTTCTTTGTTATTGATATCAGTTAATTTGTTTTCTTCTTTTGATTTATCTTTATGTGAAACAACAACAATTCCAACAATATTGTTTTCATCAATTGATTTATTATTGGAATTGATTTGATTTTCATCAACTGATTTGTTTTTAACTTGTTTGTCTTCAATTGATTTAGCAATTGTTTCTTCTCTGTGATTATCAATTGATTTCTCTTCATTGTTGAGTTTGTTGTTTGATTCTTCAACTGATTTAGATATTTCTTCTTCATTTGTTGATTTCTTTGTGTTTTCATTTAATTCATTCAGTTCTTTGTTGATTTCGTCATTTCTTTCATCAACAGATTTAGATTGATTTGATCCTTTGATTGATGACTTTGATTCATCATTGAGTTTGTTTTCTTCAACAGAATTTTGTTCATTCTTAGACAACAAATCTTTTTGTTTATTGATACTTTCTTCTTTAACTGACTTTGAAACATCTTTTTCTACTTCATTAACAATTGATTCATTTCTATTATTTGATTTGTTAATTTCTTGAGATTCAACAACTTTTTCATTTAATTTGTTGTTAGAAATATCATTCTCTTTTTTGTTGACGGAATTAGAGATATCTTCTTCTTGTGATTTCTTTTCAACTGATTTAGTTGAATTCTTTTCTTTTTCTACTAAATTGGAATCAACTGATTTATTTGAAATATCTTTTTCTTCTTTATTAATAACAGACTCATTAACTTCTTTAGAATCAATACTTTCTTTCTGTTGTAACTTGTCGTCTGAAGATTGATTTGTTATGACATTTTCTTCTTTGTTGACTGAATTAGAGATTTCATTCTCTCGTAATTTCTTATCAACTGATTTAGTTGAATTCTCTTCTTTCTTTACTGAATTGGAATCAACTGATTTGTTAGAAATATCTTTTTCTTCTTTATTAACAACAGATTCGTTAACTTCTTCAGAATCAATGCTTTCTTTCTTTTGTAACTTGTTATTTGAAGGTTTCTCTTCTTTATTGACTGAATTAGAAATTTCATTCTTTTGTAATTTCTTATCAACTGATTTGTTTGATTTCTCTTCTTTATTGATTTCATTCTCTTCTAAAGTTTTTTCTACCGATTTATTAGAAATATCATTCTCTTCTTGATTAACTGATTTAGAGATTTCTTTATCATGTGATTTTGACTCAATATTCTCTGTTAATTTGTTTGAAATAGAACTCTTTTCTTTGTTTGATAAAGAAGAAATTTCTTTCTCATTTGATTTCATTGATTCATTTTCTTCTCTATTATCAATGATGTTTGAATTATCTTTGTTAGAAGAGACTAATTCTTGTGTTCTGTTAATTGATTTATATGTTTCATTTTCTTCTTTGTTGTTAACCAATAAATCATTTTGTTTGTTAGAAATTCTTTCATCATTTATTAATTTGTTGGAATCTTTTCTTGTTTGATGATTTGCAACTAATAAAATAGCATCATAATCACCACGAGCTAAATCAGTACTATCTGTAGAAATGGTTGAATATTTCTTTTGATTTGATTTAGATGAAATTTGTTCATTTTCAATCATTTCTTTGTTATTTTCAAGATAATTTTGAATTTCTTCTGATAACTTCTGATTTTCTTCAATTTGTTTATCATTAATTGATTCATTATTATTTAAATCTGTTGTATTCTTTGTAATTAATGAGTTATCAACAGATTTTTCACCAGAAACTGATGATTTGTTATCGAAATAAACGAAATTTCCAGATAAAATAGATTCAGAAGTTTGTATTGAGTTGTTTCTATATAATTCTTTGTTATTTCTTCTTGGAGAAATAATTGTTGAATCAGTAGAATGTTCCTTGAGAATTCTCTGTGTTTTTTCATCATTTTTATCATGAATAACAGTGATAATCACTCCATTTTCTGTAACAACAAATGATTTAACTGTGTCTCTTTCGTTGTTATTTGTTTTCTCAAGAGATTCAAGTTGTTTCTCAATTGCAAGAGCTGCTTTTGATTTAAGTTTTCCACTACTTGTGAATTTGGAACTTAAATTCGGTGTATCTTCATCATCCACTTGATCTAAGTTGATTTTTTCTGATGATTTGTTGTTTTCTTGTTTCTTCTGATTTCTATAGACAATTTTATTTGTTTGATTGATATAGTCTTCAAATGGATTGGAGTATCTCTGGTTCTTGTGTTCTATATCTCTATTCTGTTTAACGAAGAAGCTTTGTGTATCAATTTTTTCATTTTCTTCTTGATTTGGAATTGTATTTTCAAATTGTTCACTTTTTGGATTATAAACAACGAATTCGGCCAAATCCAAAGGTGTTTCATCAAGTTCGTTGTCTTGCATGTCTTTTTGGATCGAATTAAATTCGTCTTCAATATTATCAGAAAATTTCTTCTTCGCGTAATACCTACGAGGACTTCTTTTGATTGTAGGTGGTTTAGTGACTGCCCCGTTTGGATCTTCTGGAACTGGCTTGAGATCTGGTAATTTCTTCAATCTTGGAGAGTGAATTGAAGTTCTGTTGCCATAATGAGATGGAGGCATTGGTGCAAAGCTGACTGACTTGTTTTTGTTCGTTTGTTCAATGTATTCATTTCGGAATTTGACAAGATTTGAGAATCCTGTTGGTTTTGGTATTTCATCTTCATTGTTCTTATCTTCTATGGCTTTTTCTTCTTCTTTCTTTGTATTTTCTTCTGTTTTGAACAAATTATTATATCCAGAATTAATTCTTGAGTTTTGGAAGGCTGGATACTTGGCAAATACAAGATCATTCATTTGGTCTGTCTCTTTGTTCGTATTTGATTGGTTTTCAACTGATTTTGTATTAATAATTATTTTTGATGGACTTCCATTAGGTCTTGACTGTACATGTGGCGATAGAACCCTTGCGTGATTGAAAATAGCATCCATTTCTCCAAAAATTGGCAAAACTTTTTGAACTTTATTATCGTATTCTTGAAACATCTCTTCGTGAAGGTTGGAACGATCATCTGTTTCATTGAGGACCGAGCCACGCTGCGAATAAGATGATTTTATCTTTCTTTTGAATGAAGTCAAGTACAACATAAACTTATTACTGATTTTGATATGTGAGTTCTTAATAATTCCTATCAGCCTAAAAGATTCCATGGTCAATTCTTTGTTCATCGAGATTAATTCCTTTGATAATGAATTCATGTTGCGAATGTTAACAATATAAGTGCCTTCTTCTTGTATCTTCTTAGAGTAGTTTTGAGTGTTGTTTTCCAAAGTATTGATCTCTTGAGAAATTTGATTAATTTCTGAATTTAAATTGAATAGAGCTTGTTGTCTGGTTTCTGGAGCTAGCCGATATCTTAGTTTTCTGAGGTAGTGTCTTGCATTTCTATGTTCATGCCTTAGTCGCTCGTATTTCGGTCGATATTTACTGATTTTATTTTGCAAATGTTGAAGTAAAAGCTCGCTTTCTTGAATGCTTCGAGATATTTCGTTGTTTTTATTCTCAATTGCGTTGTGTTGCGTAATTAATTGCTCATGAATCTCAAAATTTTCTTGTTGTTGTTTGACTGTATTAACCAAATCACCTGCATAGCGCGGGGACTTAGGATAGTCGCGTACTAAACGTGGTTTTGTGATCCGTGGGCCTACAGTTTGCAAAATTTGAAGATTTAAAAAAAATCTTTTCAAAATTTTCTAACGATTTTAGTAAAATTTTTGCTCTCATTAAAATAGATAATGTAATTAGATTTTGATAAATTTTTATTTTGTAAACTGATTTTCCTTTTATTGAATTGAATTTGGAAACATGGAATACAAAAAAGAGGATGAATCTCTAGTTATTACTAGCAAAACGCAATCTTCATCGGTTGTTTGCTTCAGTGTGCACAACATCAATAGTCTTTTTTCGGATTTAAAGCAATATTTCAATAAAAATGATCGATATGAATTAGAAAAAACAATAAATATGTTAGCATCCATGTTTGTAAATACTGTTGAAATTGATGAATCTTTCGGAACTTATAAATTACCATCTATTATCCTCACAATTGCAACATCAGGTGATAGTCAATTAGAAACAAGTGCATTAACATTACTAGTGAATATTTTTGCATCTAAACAACCATATTATCGCGATTATTTCTCTCCAGAAGATATGCAATTATTATTTGATTTCATTATTAAGAATAGAATAAATAAGACAAATTACGTGTTCAAGATTCTTCTTATAATTATGGACAAAAATTCGGACTTTTCAATAAATTACTTTGCAAATATTCCAAAAGAAACTTTAGTCGAAGCATCTCTAGCAATATCACGTTCTGCTGCAACAGATCGTTACAATGAATCATTAATGAGCAATTTAATCATCAGATTTATTGAAAGAGTAATCAATATCATGCCAATTGAAGAATATTTCGAAACTTTAGGTATGATTATTAACGATGGATTAAGATTTTTAGATCTGACACATCCACATATGACAGATTTCTTCAATTTATTAGATTTAATTTCAGAAAACGAAAACTTTAAAGATCTTGATTCTAAATATCAGTTCGGATATTATATCAATCATAACATGTTCCAAATTCCAGATGACTTAATTATTCCTGCACTTAATGTTTTAGCTGCTTCTTCTTTGTCTGTTGACAAGATAGATATTAACCAACTTGTTAATCTTTGTGCAAATTCAGATGTTGATATACAACAGACTGCATTCTTTGCTATAGGAAAATTAATTTTTAATCATAGTGAACTTGCAGCCAAATTTTACGAGGTCTTTTCTCTTGACTTATTAACGAATATTGAATCATATTCTTCCAAAATTAAGCTTGAAATTATTTATATAATGACAGCTTTTGCCATTTATTGCGATTCTGCTGCTAGATTAGAAATGATTGATGCTGGTCTTATAGATGAGTTATTAGAATATATAGAATTATCTGATTTTTCTGTTGAAATTGCAAATTCATTAATTTTGTTATTGAAAACCAAAATGGATATAGATGGAGCGCAAGTTACATTAGATTTCATTAACGAGCATGATATAATAGAAATTTTAGAAAATATCAACGAAGAATCAAATGATGAAAAATTTCATGCTGAATTTGACTTGTTTGTTTCAATTTTTGATCCTAACTAAGCTAACTAAAACATTGAAACAAATTTTTTGTCAAATTCGCTGAAAAACATTGAAAGAATTATTTGATCTAAAATAATTTTAATTTATTGACATAACTTAGATGTGCTCCTAACAGAATTATGATTTCATGGAGCATAAGTGAAATAGAAGAAGATAACGAATGTGGAAATTTTTTATATGAGTCATTCTATCTTGTTATCAACAGAACTTATACTTAGTCTTATTGTTGATGAATTTTTATTGAATTAACTAGATTAAAATTGAAAATAAATTTTCATAATAAATTACAGTTTTATAAACGTACTGCTTTGCCGTATTGAGTCTTCTTTGAGTGTCCAAGATTATCAAGATCAACTAAATCATTGCCATAGTTAGCCTTTGGCTTTGGTTGATTCTGAGTCTGGTTTGGTTTGTTTTGTTGCTGAGTTTGAGGCTTTGGTTGCATACTCATGTTGGAAAAGTCTTCAAATTGCGCTTGTTGCTGTTTAGGTGCTGATGAAGAAGAAGATGCTGGTGGACCAAGAAGATCAAAGGTTGGCTGCTGCTGTTGCTGCTGGAATGGTTGTGATTGCTGCTGAGGAGCAGATCCAAAGAAGTTTGGCTGCTGTTGTGGCTTTTGCTGTTGGAAATTAGCGAAAGCCGACTGCGCTTGTGGTTGTGGCTGCTGGTAATTACCAAACAATTGTTGTTGTTGTGGTTGTGGTTGCATGAATGGTGATTGAGTAGGCATTTGAGTTGGTGGTAAATCGCGTGAACGATTTTTAGGGATTTTAATCTGGTTTTGGTTCTTCTTTTTCTCCTCTAGATACTTGATCTGCTCTGGCGAGAGATTTGATGTATCAATTGTTCCTGAATCGGTTTCTAACAGACCAGAATCCATTTTATTAAGGGTGCACCCGTATGTACGTTTATTTGAGAGGAGGAGGATTACCCTCTCAATTTTGAGGGATTCGTTAGTTTATTTTCTCGATGAATATGCAATAAAATTTGATTTTTACCTTATCAATATACTTCATATAATATACACATGTTCATGTAAAAACTTTTTTCCAAAATCCTCAGGAATTAAGGGATTTTTGAATTTTAAGAATTTTTTTCGAATTTTTTCGAAAAAAAAAATATTTTCAGAACAGCCTTAACGGCTAAGATTTAGGAACAATGTTAAGTATCAAAAAGAAAGGAGGTCTGATATAGACAACATATATCGTTGAAGGTTGAAAAAATCTCTAATATTTGAGCCCAAAATTTCAAATTTTAATTTTTTGAAAAAAGAGGCCACCCATATGTACGTTTATTTGAGAGGAGGAGGATTATATTTTTGAAAGGGTGAAACATTATGAATATGTTAATTATATAATAATATGTATTATTATAAAAAAGAAAAAATAAAGCACGTTAAAATTTTTCTTTCTTGATTTTTTACAAAATCTACTTAGAATTATGCAAAATATGACTAAATAATTATAAATTTCAAGTTAAATTTTAATTTTGATAAATAATTTAAATTTCAAAATATCAAGTTCAGTTCGACTATGTATGTTGTAATTCCTCAATAAAATGCCAAAACCCTATTAAAATATATGAACATTTTCAACATTTTAATGTTTTTATTTAAAAATTTGATGGAATATGAGCTTCAAACAATTATTATGTAAATAAAAATAATTAAATATATGTATTTATTCGTATTACAACCGTAGTAAGTCGATTCTTCCTTTCTTCTATTGAGGTTTGAATTTGATTTCGAATTGTAAAGAGATTCAAAGGGAAAATACTAGCGGATAAAAACTACCTCCATGAAAGGGTCATAATGGAGTCAAGTTGTATTTTTTGATATTTTTTGCTTTTCGAGCCTAAATAGGTAGCCAAGATAATGCCTAAAAATAAGGTTCTAAATTCTGAAGTTTACATGATCCTCTCGTGTGCACCCTTAATTTCTGATAAGAATATAAAAAAATAGTCGATAGAAGTGTCACATTTTTATATTCAAATGTCCAACTGCTCTCAATAATGTATTTTATTGAAAAGTTATGAAATTTAAATATGTGATTACATATGTGGAAGAACTTTAAATTATTCGATATCGTTTTTGACAACTTCAAAAATTCAGAAAGTATTCAATAATTTTATTTATATCCTTCGAACCACAATATATATGCTTATGTTAAAACAAATAAAATAAAGAAGAAAATTTAATCTTACTTTGAGGAATGGAAGAATTGTTAATCAACTGGACGCAATTCTTGATCTTGACAAATTTGGATTCTGCCTAATGTAAAGCGAAGCGATGTTATTGCATATTCCTCAATCATAAATTGTCTCAAGTCAAAACCCTGTATTTTTATTCAAGTTTCTCCAAGTAACGAATCTCTTTTGATCTATACTACAATAATTCATATAGCTATCCAAAACTTGTTCGATATTCATAGATATAACGTCAATCAATCCAAATAAAATAAACAATACAAAATTTTAGGAATGAAAAGAAACGCGACCATCTTGAAATACATAGCATTGATTCTAACTAAATAGATGAACGTAGTATTATCTTGTTATTCTGATATATATAGAAATAGATGATTTTTGCAGCAACTCAAATGTTCAATCTAATGATGAATTTTTATAGCTTATTTTCTTTCAAATTACGAAATATCATGTTCCAAATCCATGATTTTATTAACTTTCAAAATTTTAGATAGGATTCATAGCTTCATATCATGAACTATACCAATAATACGGGCATCAATTTCATTAGTAACGTTAAACTAGTCAAATTTAACATAATTGTTTCCAACCAATTTAATTCGAGCATTTATACAAAGAAATGTTTACTTGATTAGCTTTGTTAGGCCTTGGAAAGTAAATTCCTCTGATTTCTCATAATCCCTAAAATTTTTGATCGCACAAATTTGAAGTGACCAATTTTTTCTTTTTATTTTTTTAAATGTCATTCCGTCTCTCTCAAGCTTACGTCCCAACAGACTACGAACTCCACATCAAGACTGATATCAAGAGCAAGAAGTTTGATGGTGAAGTTAAAATCACTTTCAAGAAGAATGAAGCTGATGCAAAGGTTGCTGAACTTCACGCCGATGCATCAATGGAAATCAAGAGTGTTACACAGAATGGTGCTGAAGTCAAATTCGAACGCACCAACAACCGTCTTAACCTTCTTGGTGAGAAACTCAACGAATCACCTGTAATCATCCAATATATCGGCTCTCTTGACCGTCCGAACACAGGTTTCTACTACATTAACGACACGACTGCATGCACACAGCTCGAATCTACACATGCACGTGAAGTTTTACCATGTTTTGATGAGCCATGCATCAAGACAACATTTAAGTTCTCATTGACCGCACCAGCCGAGCTCAAGCAGTTCTCCAACACTCCTGTTGAGTCATCAGAAGTCAATGGCGAGTGGAAGACCTGCCATTTCGTTAAAACACCAGTTATGTGCTCATACCTCTTCGCCATCGCTGTTGGCAACTTCGTAACCGTCGAAGGGGCCACAAAGCGTGGTCTTCCAGTCATAATTGGCGCTACACCAAATTTGAGAATTTTCATGGACGCAGCACTTGAAGAATGCATCAAATACGTCGAGTGGTACGAAGACTTCACACACGTCAACTTCCCACTCCCATGTCTTCAAGTTGTCGCTGTTCCAGAATTTATTATGGGCGCCATGGAGAATTTCGGACTTATCCTTGCCAGAGAAAGCTGCTCTCTCGGCCATCCAAAGCTTACCCCATTAGTTGGCTTCATTCGTGCCATGGAAGTCAACTGCCACGAAATTGCTCACCAATGGGCCGGAGACTGTGTTTCACCAAAGTGGTGGGACAGCATCTGGCTCAATGAAGGCTTTGCTACAATCTTCCCATCCATCATTTTCCAGGATCTCCATCCAGAATGGGATTATTGGGGCAATTTCTTCCTTACAGACAATACATACGCTTACGAGGTCGACCAATCAATGACAACTCACCCAATTCAAACAACATGCAACAGCGAAGCCGAAATCGAAGGTTCATTTGATGATGTCGAATACTCCAAGGCTGGCGTCTTCATCAAGATGCTCATGTACCACCTTGGACGCGACAGATTCAGAGACTGCCTCAGAGTTTACTACAACAAGTTCCTTTACTCGAATGCCGATACAAACGACATCCAAGCAGTTTTCTCCGACGTTCTCAAGGAGGACATGAAGCCATTCTTCGACTGCTGGACACGCCAGGCCGGCTTCCCACTCATTACCCTCGAAGACGACGGATATCTCACTCAGAAGAGATTCACAATCAACGGTCTCAAGGATGGCCAGAAGTGGATTGTCCCACTCTTCATAACCGTTGGCCGCAAAGATGGAAAAGTCGAAGAAGTCAAAATTGTCATGACAGAAGAAAGGATGAAACTCGAAATTGAGGGTGAATACGAATGGCTCAAGCTCAATACAAACCTCCGCAGCTTCTGCCGTACACTTCTCAAAGGTCATCACCAAGAAAATCTCATCAAAGCAATTAAGGCAGGAAAAGTCTCTTCATACGACATGTTCTCCGCTCTCAACGATATGCACGCATGCGCTAAGGCAGGTGTTGTCTCTTACAAGGAAGTCGTCGAATTACTTAAAGCATACGAAGGCACAAAGGAGCCATTACCACTTATCGAGTGCGCCAATGTCTTCACAAGCATCTACCACAACTTCCCAGCCATCCACGAGAAGATTATCCCATTCGCTCATAGATTCCTCGAATCCGCTCTCAAAACAGTCGGAATGGACAACACAGGCGTTACATCTTTACTCGCCGCTAAGCTTAGAGCACAAATTCTTACAGAACTCGCATTTAATTATCGCAGCGAAATTGCAAAGGAATACGGTATCAAATTATACAAGGAATACATGGCCCGTGGCGATTACCTTCTTCCAGAAGGATTCGACATGGATGTTCTCTTGTTTGTCCTCAAATGCGGAAATCTTTTCGTCGAAGGTGGCAGACAATACAATATCGATGCAATCATCAAATCTAAGAACCCAGATGTCTCTAGATCCAGCATTGCCGCCCAAACATTCGTTAAAGACGAGGAAATGGACGAAATGTTACTCAGCATCTTAAATGCAAAGAGACAGAACATGCACATCATGTACAGAGTTGCTTGCACCGCTCCAACAGTAGGAAAGCACGCTTGGAACTTCTTCAAGAACAACGCTCAGTTCTTTATCAATTTATTCGCTACTACATCCTTCATTTTACCTTCAATGGTCGAGGCTGTCATGGAAACAGCTGAGACAAGCGAAGAACTTGAAGAAATGATCGAATGGTTCAACAAGAACCCAATCGAGATCTGCAAGCCAATGGTTGTTAAAATGGCTGACGATCTCCGCCAGAAGTTCCAGACACAGGCAAAGTTCGCTGCAGAAGTTGCCGCTGCTATCGATAGCGCGTAAGTTTTCTATTTCTAAACAATTTCTGTTTTAATTTTCTAATTTTTGTGAAGATAATGACAACATATCATATATTATCACTAAATTTAACATGATTTTCATTATAATTTGTTTGTAAACATGAAATTTAATTCAATATTTTGTGAATTTTAGAGTTTGATATAAAATTCATAGATAATATAACTACACTCCTATTATAATTATTCTTTATACATTTGAAATTCTCTGATTTTGATTTTTTTATTCCAAATTTTTTTCATTTTTCAAAAAATGAAATATTTTTTCTTGAATTTTCAATTCGAATTATCGATTTTGAAAAATTTTTGGAATTTGGATATTGTTGGATTCGAGTAGTTAGCTAATAACGAACATGAAAATCGCCGGTTCATTAAAAAATGTTATTGATTACATTCAAATATAACATGTTGTTCAATTTCATATAGATTCTCTTGATCAACTGCTGTCATATGACATATTTAGATATAAGAATCATCTGAAATAAATACTCTTGCCTGCCATCAAACAGTAACCCACTCAAGATATTGATTATTTCATCATAATAGGTGGCACATTAATAACCCACTCAATAACGAGTGAGAATAATGCTTGTAAAATTTTTTTTCCTCAAAAAAATTGAGGAGGTAATCTTCATTTCACCTATCGTAAAAATTGCGTAATTCTTATAGACATGCAATATATTTCCTATTTTTGAAATTTATGTCAAATCCCTATCCCATCAAAAATGCTTGCGAAAATCTTCGGTTCAAAGAAAGAAATTAATGATCCAGTGCACCGAATATGGGTGAAATGGTTCACTGTTGATCTGCCGAAGCAATCGCATTTGCAAGTCATTCCTCAAGATATTTTAACATATTATCAGCAGATTCAACTAGTTACATACACAAAACAGCAGGTATTTAAGAACCGCGAACCTGACGATCTCACATATTTTACTAATTTATTTAAACTTAATGAACCTCTTGACGAAAAAGTTGAAAATTTAATTAATTACATCAATACTTCTACATCTGTCTTAATGCAATCAGAAAGGCTATTACAGTTACTCGTTCCACCAATATATCAGTATTTAATACGATATTTATATCAATTTCCGACAATGTTAAATTTAGCGAGGAGCGACAATGTTGCAACCCTTCAATTCATCCAGAAAGCCTATCCTTTACTCAATTTTTATATGTCACATTCGAACAAACTCTTTGAAGATGCATTATTTTTATTAAAATCCTTCTACGAAAGGCTTTCTAGCCTTCTAAATGACGGAATCTTCATACAGGAGTTCTTTCCTGAGGTTCTGAATATTACTCTTAACTTCCTTACAGGTCTACAAGAAGATAATTCAAATACTTTTTCAATGTTTCAATTTTTATTAAATTACTATCATATGTGGATTTCCAAAATCCATACACCACAATTTACCAAAGAAAATCTTACAGATTGCATCAAAATCTGCGATGGAATGTCAAAAATCAAACCAGCGTTTGCCATTCATTACAAAGAATCTCTGATTGATCCAATACTTTCCAATGGTTTCAACATGCTTAGCTTTTTGTTTATTCTTACAAATAATCCTGTAGATGATATGGATATCGCGTACTTAGGAATTTCTTTTCTCCGATTCCTAGATTTTTACACCAACCTTGGCCCTGACTTCGCCGAGACAATATTTTGCCACCAAATGCTTCATTTCATTGGCGCCTTTATTATGTGGACTTTAGACAGATTTCCGATCTGCGACGACCAGGCCGAGCCAGAGAAAGTCTGTGAGACAGATCTAGAGTTCTACAAGCACCATATTTTCACTCCTCCGGAATTTAAATTTGTCAAAAAAGTTTTACACATTACTTTGACGAAAAGCCATAACAGGGAGAGTTTTGAGAACCGAGAATTGATAATGCAATACGCGTTAACCGAAATCAGCGAAAGAATTCAGAAAATTCCACAATTGAAGTCAGTTTTCGTTACTTTAGCCAATTTGACCTTCCATACCAATTCCTATCATCTTGTAGAGCTATTATACCTCACGATCATGGACTTTGTGACCCAATTAATGAATGGAACTTCAATTCAATATAATTTTCGCAGTGAACCTCGTTTATTATGTTCATCAGCCATCTTTTTCATTACCCAGTTGTTCCTACATTCTCAGATCCAAATTGTTGTCCAAGTTCTCCAAGATCACAACGGATTCACAAATTTGGCCAATACTTTCATCTTTTCACCCAAATTCAATACCTGGGAAACCGACAACACCTGTATTGACAACATTTTCATCACGGAGACACGTCTTTCCGTTTATTCTTTGTTTGCATCTTCATATGCTAACATTGACTCATCATATGTTCCAATTTTGAATGCATTGAGTACTTTGTTTGGTAGTTCTGCTCCGATCATTGATGAAGTCATCCAGTTTATCTATGTTTTGTTCTGTACTTCGACCGAAATTTTCACTCAAATTTTGCCAAAAGTTAATTTGATACAAGAAGCGAGCCAATACATGGTTGATTTGCAGAGAATCAATATAGACATGGAAGAACAGAACTACGAACAAAAGAAGATCAGTATGTTGGAGCAGAGTCGATATCACATCTTTAATATTTTTGATTATTTTTCAGCGAAACCAGGCAGTAGATTATTAATTTTTTCAGAAAAACTATTTTGTGATTCTATCATTCATTTCTTTTTCGAAGATGCCACACAGAACTACGCGATCGACATGTGGGAGAATGGTTTATTAATTGATCAAGGTTATATTACTAATGTTTTTGATCCTTTCTTGCATATGTTTGATTTGCAAAACATTTTATTTGATAATTCATTTAATCATGTTGATGATGAAGATTGGATATCATTGATTTACAGGTTGTTGCAGACATTGGATAAAGTAATTCCTTTGAACAAAAAGACATTGATTAATTATATAACTAATTATAATTTACTTGAAAATATTTCGAATTTGCCGAATATTTCTACTGATGTTTCCAAGAAATTGGAGTTTGTTAATTTGATATTGCATATCTTCTTCTTAGTTATACAAGGTTCTCCTGTGATTCGTAAGTCTGCTTCGAAGAAACCAATGGAAAACATGTCCGAAATCTTGTCAAAATTAGATTACGGAGATGAAACCGTGAAATTGTTACTTTCTTTGATTTTTGAGAGAAGTATGGATCTCAAGAATCTTCCAAGGAACATGGATATCAATAATGCAAAGATAATTCCTGCTATTCATAGATCTACGAAACATTTATATGCTCATGATATAATATTCAATTATTTGTCAAAAGTTTGTACTTCATCTGTGACAAATAAACTGAAATTATTCATGTCAAAGACACCGTTAGTTATTCTGAAATATATACAGAGTTTCGATAATTTCCCATCACCAAACAAAGATGGAAGTTACGCACCAACAGTTAATTGGATGCTCATTCTTTTCTCAACAGTTTCTTCTGCTGTTTTCAAATGGAAAACATTTTACGAAGCGTTGAGATCAATGCGTCCTTACGAGAAAACGAAAAGATGGTGGACGGTCCAACTTATATCAACTTTCTCTACAATCCTTAGCGAGATATCCTCCAGACCTCCTTCTTCTTTCTTCCACTTCCATGGTAGAAGAACAGGCATCGATTTGCCAGTACTTCCTGCAGGAGTTTTGACAAACGGTTTTACTTTTGTTGTCAGATTGGAATTAGGTTCTATTATCTCTTTGGATGGCAACAGAGCAACCTTGTTGAGTTTGTTGGATACTTCTGGTAACTCTATGGATCTTTTCTTCGAAGACAACCATTTAGTTTTCGAGTATTACAAAGGAAAAGACAATATCCAAAGAGTTGTTATTTCTAGAATGAAAAGAGATGTTCAAACTCCTTTGGAATTCTCCCAAAATGTATGGTCAAGGATCATATTTACTATCAATGAGAAGAAGTGCGCGACACTGTGGATAGACAAGGTTTGCTACCACGAGTTCGTAGTAAAAGGCTTCAAATTGGACCAAGAAATAAAACAAGGAAAAATCGCTTGTAACTCTCCGAAAATGTATCGTCCGACCGAAGATCCTTTGATCGCAAATATATCGTCGATATATTTGTTCGATAGATGTTTGAGCCAGGAAAACATACAGAGGATCGCCAGCCTGCCGAACGACTACTGTTTCGGATTTTCTCCGTCACAAGCGTCGGCATTTCCTGATGTTCCGAAAGAATTGTTCACGGATGAGATCAATAACTCACTCATACTATGCTTGAACGCTAGAATGACTGCAGGAACAACTTGCGCGAACTTTACAACTCGAGGAATAGGAAATGCGGAAGTCAGAGGCCAAATCATACCATTTTCCACATCTTTCATAGATGTGACAACGAATATGGGTGGCTTAAATGTCTTCCTTCCTCTCTTGGAGCAGGTTGACTATCCAATTAAAAATGAAGAAATTAATGACGCGACAAACTTCCTTTTGTCACTTCTAGGATTATTCAACCAGTTCCTTAATAACTCAGATGTCATCCAACATGACTTCTTTGCAAGCGAAGGCATGAAATCTCTTGCATTTTTGTTATCTAAGATAAATCCAACGACAATGCACTCAAGAGTCATCTCCCAATTATGCGAAATGTTCAACTCAATCAAGACAGAAGAGAATAAGCTAGTAATGATTAGAGATATCTTCTTGAATTTCTCATTATGGGCGAACCACCTTCCAGATACTCAAATCTGCGTAATAGATCATTCATGGAAGTACATATTCTCCTCGAATATCGACTTGTTCACTAAATCTACCAGTGTTACGAACTTGATCATCACAATAACTGACCAACCAAACGCTTCCATCAGAAACGCGTTCTGGGAACTTGTCCAGAACTTGGCTCCACATAAGTTCACCTCATCAGACCAAACATCTTTGTTTGAATTAGCCATGATGGACAATCCGATAGACGTAAGCTTGGAAATACTGAAAAATACGTATATCCTGATGAAGAAGCAGGTGAACAACTTCCATAGGATCGTAGAGAAGTACAAGTACTACCTTCCTTTCACTCAATATTTGAGTATTTCTGCAAATGAAAATGTCAGAATTTTTTCTCTGAAATTTATTTGTCAGATTTACAAACAACAATTGAGAGGACAGATGTCGACAGCTGGTACAGAAGATCCAGACACAATGTTTATCAATGCTATATTAGCAATGATCGCTGTTTACAATCCAAACGAGTCGACATTGAAAATGCTAGAAATTGTAACGAAGATTTTCTTCAGATCGAAGAAGATGCAGCCGGGATTGTTCCCATTCATCATTTATCTCTCAACAATCTACAAACCAGAAGAGTTTAGACCATTTTTCGAAAAATGTCAAACTGTAGAGGTTTGTTCGAGTATTTCTCAAGCGCCATGCTGGCTATTATGGCTGTTCTACGCAATGTTCCAGACGAACAGGCCAAAACTAGTATTCGGAAGCGATACATTGATAGATTCGATAATTGCGATGACTCTGATACAGATAACTCAAAAGAATCAGAACAACAATGACAAGAACAGAGAGCAGTCCGCAGTATCATCGATGATTAGCTTGTTTATGCATGTAATGATCTTTAATAAGTTTGATACGACGCCTCTGATCCGAAATGTCCTTAAAATCATGCTGAGGAAGGTCATGCAAGAGATATCCAAGTGGTCAAGTGATCAGTTACAGAATATTATCACTCCAATTGTAAGATTTATTTTCTTCCCAGAGAATTCCGAGATCTACAAGGATAATGTTCAGCTCCTTCAAATGGCCAACGTCGAAGTCAAAGGATATCTTGCCAGCGAGGCACAAGGCCACATAGCTTTGTCAATTTACAAACAAATCTTCAGTAAAGACAAAGTTAAAGACGTCCACACGACATTTTCTCTTAGAGTAGAGAACAACAAGTGGTTGGACAGCGAACTGGCCAAAATGCTCCTCGACATCATGTGTTTTCTCAAAGATAAAGAGATTTCCGAGATGAAAATGAAAGTTTCAGAAGTCACTTCACTTATTGCGGCCACTTTAATACATACAGATCATTCTAATACATTAAATTATATCCAGAGCATTAAGTCAATCATTTCCAATGATTATTCTGCACTTGCAATCGTCGCAGAAAGTGTTTACAGAGTTTCAATTAAATATGACAAGACTTTGTTCAATTCTTTCATTAAAACATATCCAGAAATAATTTCTAGGATACCTAGAAAGCCGCAGGATGGAAATTCTTACTTAAATGACCAGTATTTCGTAACAGATATATTTAACGAACTTTTCAAAGACATAAGAATCTACAACATGATGGCTGATGATTCTGATAAGGTATCGACCGCAATTACTCGAAATCTAACCTTCTACATCGAATCATGCGCTCCAACTTTGATGAAACTCGATCCTGAGCAAGCCGTCTTGTTTGAAACAATCGGATACAAGCGCAGACACTTGGAGTTCACGAACGAAATGAAAATACAGAAATATTCCTGCGAAAAAGCTTGGAGAAGAATCTGGCGAAATCTAAGTACAAACGGAAGCCCGTGGTCAAGCATTGGCAACGCCCAGCACTGGAAACTCGCTCAGCGTTGGGATTCTTTGTACAGAAGGTTCTTTATGAAACCAAATTTGGAATTCGACCCACACGTCAAAGCCTCCTTCAGAAGAGACGCAACAAGTGAGTCGCAAGCCCAAGAATTATTCCTAAATTGGCAAAAGAACCATCCAGAGCAAACAATCGAACAAGATACGAACCAGAACGAGGATATCGACGAAGATATCAACACAAACAAGCAGCACTACTCATTATCCCTCAACGCTAGAATGATTACCCTTGAGAAAAATTATGAAGGAATATTTTTCATGAACGACAAAGAAATCGCGTTTAATGCCACCGACGAACAACGATCTATACAATTCGAGATCACTCAGCTCGATATGGTCCTTCACAGATCGTATTTACATATTGATTCCGGATTAGAGTTCTTCCTCAAGTCCAGGAGGTCCTATTTCATCATGTTCGGCAAACAGAGCGACAGAAGGAACGTTATCCAGTACTTACGGCCATACTCCAACCAAATGGTCCTTCAAATTGGGAATATCCAGTCACTTTACGCATTCCAAGAGGCCACGAACCAGTGGAAGTCCGGCAACATGAGTAATTTCGAATATCTCATGAAGATAAACTTCTTTGCCGGCAGATCTTACAATGATTTGAGCCAATATCCAGTTTTCCCATGGGTTCTTAAAGATTACAAGTCACCAACACTTGATTTGAACAATCCAGACATATACAGAGACCTTTCAAAGCCAATTGGTGCCTTAAACGAACAAAGATTAGCTAAATCACTAAACGAGTACCAAGAATGTCCAGATGGACCAGAGCGATGTCTTTACAGAATGCACTACTCCAACGCTTTCTATGTCCTTAACTATTTGGTGAGAATGGAACCATACACTACATTACACATCGAAGTGAATGACAGGAAATTTGACAAATCTAATCGAATGTTCAGTGGTATCAAGAGAGCATGGAATGCAGTTGTGTCACACGCTCCAGACTACAGAGAACTTATTCCAGAGTTCTTTTGCTGCCCCGATTTCCTTACTAACCACAACAATTTCGATCTTGGAAAGTTCAAAAATGGATGCGAAAACGGTGATGTCAAACTTCCTAAATGGGCCAAATCTCCTGCACAGTTCATTGCTATACACAGAGCTGCTTTGGAAAGTCCTTATGTCACTTCACATCTTGGTCAATGGATTGATTTGATTTTTGGCTACAAACAGCAAGGACAAGCAGCGATTGACGCGAACAACACATTCCACGCGTATTGTTACTCATCATCTGTAACTCCTGAGATAATCAGAAACAGACCTGATGACCTACAAACAATACAATTCACTGCTGGAAATGTCGGAATAATTCCTCGTCAATTGTTCACTTCACCTCACCCTTGTATTGATGTCAAATTGAGGAGACCGATCAATTCAACCAAATTCATTAAGGAGATGAATGGAAGACCATCATTCGTTGCATACAATAACCAGAGCAAATCAATGTTCTGCCTCATGCAAAACGCTCAAGTTTTCTTGGTAAATTCGACATCTCCCCCAAATATGATTGGATCAATCCAGGGAACAACAATTATGGACGGAACAGGACAGAAGTCGTTTGCTTACTTCCCAGACTCCCAGAGATTCATCGTGTCTTCCCCGTGGGACTCTTGCTTCCACGTGTTCAAGGCAGAGTCCAATTCTTTGACTCAGATTCACACGGAAAGACAGAAATTCTCTTTGATCGTCGCTTTACAAACGATAGGAAAATCGTTTTTGCTGACCATATGGAGAGATTCGAGTATTTCTGTCTATTCTATCATAGACAAATACTCTCTTCTTTACAGAATCACTCCACACTTCGTTTCGATTGTTGACGCAGACGCATCATTAGTTTTGGACATAATTGTCTCAGCTGACAAAGACTCGAACATCGTGATTTCGAGATTAGTCAATGGAGCATTTATAAGGAAACTAACTGCTGATGACCAGATCCAGAAGGTTTCGTTGATTGAAGATGGATACATCGCTGTTTGCACAGGAACAAACCACACGAAATTGACTCTTTACACAGTGAATGGAGATTTCGTGGCTTCGACAACTTTCACTGCGAAAATGACTGCATGGACAAATGTCACTGACTCGAAGACTTCTCTGTCACATATAATCATCGCGTTTGATAATTTCGAAGTGGTCGAATTCAACGTTCCACAGCTTGAAATATTGTCTTCTATCAACGCTGGAGATACTCTTTCGTCATTGACTTATGACCCGAATTTGAACGCAGTTTTTGGAGCTGCTTCAGATGGAATTTGTTTTCTTAACTTTTAATTCTTTTCTTTATTTTGTTTAAATATATTTAAAATATTTATTTTCTATCAAAATATGGAACATTTTTTTAAATATTTTTTTGATGTGCTTACTAAATTCAATTGTAGATCATATTTGTTTTCTATATAACTAAGTTAATTGATCTATCTAGCATCAATTTTTATTTTTAAATAAGTAGATACCCATACAAAAATAAACTCCTTTTCTTTTGTAAAGTCTCTTATTCAAATTTTTGATAGAGGTTCACTCAATATTGAGGCAGAAAAACGATAGGGAGACTTTACGTAGGAAAATGGGTTTAGTTGCAACTTTTGCATATAAACTAGATATCGATTCTGGAACACCAAAAGCCTTTTTTTTTGGAAAATAGAAAATATTTATAAACTTGGAATCATATTTTTCGCTTCTGTTTCTCAATCTGAAAAATAAATCAATAAAAATGTCACTTTTCAATTTTTTCAATACATGATTGATGTTTAATAACATCAGAAAAATATGATGGAAGAGGTATTGAATATACTGATGCATCTAAATCAGTTCTTGTCAAATGCCCTGAAAGCCTAAGTGGCGACGTCGAAATCCTTCAAAGTGTTAAAATTATTAGTGGTGGCAATAGTGAAGTAAATAGTCCATTCTTTGCATGCAGAGGATTAATCACATCTATCAAATTTGCTGCCTTAAGTAAATGCGAAAGTATCTGTAGTTTTTGCTTTGCCACATCAAATTTAGTTTCTGCTGATTTAAGACAATGTCAAAACCTTCCTTATCTTAATTATTCAGTATTCAGACAATGTAGTAAATTATCTACATTTTATTTTCCTCCAAATATCAAAGAAGTTAAAGCAGGATGCTTTTTTAGTGATGACAAATTGATGGTTATTAATCTTCCAGATTCAGTCGAAACTATTGATGGATATGTTGCTGGACATTCTTGGCCATTTGCTACAACCGGAACCACATCATTTAACATATCACCTAATTCAAAATTAACTACATTAAAATCTGAATGTTTTTCACAAGTTCGTTGTTCGAGTATCTTCATTCCGAAAAACGTGACTCAAATTGGAAATTCTATATTTGCTGATAGTAATATTGCAGGTATTATAATCGATAAAGACAATACTGTATATAGGACTGATGGAAAATCAATTTATTCTGGTGAGAATAATAATACATTATTTGCAGTTGTGAGAAAAAATATTGGCCAATATATTGTTCCAGATTATATTACATCAATATCTGGTGGTTGTTTTCGAACATGTGAAGTTTCTAAAATTACATTACATGAGCGGATAAATTATATTGGTTCATGGGCATTTAGTAAAACAGGCATAACATCAATGAAAATCCCAGAATTAGTTACTAACATTAAGCAAAGTTGTTTCCAAGAGTGCTATTCATTACAGTATGTGAATCTTTCAAATCAAACTACAATAATTGAAACTATGGCATTTTATAATTGCCCTAATCTTCTTGAAATGAAAATACCAGAGACATTGACGACTATATCTAACGCTGCATTTTTCAACTGCATGAAGCTGAACTTAGATATTGCTAACAATACACATATTAACTATGTCGACCGCATGCTCTTCACCAATGAAAGAAAATCTTTATCAGATTATTTCGGTGATGATCCAAATACTGACCTAGTAATTCCTGATGGATTGAATTTTGTTGGTTATTCAGCTTTCAAAGGAAAGAAGTTAAGATCAATATTATTTAATGGTGCATCTCTAATAGAAGTTGCAGAACTTGCATTTTCACAATGCACATTAGATAAGATAACTTTGCCGTCAAGTTTGAAGTCAATTGAAGGAAATTGTTTTGAAGGCTGCACGAATCTTAAAACAATTGAATTTTCAAATAATGAAGTTCTTACAACTATCCCAAAAAACTGTTTTAATGGTTGTACACAATTGAGAAATATAATTTTACCTTCTTCTATTACAACTATTAGTGAACGAGCATTTGCAGGCTGCACTAACATTGGAGATATTGGATTATCAGCAACACAAATCCAAAATATTGGAATATATGCATTTGTAAACAGCGGTATTACATCTTGTGATAATGGAAAGAACTTATTGACTTTCGATTATGGAGCTTTTATGAACAGCAATATACAATCTTTAACTGTTAGTACTCGTAGTATCTCCGAGAATTGTTTCTATAATTGCATTTATCTCACATCTATTACATTTGACGACAATCTCGCTTCGATTGAAGCATCTGCATTCGAAAAATGCCCTTTATTGCGAGAATTTGTTATCCCGAGCAGCTTAATCGTGATCAAGTCATTTGCGTTTCGAAATTGCATATCACTTTATAAAGTTTCTCTTTCTATGAACAGTGTTCTCCCAGAAATATATGGAGGAACTTTCATTAATTGTCCACAATTGGTATCAATAAAGTTAAACCCAGAAGATCGATCATACAGATTTAGTAATGGAGCCTTAACAAATTATGAAGAAACAAAATTAATAACATTCATTCCATCAAGTCCAATTGATACATATATTGTTCCAATGACAATGACATCAATTGGAAACTACGCTTTCATGTCATGTTCAAATTTAGTAAGAATTCTTTTTAGCGGAAACAATATTCAATCAATTGGCCGCGAATCTTTCAAAGATTGTACTAAATTAGAATTTCTATTCATTACAAGTACAAGCTTGTCAACTATAGGTGACAATGCATTTGATAATACTCCTTATCTTCGAAAATGTGGCTCTGTTCGATGTGATGAATCAAAAACAGATATCTTTATACAAAGAAACATCCCATCAATATCATTTCGATTAGATTGTAAGCATGAACGCATTACATGCTTGCAAAAATCATCCTACTCCATATCAATTTTATTAATTTCACCTTTTATTATCATGTAAAAATTTAATCACTATATTGAAAATAATATCATTAATTTTTTTTAAATATAAGAACTTTACTCCTTAAAGGTAATATATCATTCTTTTTAAGTGTGATTCCAAGTAGATCTGTATTAAGCATTCTCAAATATGCAGTTTTGATCTATGAGAAGAAAAAAAAAGGATGAAGAATGTAAGGTTGCAACTTTTCATAGCCAAACACTTATGTTTTACAGGCTTCATTTTGTAAAATCTTTTCTTGTTTATTGAGTGTTCGTAGGATGAATCATCTTCTATTATTTATGGTATAAAATTAAGAACTGTATCCTATTATACCCAACAAATGAGCTTACATTTCTTTTCAAAAACAATTTTATCAACAATCTCAATCATTCTTAAATATGATATGCACTTATTAGTTTTCTAGTAGTAGATTAATACAAATTCACAAACATGGAAAATATAGGATTAATAATGCAATTCATTAGATATATTAAATTTGGCACAATAATATCTTAATATGTATAGTTACACAATCCAAAGGTGGAATATAATTATGTTGCATATATATGTTTATAGGCAATGAGCTAGTAGATTATTTCATTCTCTATATTTTTCTGGAAAATATAATTTCAGTAACATAAAAAAGCCATAACCTATGTTTGAGAATGGATGGCCTGTAAATGGTAAGATAATGCCTTAAAAATGAGAAATTAAAATTCGGCTGGGAAGGCTTGGATTCAAATTGTAAAATTTGTAACCGGGGCAAAAGTTTCTGTTAGTACAGCAGCTCAGTTTTCAAAAGATGTAAGATTTTGTCTTTCCTAAATAATGGCATGTTAATCGATCAAACGATAGGTGTAGAATTAACGATTTGGAATCAAATCGTTTGATATGACCCTATATGATGTGGCATCTCATGGTCTGAAATTGTCTGATGAAATCAATTTCCGATCAATTGACAATGATGAAATAAATGAATTGAAGTAAAATGCCTTGTGATCTTCCGTAGGCATTTAAGGTATTGCAGGTTCCTTGTGGAAAATTATGGCAACTGGCGAAATTTGATTTAAGTTGCCACAAATAATCAGTAAATAACTACTTGAAAAAATACGATTCGAGTTTATTATAAGTATGATATAGTCACTATTTACTCTGTAAGCTTGAAGAATTCGAGGACATCCTTATCTTCGCAAACTTCTTCATCTAAGCAAAGTTCGGTAGCCCACTCCTGGATAGCATCACGGCGGAGAACGACGAAATCGCCATCACGGTTGCCGACGAATTTCTTTGGTGGGAAAACGCGAAGGAGGCGAATTGCTCCATAGTTGTAGATAAGTTTTTCGTTGAATTCAAGAAGCTGGCTATAGCGGTATGATGTCTGTGAAGACTTCTCGACGCCGTTGACAATGCGTGTGGCGACGAAATTATAGAATGTAGCCTTTGTTGTGGCATCATCTCTGTGACCTGTGATGACGATGCTGAGCTTGTTCTCACTTGGGCAACCAGCAAGTTGCTTCTCCTTGATCTCGTTCTGTACACTTGCTTCGACACTCATTAAAAATAAGTTATGATATAACCGTTGTCAAATTCATCTTTTGGGAACTTATTTTATTTCCCCTTATTCTATATAAATTGATCACTTTCATGACATTTTACGGTGAATTTGTAAATGTAATAATCACTTTCACTAATTTGCCATCTTGAAATCTTCTACACAATCAAGATATAATACTCTAACAGCAAGAAATATATATTATATCTTATGTACATTATAATGGTAACATTTTGAACAGGAAATATCTGATGATATTCATGGATCAATCAATTGAGCATAGTTAGCTCAAATGAACAAAAATTTAAGAATTATTTAATATATAGTTAATAAATATACTTTAAAATAGGATTTTCTCTCGGTTTCTTTGTTTCAGATCTGAAAAATCCCAAGCGTTCATAGTTTTGCAGAATCTCACATTTAATTCGTTGTGATAAGGAGAGATAAATCATAATCTTTAGCAATCGAAAAACGCGATCTTTTGATAAAAACTCAATGAGCAAACATGATTTGTTTGGGAAAGATTTTCCAAATTGAATGGATGATCGCATACGGAGTACCTAATCTAAACGTACTCTCTTTTACCCACATCGATATTTACTGGCTCATTATAAGATTTTCTGACAACGATAAAAAGAAAAAATCATTTTTATATAAATGTTATCATCTATTGGTACTAGAACATCCGGCTTCGGCAATTTGTTCTTCCGCAGCTTTGCAAAGGCTGCCGAGAAACCAAAGGTCGATGGCGATGAACTTTTCAAGAGAGTTAACAAGATCATTGAAGAAAAGGTTCGCCCATTCATCAGATCTGAGGGCGGCGATATCGAACTCGTCGACATCAAGAATGGATGCATGATTGTTTCCCTTGAAGGCGCTTGCACACATTGCGGAAGTAAGAACAATACACTCTACAATGGCGTTCTTGGTGCTGTTCAGGATGAAATTCCAGAAATTGAAAACATCCGCCAGAAGATGCCATTTGATGATTTTGATATCTAAAATATTTGAAGTTTTGTTTCATGAAATTTCAAACAACTTACATAAAATTTAATGTTATATAACTTACGATTATTTGTTTAGAAAACAATTATAGGTTTGAAATTCTTTTTTATACACATAAGCTGAAAAGGGAAATTGTCTGTAGTAAGAATTGATCCCTTTCAAAAATTTACTAAGTGTGCTATTCTAGATTGATATTCTTGGAGTAGGACAAATTGAATTAATATATGTGAGAGGTTGCAAAAGGAGTTTCAGATTGAAACCTCGTATTTGCCAAGATATTATCTTCCGAAGTTGAAAAATTTGAGCGGAGATATGTGGTCGGTCGGTTCCGTTCAATTTTTGTCAACGATAGGCCTTATTTGGCCTCATCGTGAACTCCTTATTTGGGTGCTATATTCTGTCTTCGTATATGTTGTATGTCAATTTTTCTTTCTAATTTAAAAAAAAAAAAAAAAAAAAAAAAAAAAAAGGTAGTGGGGCTTCCAGGCACTTCGTGCCTTCTAGCCCTGAAGATGTTTAGTATAATTGAAGTTTTTATTCGGAAAATTGTTAGTCTTCGGGTGTGAATTCGGAGGACTCTTCTTGGATTGAGTCTTGTGGTTCATCTTCTTGAGTAGAGTCTTCTTCTTCAACATCAAAGTCATCTGGTGTATCGAACTGAATGTATGAAAGCCAAATGTTGTATGTGTTTTCCAATTGGCTTTCAAACTTGAGATACATTCCATGCATGAGTGTTATTTCAGTTTCAACGTAGAGTTGCTGACGTGGCTTGAAGACATGCATGAGAATTGGTCCTCCAAATTCGTCCTTGAAAAATTTGCAGTAGCAAACATAAACTGAGATAGAGTCTCCTTCTTCAATGTCTTCTGCTTGGTTAACGAAATGAATAGCAATTTTGCGTACTTGAATTGTGTTGTTGTCTGAGTAAAATAATGGTTTGAACTTGGGGTTGAGTGAGCTAAGACATTGCCATTTTGCTGTTTCTTGTCCGTACTCACGTTCTTCTTCGTCATCCTGATATCCATAACTCTTTAATTTGAATTCGACCCAAAACTGTTCGACTTTTTTTGCAGCTTTGGGTGGAAGACTTTCAATAAGCTGACATATAGTTCTGTCAACCATTATCTTTGTTATTGTTGGAAAATAGTTGACAATTGTGTCACCTAATTCGAATGGGTCAGGTGTTTCTTTTTGTAGTTTGGTAAAGTCTGCAAGAACTTTGTTGAGTTGTTCACAATATTCTTTGTTAAAAGTTGCAGGAACTCTTTCTTCTGGCTTTGAATTGAAGTATTCTTCAGACAATCTGAGTAGTATTTTGCGTAGTTCAGCGTTGCTGTGGTTCTTTGTAATACGGAGCTCGTTTGGTATTGTTTTTTGGTAGTGAAAGTGGCTTTGGATTGAGCGAATTGTCTGTTCTGCTTGGAGAATGTGTAGATGCTGCAGTTTGATATTGAGGCTCTAAACCTGTGGGTGCTGAAAGTTTGCAAGCAATTTCTTCAGGTGAATTTGGAGCGAACACGCTAGCGAATGCCATTAGACAAAAATAAACTGTTTTTTTCGGACTACTCATAGAAAAGTTTAAAATAAACCGTTTTCGTCAACGGTAACCCCTCTATTTTTTTATTTTATTGAAAAGTCTCCGTTGGCAAACCGTTCCATCTCAAATATTGAATGAACTATAAACGTTTTTTGTTTTCTATACATACTTTTTTGTCCAACGGTAAAACTTTTTACACAACGGTTTTTGAGAGTCGTCGCCGTTGACTTTTTTTGTAGAGCACTCAAAATAGTATAACTTTGTCCGGACAAGTAAGGGTCTATCTTCGCTACAGGAAAAGTTACAGGCGTTCCAAGGAAGTATACTTTGAGAAGCCTTTCCCCTTTTAAAACAAGATAGGACCGTTATTTTACAAAACTGACAACACTTTGACCGAGTAGTTTTTTGTGCTGAACAAAAAGTGTCATATAAACATCTGTCGAAAACCGCTTTTTAACTTCACTTAAAATGCCACGTAAGCTACGTAAGAATATACGTAAGAGGAAGAGAGCATTGAAACATCCAATAGTAAGACTGACACCACAACAACAGTTGCAACAACAAATGCTGAATGACCCCACTATGTTGCAACAAATGTCAAGCAATCCTATGCTTTTAAACCGAGTTGTTGGTGCACAGAGTGGAGGTTTAAGAGCGGCACTTTTAGCGAAAATGGCAGGCTATGGTGGAGCTGCAGACGGAACAGCTTATAACCCTCAAAGTCAAATGAATTTGAGTTCACTCAAAAATCAAATAACAGATGTCAAAAAGTCAAACATAGACATACAGAAACAAATAAGTGAAAACGAAAAGAAACTAGAATATGACAGACACACAAAGAAACTCAATGAGTTAAACGTAGAGAAAAAGAAGAAAGAAGAACAACTGAAAGAACTAAGTACAGAGGAATATGCGAAAAAAGTGTCAGAAAAAGCAGCAGAAGTAGCAAAAATGGAACAAGATGTCATAAATTTGAAAAACCATACTACTCAATATAAAATACTGAAAGATGAAGAGATAAAACAAAAAGCCCTGAAGACATATATGGATAGCGATGAGTATAAAAAAGAAGTTGAAGCAAATGTAAAGGCAGAAAAACTTTTACAGTTGCAAAACCAAACCGTACAGTATGAAAACTTAGCACAAGAAAGTAAAAATAACGACGCGGCTATGCAAAAGGCAATGAAAAGCGCAGAATATATAAAAGCTAACAATGACTGGTTAGATGCCCAAGCCAACGCTAAAGCAGCCCAACTCATAGGGTCAATAAGGACAAAAATACAAGCGGATGAAGATAGTTCAAATGAAGCTTTAACAAATGCTGACTTTAAGAACGCCTTCGAAGCTCTTCATAGTAAGGTGAAACTAGTGAACGACTTCTCATCTGGAAAGAAACTGAAGTCTGAAGGTTTCGACAAAGAGTTAAAAGAAGTAGCACAAAATATGACGAAAATAACAGATGCAGCAACGAGACAGGCAGTTCAAAGTGCCTATGACGCCGTTAGAGCAACTGTTGTGGAAAGTCAAGAAAAAGAGTTACAACAGACCAAAACAGACCTAGTAAATGCTTTCTTAAAAACGAAAAGTCAGGTAGGACATTATGCTGCAGATGGAACATATGTGCCAGCTGGTGGAACTTATATACCACCAAACCCTCCAAGAGAAGCACCTGCACCAGGACTACCTAACACATTTACATCGTCACATGGACATAGACACAGGCATGCACCACAACAACAACCAAAACCAACACAACAACCAACACAACAACCAGCACAGCAACCAGCACAAACAGAGCAAGGACATAAAAGAAGTAGAGAACAAGGAAACCAAGAATTCTTAAAAATGCTTAAGGAAGAGTATGGTTACCCAGATACTCTTGACTTTAGTGACAGATATAAAGAAGCTATTAGAAAGTTCAAGGAAGGAAATACTGACCCGAACCTATTTAGCTTTATGGCTCAGCACCAAATGGGATATAATTTCAAACCTGGAAAATACAAGCTCGCTAAGGGATATGATTTAATAGCATATCATCCAAATGACATGAATGAATTTACTCCGAGATATTTGGTGTCAGAGCTAAATGATAATTCAACTCTCTTCATGAAACGCGTAAAAAATAGAGACGGAACGAAAAAAGAAAGGTTTATGAGTCCGGATGACTTAGATAGGGAACTTTTTAAAAACGGTCTCGGAATATATGAAATGCCAGCAGATGAGGTACAAGAAACTCCACAGGAAGAAGTTCAGATACAACCAGACATGGAAGAAATAGTTCAGCAACAACAGCTAGAAGAGCCTGAAGGAAACGAACAAGTCACTCCTTTGGAAACTAACTTCACAGAACTAGATGAAGATTTGGAACAGCCGAAAAATCTTGACCCTCAACAAGAGTATGCGGAGAATATGGAATATTTCCAAGAGTCTAAAAAAAAATTCGGCTGACATAGTAGAAGAATATCGAAAAAATGTTTGCCGACATACAAAAGACTCCAACATCAGATGAAAATATCCAGCATAGAATGGAAGAACTGAAAAAAAATGTACACAAATACAACAACCCTTTTTACTTACGAGCATTTAACGTTCAATCTTCGGATGAACTCGGTGAAGATAAAAGGTTAAATTTCAAGAAAACATATAGAAATGAAACATTGTTTAAAGTTCATTCAGAACCTAACCAAGATGGAAACAAACCTACTTTTGTTTCTGCAGACGATGGAACTACAATGAGATGGGGTCATAAAGCTAATCCAGATAGGTGGTTCATAAACTTACAACCACAATTCCAAGAAGTTGTAGACGCAATGGAAGTCAATGGTGAACCAGATATAGCTGGTATTTTAAGCGCGGCTTTAATGCCATTGAAAGATATGAAAGATGCAGATATTTTGGACCAGTATGAAATGAACATGGCTGATGGAAATATAACACCTGACGTTCTAGAACATTTATCTCAAAGAACTACACAGAACCATAGAGATGGTATATTTGGCGAAGAGTTTAGAAAGAAAGTTATGGACAGCGAAGGAAGAGAACCTATTGTACATGACCTTGCAAACGAAAGTTTACAAAATGTCATAAAAACTTACTTTGCAGACAATGAACCGAGAAGGGATGAATATTTAAGAAAACTCAAATGGACAGTACCAAATGAAATGTTAGTATTGAAAAACATGTTCCTTGACAAAATAAAACCAACTACAGAAATAAACGACGCAAGACTGAAAGATTGGGTAAAAGCTTTCCCATTCACAAAAGATATTGTTGGTAACATGGAAAGAAAACCAGAATGGCTACAAAAACATATATTTGGAAACGAGCATATTCCATATGGACAGGCACTGTTTGAAGAGCTTGAACCAGAAACTCAGGAAAGAGTCATGCAAACAATACGCGAAGACTCAAATACAGACTATGACAAACTCTTTCTAGGATATAGGTTACCTGAGATGGGCGACCAGAGCCAAAAGGCAAAAAGGACATGGGAAATTTGCAACATACTAGATGAACATAATGCAAAGATGCAACAACTTCAAGCAGAGGGCAATGAAGGAAAAAGAAGAGTTAAAAACTCAGTCAGGAAGAAAGTAAAGCTTGGTCGGAGTGGGTTCTATTATGACATATAAATCCAACTATTCTATATTTTTACTCATATGAAATGTACGCCGCTCAGAATATAACGCCAACAGTTTTGGATGCCATGAATGGAAATGTTTCCGAATGGTATAACGAATGCGACAATGCCATTAGAAGGTCAGAAATAGTTCCTGGAACTTACGAATATACAACTGCTGTTTCTTATGGAAACGTAGGTGAGTTTGGAGAAGGTTCTTCAACAACAGTAGATATTGCTTGCGACAGGTTTCATATAATTTCTATTGACAACTCTTTCTTATACGTGGAACAAGACATTGAAATAAAACCTTCTGCCAAGTTGTCTGACAAGAAAGGCTGCAATGGAATTTTCTATGTCGGATACCAATATGCTCCAGAAGTTTTCATGGGATATAAGATATATTCTAACTCTGACTTAGTTCAAACAGTAACATGGGCAAACTATGAATGGTTCGCTTTGAGAAACTCAGTACAACCACAAGCTAGAGAACAAACAGACCAGTATGCAACTATTGAGAAAATAAGAAGACTTGACCCTAACGTTCCAGGAGTTTATGTTAACCTTTCTGGACAAACTGCAGCAGCAGTAACCAAAGTAAAACTGAAACTTAGAGTTCCTTTGTCATCTTTCCTCATCTTCAGGTTTTTAAGATACTTGCCAAACTGGGCAGGAAAAATTTCTATCGAACTTACTCCAAGCAAAAATAACTTAGTCATTGCACCAACACAAGACCCATTCACTCTTACAGACGTAAAGGGAGCAAATCAAACGTCATTCGCCGAATTTTGCAAAGACAAAGTTGACTTAGACTTTGGTTTTCTCAACCTCAACACTGATGTAAACTACTACTTCAATGCTGCTGGAACTGCTTGGGACCCAGTTAAGTTCACATGCGAAAAGTTTGAATGCAAGAGAATAGAAAGCAGACTTGCAGTCTATATGTTGGACCCAGATATTTCAAATGCTTTAGCTGCCAAATATATTGCAGTTCCACTTATGTCCCTATACACCAAATATCTGTCAAAGACTTTGCAGGTGAAGTTGGAAACCAAAGTGCTGACCCAGGTGCAAGAACAGATATTGCTTTAACAACTGCAATGAAACATGCAGATACTATGTTTGTACTGTTCAGACGAACTATAAATGACTATTCTTGCTTCTACAACCCTGGTATTAAATACCATAAAACATAGATGGCAAATACTATCCAAGAGAAGAATATTCTACAGTTGAGGATATGAGGTCATACAACTTGACATTAGATGCTATGAACTTTAAAACAACTTCACAACAACCATTAACCCTGAAATGCAAAGTTCTATTATGCCATATGTGAAAGTATGGACTCATACAGGAGGTCAAAAAACTCAATATACAAATGGAGACCGTTCAAACTTTTGGCTTGGCATTCCATTTGCTGACTCAGAAGACTTTATGGGTGGTATTTCAACTGTTGGTACAGTTCAAATACAAATACTGGTGACAGAGACGGTCCAGATGAACTGAGAGCAAAGAAGTTTACAAAACCAATAGCACTTTTCACGGAAGATGCTCTTTTGAAAATTCGTTCGATGAAACCTGCTGGGGCTCCTCAGATTGGCATAACGACAGCTTCCATCGAGCAGATTTTGGCAGCAGGTCAGTAAGTTGTTCTTGAACTGACTTCTCCGTCAAATATTGACAGTACGCCAGTTTTGATATAATATTGTATTATAAACTTACCTTTAGAAATATCGGTCAGTTTTGTTGTTATATTTTTGTCTGCTTCAAGAACTTTCACCATCTCGGTTATACCAACTTTCTTTGCTTTATGAAAATATTTTGGTTCAGCAAAGACTGCTATTCTATAACATTTTCCATTGTTTGTATAAAGAACTACTCTGTCAATGAACTTGTATTGTTTGTGTGTGTAAACTTTGTTTTGCTTCAATTCGAAGAGATACTCAAATACGTCCATCTTTTTATTCTAAGTAAAATGTCATTTCCGAAAAATAGAAGCGTAAGTGTTTCAAAAGGTTTAATGGCGGTGGCAGATGTGAAGTTAAATTCACCAACTCAAACAAACAGTCAAAGTGTTGTTGTCAATGTCAAAGAAAGAGATGTTGAAGTGGGGAAACCATACGAAGACGAAGATGGTATAACAATAGTTCCTGTAAAAGAACAACCAACATATCCTGAAGTTAGCAGAGACTTAAGTTCTGTTGCAGATATTCGAAACGACTACCAACAACTTAAAGACAAACTTAAAACTCAGGAGAAGATTTGTCAGGCTTTGGGTATAATGTTAAACTTGGTCGAACACAACCCTGTAAAAGTGAACTCATATGTCATTGCACCTCATGAAATTTTGAAAGAACTATTGAAACTTTTGACAGAGGCAGACGATATAAACATCAAAGAAATAGAACCCGACGTTAGTTGCTGTGGTGTTTCATATAATGTCATTGACAAGATATACGTTATGAAAGGAGGTGAAACGTTGAACTTAAAATATAGTTTCCCAGACGTCATAAAAATATTTGACGACCACAACATTTCATTAAAATTTACTTGCTAAGTAAATGGCAGAAGACATAGTGGTTTATACTATTACGACTAAAAACCCTGAGTCATATAATTCTATAACAACAAACTTACAAAGTCCTCAAGGACGATATTGTAAACTAACCTTAAACACAATGACGACTAAAGCCTGTTTTGCTCTTTTGACACCAGAAGACTTTATTGTTGTGAATGGCAAAAAATACTCCTTTGAAGATACTTACTCAGATATACCACCAACAGGTTTTGTTGACTTATTTAATACTTTAAGGACGGATGTAACATGTGCTGCAACTAGAGCAGGTTTCATTATGTTTGGATGTCCGACTGAGTTTAGTATAAACGATATGAGCTATAATACAAAACTTATATCTGGTTTTTACTACCAACAGTTTCCTATAACAGGAAAAGGTGTCATACAAGGAATGTCTGTTCCATTGACTTTAAGCACACCTATTTTATATATTGTTTCAAACTTAGGTTCAAAGTGCTATTCGAATGTCGACAGAAACTACTATGACCAAAAGATACTCATGCGTATAAACAACACTTTCTCTGCTGGTTTGCCTATTGTTCATTCGAATGCAGAGTTTTCAGCTTTAGTAAACTCAAACACTTTAGCAAACATAAACTTAACCTTAGTTGACGCAAACTTTGTTCCTGTAAAACTTTTATGTCCTATGTATTTGTCAATGACGGCAGAAAGTTTCGAATTGGAAGATGCAACTGGTGAAAGTATTGTATTACAAGAACAACTTCAACAACAAATAGCTCAAGAACAACAAATGCAACAAATGCAACAACAAAGTCAAGAATAAAAAAAATATTTTTTTTTATTTTTATAAAAATGTACAGAATAGATGTTTCAGATTTTTATGACTTCCAAGCGTTCAGAAATATGTGTCCATTTCGAGACTATAACAAAGCAGTCGAGAATTTGAAACGTTTAGTCATTTATGTCGACTCTGCCCCAGAATGTTATGTCATGAAAGAATGGGATGTTGTCTTTAACAAACCAAGAGCGACAATAGTTTCAGAACAAGAATGTAGACAGAAACTTAAGAAAATAAAAGTCGTACAAGTTGGTATGAAGATGTTAGATGCTTGGGATATCTTATTGTCAAAGTTAGAAGATTTTTCAGTTCGAGGTATAAAGTTTTATACACCTTCTCCAAACTTCTATTCTATCTTCACTGGATATAAATACGAACAAGTAGAATGGAAAGAAAATATTATAGAAGCTTGGTTAGACCATGTCAAAGAAATTATATGCAATGGAAACGAAAGAGTCTATGAGTATATCTTATGTTGGTTTGCAAACATCTTACAACATCCAAGTGCTAAAAATGAAACTGCTCTCATCATAATTGGAAAACAAGGAACAGGTAAGAACACTTTCTTTACAGATATCTTATGCAAACTGTTAGAGGGCTATTCGAACCCGAATATGACAAACTTAGAAAACATCTGCGGTAAATTTAACTCCTCAATAGAGAATATGAAACTTATAGTATGTAACGAACTTCAAAGTATAGATACAACAAAGGTTTTAAACTCAGATGCTTTGAAGAGTCTTATAACAGACAAAGTTGGAGTTGTTGAAAGAAAATATAAAGACCAAAGAGTTTGTGAAAATGTTGCAAATTTCATTATGGTTTCAAACAACGCCGTTCCGATGAAGTTAGAAAGTTCTGACAGAAGATATGTAGTTGTCAGAACGTCAGATTCTCATATGCAAGATACAGAATATTTTGACGACTTAGCAGAAACTTTGACATCTGACTTTTACAACCACTTGTTCTCATATTTCATGACATTAGATATTTCAAAGTTCAATCCAAGACAAATTCCACATACCGAAGAGAGACAAACATTGTTAGAAGCAAACAAGAGTGTATATGAACTGTTCATAGATGAAACTGATTTTGAGTGTTTAGATGAAAGGTCATTGTACGATTCGTATAAACAATATTGTCAAGAATATGGTTATATGACAGCGTCTAAACGTACATTCTTGGCAAATGTCAAAAGTCTTTTAGATGTACAGAATGGTGTATATACAAAGAAAAATTTTTATGAGTAAATTTAAAAAAAAATATTTTTTTATCCGATAGAAAAGATGGCAAAATTCATCTCAGTAAATAAGTACATGTCAGGACTTAAAGAAGAACTAGACCCATTCGCATATTTGAATGTTTACTTCTACAATTTTGAAAAGTCTACATTTGACAAAATTTGGAACATTGCACCAGTTAAGTTTGCTATTGTTAGAAAATGGTGCAAATTTGAAGACTTAGACATAGAAGGTTTGTTAGCAGTCAAAGAAAATTTTGACAGAAAGTTCTCAAACTCGAAGAAGGCAAAAGCATACAAACTTGTTATACCTTATGAACCAAAGAAAGCAGACGACTATGAATATTATGAGTCTAAGATAGTTGAAGTTCAAGGTAAATTGGGTAAAAAGATTTTAGAGTCTAAGCCAGTGTTTGCTCCTAAAGAGGAAGAGAACATTGACATTGACCCAGAAATGTTCTAAAAATAAAATTTTATTTTTACATGTCAAATTTCTTTTTCTCTGGAATTGGTTCAGGTTCTTTCTTCTCTTCTTCTACTTTCTTTTCTTTCTTTTTCTTTCTTTTCTTCTTTTCTGGTGGAGTTATGTCAAATTTCTCCGAACCATATTTTGTAAAAGTTCTTTGTCCTTTAATAGCTCTTCTATTCTGTTTTCTATTTCATCTTCAAGAACAGCGCATGTGTCTTCTTTGCATTCTAAGAACTTTTGTTGGACTTCATCTTTCCAATCGGCGTCATCTCTGTCAACAAGTCTGTCATTGACAAATTTTAAGACTGCTCTTTAATGTTTTATGGTTCTTGTCATATTCCCAGAAACAGAACTTTAGAACAAATTCACCTTTCTTGTTTACACTATGTAAGATTTTATGGTCGACAGATGTTTGCTGTCAAAAAGTTTGTCTCGAATATAGATAGCGAAATCGCTAGACATTTTCTAAAAAGATAAAATTTTAATTTTTCTAAAAATATGTTAGAAAAAAGTTTGCTGACATTGACAAGAAATTTGAGAATGTTTTAAACAAGAACAAGAGGAAGTTAGAAAATGCTCAGATAAAACCCATACATGACAAGTTCTTATTTGCTCAGAATGGTATAACAGGTCTAATTGCACCACCTGGGTCGGGTAAGACTTTCACTTATCTTAAAATGGCTGCACAACAACAAGAACTAGATGAGAAGAACCCATTCTATGAGTTAGTTGTCATTTGTAGTACTTCTGGTCAATTTGACCAAACCGTCAATTCGTTCAAAGATATTATAAAGAAGTCTAAGTTAGTATGTATAAAAGACTCTGAGTTGTTAGATTGGATAAAGAAGTACCAAAGAAGAGTTTTGAAGTACAATGCTATAAATGAGTATTCAATTCGAAGTTTAAAGACCCAAATGAGGAAATGCAGAGAATATTAGAGAAGAAACACTTCAGAAACAAACAGAAAGAGATAGAATACATTTCGAAGAAATTGCAATCTTACGATTGGAAGACTTACCCTCATAGATGTCTTCTTATCTTAGATGACTTTGCTTCTCATCCTTTGTTAAAGAACAGAGAACAAGACATGTGTCGAATTCTTAAGAAGCTCAGACACTTTAACATCTCAGTTGTCATTTGTGTACAGACAGCAAGAGTTTAAGTAAGGATGTAAAGAGAATACTTACTGACATTACTTTTCCTGGATTGTCCGAAGACGATTTCATGGAACTTATGAAAGAGTCCATGGCAGGTAAGTTTGACAGACATGAACTATGGGAGAAGTACAAAGTCATACAAGACCCTCATACTTCTTTCAGAATTCATATCTACGCGAACAAAGTTCAAATTGTAAAAAGTCAATAAAAATAAATGGTTCATTTACTCTGCTTGTTTGAAGTTGTCAAAATACTCTGTTATTTTTCACGATTTTCATACGGAATTCAATAAAAATATATTTTTAGGGTAGATGGGTATATCTAACCTGTTTTCTAACCTCTTTTCTACCCCAGTTATTTTATAAGCGTTTTACATGGTAAACATTGTGAATTCGTGAAATTCTAAACAATTTCGTAGCTTCTATTTCTTCTGTCAGTACATCGAATGTTTTAACAATGCCGAAGGTTTCTTTATACTTCTTCTTGACATCTGAAAGAAGGAAATCGTCAGCTGTTGGATAGTTTTTGTTTAGAAATGTCAACATGTCCATTTTATCTTCTGCTGGTTTCTCTGCCTCCCTCTTTAAGTCAGCATAGTCGTTTCGCATACGTTCTATCTCTTTGACGGAGTAGTTATATTTCCTCATTGCTGCTTTACATTTAGAACATTGCGGGTTCATTTTTGCGTTATATTCTGAAACCTTACCTGCTAGTATGACTAAGGCGTCAATTGCTCTCTTTAACTCAAAAGTTGCGGGTTTTATCTGTTCATTCCATATCTTACCTCTTCTATCTTTATCTCTTATCTGCCATACACATTTTGCAACTAACGAAACAAAGTTGTCGTAGGTCTTAAACTCCCCAGATTTGTATATGTCAGAGATGTTCTTATATACCATATCGCAATCTTTGTCCATGACTTTGTGGTTGCAATGAAATCCAAGAAACTCATAATTTACCTTTCGTATGAACTTCTTTATTTCTACTGAGTCAGTTGCTTTGACTTCTATTTCATCGAATTCTGGAATAGTAAGCTTTTGTTGTTGGATTTCAGGAAGTTTAGGTAAATGGTCAATAATATCCTGCATTTCATAAAGATACTGTTCATTTGTTTCATCTTTCGCACTACAGTCTAAATTACTTGTTAAAAGTTCTTGCTTTATCTTCTGGATTTTTTGTTTCGAAAGTATATGAAGAAGGAATGAAGCTTTTTCATCTCTACTAACATTGAAGTTGGGTTCATGACTAAAGAGTTTGGTGCTGTTGTTGCTAACATGTTCTTACAATAAAAATAAAAAAATATTTTTTTAAAAAAACCAACTTTATTTTTTATTTCGGGAAAACTCATGACAAATTCAAGAGGGTAGAAAAGAGGTTAGAAAAGAGGTTATATCTAACCTTCTACCCTAAAATATATTTTTGCCGAATTCATGAGTTTTGGTTGAAAGAATACGGTGGAGCCAAAAGTGGCTCGACCTCAAAACAAGCATTTTCTGTATAAAATTCATGAAAATTCATGAGGTTAGAAAAGAGGTTAGAAAAGAGGTTAGATATACCCATCTACCCTAAATTATATTTTTGCTGAATTCAGCAACAAAATTCAAATTGTAAACGGTTTAATAGAAAAAGTGTTATTTTTTCATGTCCGAAGACTCGAAGGTGCAACACTTCCAAAATACCGACGAACTCAGAAGAGCAGCATGGCAGTATGTTCTTGACAACTTCTTTGAGTTCTCCAGGACACCTTGGAAAATGCTGAAGAACTCCGACACAGAGAATTTGGAGAAATTGCACTCCAATACTACCTTGACAAACAAAGGGTAAACAAAGGGTAAACAAAGGGTAAAATAAGACTAAAAACTTAACGTTTAAAAAGTGACATTTTTATGAGCTCCGAGTCACCGAGAAAACTTGGTCAGATGTTAGCAGCTTACTTCCCTGAGGAGGATGGAAGCGTTACATACGTAAGGTTCAAAAACAACGAACCTGGAATTGCGTACCAAATTCGCAATTACATGACCATGGAAGAGTACGAAAGGTTTCTACAAGAGAAACCAGCTCTAAACAACTCAGAAAAGAAAGAGTAAAAAGTTTAACTCGTAATTGTTTATTTTTTTACTTGTATGGGCAAGCTGCAAGAATGAAGTCGACTATCTCGGTCTTTGTCTTGACCAGTTGGACTGCTCTTGCGAGTACGTCTGTTTTACGGTCTCCAGCTGGTGTCTGACCTTCGTAATTGCGCATGTTCTTGAGAGCTCCAACTGTAAATGGTTGTAGGATGAAGAGTCTCTCAGACTGCTTGAGGTAGTCTTCACGGTCACGAACCGAATCTGTGGTACGAGTCGAATCGGTCGATTTGAGGGAAGAGAGTGAGAGCCTGTCTTCTTCCATAGGGGCTGTGGCATACTCTTTGCGTAAACGGTTCAGACCTTCTTCGAACTCTTGGTCTCTCTTCGATTGGGATTGAGATTGGAATTGGGGTGGAGGGTTTGACATGAACATCCAAGGGTTAGGGAAGTAAGGCATGGGTTGAGGAGGGTAGTTTGGAAAGCCTTGTGGTGGGTAGTAACCTTGAGGTGGGTAGTAACCTTGAGGTGGAAATTGGTAGTAATTCGGAGGTCCTTGTTGGAACTGAGGTTGCTGTGGGTAGCCTTGTGGAGGTGGAACCTGTTGTGGTGCTGGAGCATGCTGTTCTTCTGGCTGTGGAACGGGTTCAGTAGGTGGGACGTCGGACATTCGTTTGTGTCTTAACCGTCTTTGTTCTGAAACAATATAATATTGTCTTGAAAAAGTACAACATTGTCTTGAAAAGTACAATATTGTCTTGAAAAAGTACAACATTGTCTTGAAAAAGTACAACATTGTCTTGAAAAAGTACAACATTGTCTTGAAAAAGTACAACA